CATAGCCCATATGACCGAACTGGAATCGAACTCACAGCTTCTACATCGCCTTGCATGTAACTACCTACCCAGCCGAACCTTGCTTCAAGTACTGTACATCCTAAACATCGGAAATACTATAGGGGCCTTAGTAATTAGAATAGGGATGTGGGGTCCCTTGTTCTACATCTATTATATGGACCCCCCCCAAAAAAAAGAGTATTGGGAATTCTTGAGGTTCCTATTATTACATCCCCTAAATGTCTACAAGTCCTGTGAATGCCGTACAGGAGGGTTTTCTCTAGACTTCTGAACGATGTATTGAACCTGCGCCCGAACCCTCAACCGTAAACCAAAGTTTAAAACCCACAGTTTAAAAAACACCCTAAACCCTAAGCGCGCCGAACACACTAAACTCATAAACTATATAAGGCCTGTAAATCCTAAACCCTTATCACCTCGAACCCGAGACGACACTCCCTTGCCCTGCCGGGCTACTGCCGGGGTTGGCAGCTTCGGCGGAGTTGGAAGTTTTGATGAGACCTGGGCGCAGGCACAGATATGGGTGGCTGTCAACATTAGGTCCCTTTTGGGGTACCCTAAATATTAGGTGCCGCATGAAAATAAGGACCCAAAAAGGGATCCTAGTTTGACAACCACCCATATGGGCAGGGGTTCTTGAAGATCCCAAATGCATGGTTTAGGGTGTTAAGAGATGTTGCATGCAACTGTTAAGATTTGCTCGCGTGATCAGGTTTAGTCTGATAGGAACAAAACCCCTACACCCCTACGTCCTAAAGCCTTATCCGTCAACCCCGAGCCCCTCCACATCGAATCCCAACCACGAGTCCTGAACCCTCAGCGATATGCTCCCCGGAGCCCTACACCCGAAACGTCGAATCCTACCGAACCGCATAAAGGAACCGTTTGAGGAAGCCCCAACCCACCCATAGGAGCCCCCTGTAGCAACTATGGAAAACCCTTCGACAGTCCATCTCCACAGCCATGAACATTCAACCTCGAATCCCAAACCCACAAATTTCACAGGAACCCACAAGCTCAAGGGCCTTGCAGGAGCTTTTTTGTGGGACCCTTAAGAGGCACCCTGATTTCGAGGCCCAGCGGCGCCCTCGGATGTGGTGTAGGCAGAGAGCGCCTGGGTGGCGGCCACCCTTCGAGCCTCTCTGGCCTGGCTCAGAGGCAAATGGGAGTTCCCTAAACCCTAAACCCTAAACCCTAAACAGGGAGTACCTTAGGGCCTCAGGGCTCCTTTGAAGGGTTACCATAAGGATACTATAAGGGTTCCTATAAGGAGGGGCTCTGTAGGGTTTAAAGTTTCCGAAAGTTAGGGGTACCTTATTTTGGGATCCTTTTAATAAGGATCCTACTATTTAGGGTACTATATTAGGGTCCCCTATTTTCGGAAACTCCCAAATCTTCTGGCTGGCTCGTTTCAGCAGGGGCGGTTTAGGGTGTGGGGTTTCAGGGAGGTTTTTTCCTTTGTAGTGTTTGTACTTTGTTGTCTTTGAAAATTGTTAGTGGGAGGGGATGGGTGGCCTGTATACAGTATTGCTTGTTTTAGTCCCTATAGGTGCTTATTGTCCTGTGTGCATGCCAGTCCGTGCTACGCTGGCCGCTCGTGTGTGTGTGTGTGTGTAGTTTTTGTTTTGCTTGCTCCTGGTCCGATTTGCACTCCCAGTTCAATACCTTCAGGTCTTGGGATACATTTTATAAGGTGGCGTTATGGCTGAGAGTCTTGGGTGGTTGTGTTTTTGGATTTGGCGCAGTTTGGGATACAGAATTAGTTTATATATCTGGCCTGTCACCGCTTTAGCTTTAGACTGATTCAGTTTTTCTCAGAGGAGTCTCACGATTGAGGGCTTTACTTCATCATCATCATCACCACCAACAGCAGCATCCCCTAGTATTCCAAGTTACGAGAAGACCCTCCTCAACAACAGCAATGCAAACACAAATACTACTTTGGAATCTGAAGCCGTAACAAATGCACTACAACAAACCCACTGAAATTCTACGAAACTCCCTCAAAACCCAAAACCCCAACCCTGAACCCCAAACTCTGACCCAAATCCTCAACCCTCAACCCTTGTTGACTTCATGATGTGTCATGGCCCTGCTCCAAGTTCTACTCGCTACATTGCAGGCCGTATCGCCCAAAACCCTACGAAACTCCGTCAAAACCCAAAACCCCAAACCTAAACTCAAAACCCCAACCCTAAACCGCAAACTCTGATCCCAAATCCTAAACCCTAAAGCCAAAACCCCAAAACCTCTTCGCAGCGCAGCCACCAGGGCCGCTCGTGGGCACTCGTGTCCTCAGCAGAAGCGCGCGGGGCGCGCGGGGCTCATCTGAAGGATTTCTCTGTGGCTTGTCTTTGGCGTGAGGGGATTGGGGCTTAAGGGTTCGATGGCTTTTTGGGCTTGAGTGGCTTATTTCAGGGCTTAAGGCTTTATAGGAGGCTTTCTGAAAGGCTTTAGCTGCTTTCGTTTTGGGGCCTTGGCTGTGAGTTGGTCGTGATAATGGATGCTTTTGGAACTCTCATGGCTCTTCTCACCATTCTTAGTCCTACACTGTGCGGTCGCAGTATAGTTTGGCCAAACATACGGACCCTTTTCTTTCTGATTCTGAGTGTTGTGTCTTCACAAGGAGCGCCCCCTTATGGAAGAGCATAATGGTGCTGTAGATGCCTGAATCCTTGTAGTGGGTTTGGAGGTTATATCTAAGGAATGGTATGTTGTGTTACAGTAGACCCCATAAAGTTGGAAACCGGATTAAGGCCAAATAGTGCTGGGATTCCCTATCCATTCTCTTAAGGATTGAAGCTATGGGGTTTCCAACTTTTAGGTTTCTACTGTATGTTCTGCGCGGCCGTCAGGAGCTCATGGCAGCGCCTCCCCAAAAAATGCAACGCCTATACGTGAACGGTATGAGCAACTACTCCAAGCTTCTACATAATGTAGGAACCTGATGAAGAAACCCCGGGCCTGTTACGCCAAAATAGCAGGGTTCAGATTAAGAACCCTAGTAAAAAAACCCTAGGTTTCTTAATCAGGTTCCTACATTACCCCTCAGCCCTAAAACCCTAAAACCCCTAAACCGTAAACCCTAAAACTCCTAAACCGTAAACCCTAAAACCCCAAAGCCGTAAACCATATAACCCCTAAACCCCAAACCCTAAACCCTTATAGTATAACACTTGGGGACAAGCAAGCAAGCCTGGGCTGCTCACACATGGCCTTGGACCCATGGCACTCCCCGAAGCACAGCTCTGCAGACTTTTCGGAAACTCCAAGTTTAGGCCTTCCGGGTTTGGGGATTGGATATAAATTCGAGTTTTTAACTTTTATTGAATCTGAAATTCTATCTTAGTCCTTGGGAGTTTAAGCTTTGAGTCTTTCGGGCTTACGGTTTTGGGGCTCTCTCTGGCCGGATCCTTGCGCTTATTAATGCGTAAATCACGTCATATTCTGGGCACGATACTGGAGCCAAAAGAAACATCAGGTGCACCGACACACACACACGCACATGCACACAGAGAAGACATGGTGAAGGTATGAGCTTCGCAACCAAGCATGAATTGAATTGAGGCTCCTATTTGCCAATGCACACTGATCACCGCGCACACATGCACACACACACACACAAACAAACACAAACAGATTTTCACCCTGTCAGCGACGCAGCTCTGCACTCGCCCACATCGCAGTTGCCTCTGACGCCGGTAACACACAGTCGGCCAGCGGTCTGGGCTCGTGTGCGGAAAGGCTCTACATCGGCTTTCCCTTGAAAGACGGGCGGAACAATCAAGGAAGCTTCGACACTCCGTCGATTCTGCTGGCCATTCTGGCCATAGCACTCGGAGTCGAGGAGAAGGGCATCGCGCACTGGTTTCGGATATAAAAAATGGTCATACCACTATGGGCTACTAGACCTTATGGGTACCTTAATCTACCCTTAATAGGGTCCTAATGGGGATCTTTAGGGTCTAATAGCCCATAGTGGTAAAGCTGTGTGAGGCTTGACATCTTAGGGGTTACATCCAACTAGGGCTCAGGCCTGAAAGCTGGGCACGGTGGGCTCCTAAATGGGCAAAACAAGCCGAGGCCTGAGGTCATACGAGCCTTCGGGGTCCCTAGAAGCTGTGAGCGGCAGGTGGGAAGTTTACACCGCAAGCCCCTCTTCTCGCAATCCTTGCGCGTGCCAACTTCAGCTGCAGCATCACCCACTAGGCATGCACGACCTCGCTCCGCTTTAGTGTCTGAGAACTGGCCATCGAAGACGGCAGAGGTGCTTATGTTGTCGCTGTCCTCGATGCGCCCGAACCTTTTCCACGAAGGCTTCACAGAGTTCAGGGTTCAAGGTTGCGGTGTTTAGGATACTCCTTTGAAACCATCAACCCGAATGTAATGACTTTAACGCAGTGTCGTAAGCTGAACATTCACATCATGACGGTCTCATGTTCCGCTTCGTAAGGGGCCCAATACACCTCAACAAATAATTGAGGCATTCGATGGCTGCATTTTAAGAAACCCCTGAATCTTTAAAGATTGAGGGTTCCAAGGCCCTGTGGCATTGGGATTTCGGATATCAGTGTTCGGGTGATGTGGCCAACTGCTGTGTCAGAGTTTTCAGTTGAAAGGTTGCAGGCCGTGTTTAAAGCCACAATTCCCCTATGAAACCCTTGAACTCGGTACAAGTAATTGTGACACCCTGTACAAAGCGGATGACCGAATCTAAACCCTTTGTCCACGTAGAGGGATTATGGTGTTACCATGCAAGATGATAGGCTACTTACTTACCGTACTTTACTGCTAAGAAGCTGTGTGTGTGTATATATATATATATATATGTGTGTGTGTGTGTGTGTGTGTGCCAGCTTACTATAAGAAACACCCAAGACTTACGAACCCCGGCCCTATAAATCAACAACCCAAAACTCTAAGACCCACTATGACATCACAGTCGTCATGGGACCTCGGCGATGCACCCTTGAGGCATCTCACCTGATCCGGCTCCGGGTGTTTGGTTTCTCTACCACGGTCGCAGGTGACTATAAAGCACTATAGTGTTTGTCAAGGTGCTGTACGGCTTCAGAATTAGCAAGTTGAGAACTTGCCAGAGAAGCCTTATAGAGCTGAGCAATGAGTATGGATCGTCGCGTCTTCGGCGCGCACTACAGGGTCACTTCCAACAAGAGTGTGATGGAAGCCAGAAGTTACGTACAGAAATGCTCGCGAAGCACTTGCGCTGTGGGAGTCTCTCTAGCTTGCTTTCCGCACATCGGTCTTCCCCCAGCACCGACTCTCTGGATGTCTTTTCCTGCGACGGCTTCCACGGGCCAGCTCCCGCTGTAAGTAAGCTTCCGCAAGTAGTGCATTCGAATTGTCGGGGTGGCCAACACATCACAGGAAGCTTGCACAAGGATAAAGGCTTCCTGGGCATGGGCATGCGTGCATTCGTCCGGATGCACCTGAAGGTACCTCGTCCTTTTCGCAGCATTGACTTCCTCCGAGATGTAGATTGTCAGCTGCAAGATGCGCATCTGGGGCTCCTCAGTGATGGCCGCAGGCGGGGCGTCATGCGCAGGACCGCAAAGTGGTCATCGGCCGCCAAGGCATAATCCAGGAAAGCTGCGGTGGCTGACTCCAAGACTGGCTTTTCACTAGTAAAGCACGACGGCACACTTGTGACAGTTCGGGTCGCTTTTGCTCTGCCTGGAGGCTTGGGGGAGGGGGCGGGGATGGCCTAAACCTAATACGCTAAGCCCGGCCTTAAGCGCCAACTCTAACCCCATAAATCCCAAACCCTATTCTCATAACCCTAAACCCTATAGGCCAGACTTGTTTGCAGTCCTTACAAAACCCGTCCAGTCCTCGTTGAAGCAGCCCCAAACACCTAAACCTACAAAACCACAAACCCCAAAACTGTAAACTCTAAACCTCTAAACTTCAAACCCGAAAAGCCCCAAACAGCCCTGAACCTTTATGCCTCAACATGCAAAATCCATCAACCCTCAAAATCCCCAAAGCCCTATATGGGTGGTGGTCAAAATTGAGGTCCTTTTTTGGATAACTAATATATTACGGCACCTAATATTTAGGCTCCCCAAAAATGGACCATCATTCTGACAACTATCCAAACCCTGAACCATGTAAACCCTCAACCAAAGGTAACTCGGACTTGGGAGCCCTCGTACTTCCCTTATCTTCCCTTCCCAGAGGGGCCACAAACATTACTATTGTGGAAGTAGGTCCCGAAAACCATAGTGGGGATGGTCTTTTAGGGCCTCATTCCATGATAGTAGCGTATACGGACCCTCTTGGTTATCTTCCCTTTGAAGGAAAATTGAAACCCTCAGCCCTAGCCCTTATGACAAATCCCTGGTCGCACAAAGGAACCCCAAAAACATAGGAACCCTTATGCCTCCCATTACTACTATTTGCTTAAGAAACCCACCAAAAAATAAAAATTATAATCCCTATATTAACACCCATAAGGAATATATTTTTTATTTTTTGGGTGTTCTTAAGCAAATAGTAGATTACAGGAACCCTCAAGCCCTGAGCCGACTCCCCCCTAAACTCTAAAGCCCTAAGCCCTAAACCTTAAATCCTAAACGCCAAAGGGGGCCTAAAGCCCTAAACCCTACACCCAAACTCGAATTCCAGAGCTTCCGGCAACTTCTCAGTCTCCTTCCATCTCGATTCTCCAGTGACCTGCTGGGGTGTTTTGAGAGACTTTTGAGGGAAGGAACAAGCTCAACGAGATAATCCATATAAGGGTAGTTATCAAAGCTATGGTCGCTTTGTGGGTTTTTAATATAATACGGCACCTAATATTTCTCTAAGGTCTCCCCAAACAGGCCTTGATCTTGACAACTGCTCATATAAGGGTTCTTGAGAGGTTTTGCTTCGGGGGCGGGTTTAGCGTTTCAGAGTTTGGGATTTAAGGTTTTTATACGGGCTCAGGAGTGAAGGCGTCTGGCTTTGTGGTGTAAGTCTTGATGTCAAATAAAATAACCAAGGATCCCTTAATCACCTAATAGGTACAGGGGCTTTAAACATCAGAAAATGTTTGTGTTGTATAATTAGAATAGGCAGTAGTAGTATTGACTGGCAATCATTCTGACTCCCATTTCAGTGGCTCAGGCCGAACGAAATGCACAATGGCTGAGATCATGCATGGACAGGACGGGCATCAAAGCAATGCAGCAAAGGAGCCTCGTTGTGCTCCCAGATCCTTCCATCTTCAGCCGCCTCGGGATCGCACGCCAGCTTTCACAGTACAAGCCGTGTCTGCTCTTTATTGCGGATATCTTCTGTATGAAAGAGTCAAGGGTTGAACCCTGCATAAGCCCTGTAACCTGTAAGCCCCACTTCCCTACACCGTATACCGTATAAAGCCCTACTTCCCAAACCCCATAAGCGCTATACCCAAGCCGGTCCCTGCCAACCAAATGCTGAAGCCCCAGAGCCGGCAATCGGGGGCCAAATAACGCAGTTGCAGCTTCAGCTGTTCTTGCAACTTGCACTTTTGGGGATGTTTAGGGCTTAGGGCTCGCAAGGCTTTGGGTCCCAGGGTTTTCAAGACTGAGAGTTTAGGAAGGTGTACTGCGCAGGCCATGATACTACAAAACACAAAAAAGTCAAAACTCCAAACCCAAGACCCTAGATCTTCAATTCAACAAACATTAAGGGTCCAAGTACCTGATTATCATATACTCTCGAAACCAGTAACCTACATAACTATTATCCCAAACCCGAGTACCTGATTCTTGGGTGCTTTGGACCCTTAGGGAAAGTGAACAGCGTATCCCGATAAAACTTTAACACGTCCTTGAGCCACAAAGCTCTGGCCTAAAGCGCGAGACCCTAGACCGTATCACTCGCTGGATTCCTGGGGTCGTGGCATACTCCGTCCAGTTGTCCTCAAAAACCCGCTCGGCGCACGAGGGACTCACGTGACTTATAAGCGTGTCACAGGGGTGTTACTGCGACTGTAAAAGACAAAGTTCGCATGTGGACTTACGTCTGGAAGAATCCTGTACTAATTGTGGCCATAATCTAAGGTATATTATGCTATGCTTCTAACCCTGGGCATCAAGATAGCCCAGAAGCCTTATATAGTATATGGTCTTTAGGCCCCAAAGCCATAATATCTGAGTCCTTAGATCCCTAGGGTATGAAGGATCCTAAGCAATGCTATTCCTGGTAAGGTTTAGGCCCCTGTGATGCCTAGAACTTCTTTATTGGAGACCTGGGAGCCCTCCAAGTCCATGGCATATCGTTGGCTTTGGCTTTGGGGCTCTTTAGGATGCCTTTAAACGGATACTATAAAGGCTCCTTTAAAGGGAACCTATGACGGATCTACAAGGTTGTAGGGTTTAGGGAGTAGGAGTTCAGGGCTCAGGGTTTAAGCTTAGGGTTTAGGGTTTTGGTTTAGGGAAAGCCGAGACCGTCGTCATGGACGAACGCGGCCTATTTGGGGTTTAGGGCTTGGGGGCGGGGGAAGGGGGGGAAGGATTGAGGGTTGAGATGGGTTGATTGTTTTTTACAAGACCCTTTCACAGAAGCTGGCAGACTTATGGAAGCCTCCTAGACTAAAAACCCTATGCGGCCCTTGTGAGTTCATATATTCGACTCGGGCGATGGAGAATTACATTGCTGATTATTCAAACCCTGCTGCTTGACATTAAGAGTGATCACTAGTTAGTTGATTGGTCTGTGCACCTCGTGACTTTCTCTCTCTCTCTCTCTCTACTCGGTCGGCGCTTGGGCATGGACCAAACTCTAGTGGGGGTCTCGGGCTTGCAGTGGCTTTCGGACAAGTTATTCCATGGTTCCGCCGGCCGTCAGGGATAGTTATGCATCTTCACAGACTCACGCACATAGACATAGACATGTAAATAGACATAGGCACAGACATATTTATGTATATACTGCTGGAATCCCACGACTCAGGGCCCTTTGGCGGAGTGTTCTGCCGACTCACTAGTCGTCCATCACTCAGCATCCCATGGATCTGCCACAAAGCGCACGGCCACGACATCCGGACGGAGCTTCTGACAGAATTCGGTCAGCGCAGATGCGTTTTCGACATTGATGGCCCATCCTCGGCGACAGCGCATGGCTGCAACCATGTCCGATGGTACTCCTGCTTCACTGCGACGTCCTCCTGAGCACTTAGAAGCCTTGCACCCGTACATCTTGCTGAAGATGAAATAAGATGATCAATGCCGAAAATGGATGCCAGTACACGTTCCAAGCCAGGGACTCTGGACAGAACGGAAATCATAGCTAAGCCAGCTAAGCCTGGTAAGCATGCCTCCACCATTTCAGGTCAATACCTCCAGGGATGACTGTAGGAATCTCTTGAAAACCAACCTAAAGCTCCAAAACCATAAGTTAAAACTGGAAGAACACTCATAGAATCCTTGAAAGGACCCTCACAAAACCCGAAACGGGAGCTGGTCTGGGGAGCCCCCTAGCCCCTAAACCCTAAACCCCGCCGACTTCTCCGCAGCTGCCTGCAGGAACTGATGGCGTAGAGACTAACTTATAGTAGAAGCCAGAAAGTTGGAACATTAGTATCCTCATGCCCTTAAGGTAAAGTATAGGGGATCCTAGCACTAATCCTCCGAAACCCATGGTTCCAACTTTCTGGGATTCGCTATAGGGGATAGGGATTTCGGCTTTGTTAGTCCAAGGCCCGACAACGATCACCTGAACCCCAAACATACCAGGTTCCGGTCTTCAGCCGAGACCTAGACCGAACCTATAACCCTAAACCCTAAACCCCGAAACCCCAAACCCTGAACCCCGAAACCCTTAACCCTCTAAACCCTTAACCCCTAAACCCTAGACCCCTATAAACCCTAAACCCCTGAACCCCTGAACCCTTAAACCCCTAAACCCCTAAACCCTAAACCTATAAGGCACCCTGCCAGGGGCCTTCTCGAGCCACGCAGCCGGAGCAGGCTGGCTTACCGCCGTCTGACCGAGGTTTCAGGGCTTGCCAAAAACCTACAAGGTTTAGGGTTTAGGGTTCAGAGTTTAGGGTTTTGGGGTTTTGGGGTTTAGGGGTAAGGCCCCTTTCCGTATAACCCTGCAAGAAGATCCACCTTCTTAGTGCTCCTTATTCGCATTAACCCTGCAAGAAGATCCACCTCTTAGTGTTCCTTATTATGATTTCCGTATCTACGACCTCGAAAAGGTAGGCTCCCGCGGGTGTGTAGGCTTTGCAGGGCTGTGTTTGAAAACCAGTGCGTGGATGGAGGCATTTGGTTCCAGCCCTGCAAGAAGCCTACACCACTATCAACCCAAGGAAACGGAGACCCCAAAGTGCCTATAGGTAAGACTGGGTGGCTATGTCTTATAAGGAGAAACCAGGGAGGTTGAGGGTTGAGTCATGTAGGTGCTTACATCTTGCGGGTACGTATATCATACGAGAATCACATGAGGACTAGAAGGGTACATTACCACTAGTTTTCCCGATCGCTGTAGTCTCCATGTAACCCAGACTTTCCTGGTAATCGGGCTTTTGCACAGGAGCTGACCTGAAGCTCATCTAAAGGTCTGAATACTGTAGGGGCTTTAATAACTAGAATAAGGTTTCGGGTATATATATATATATATATATATTATATATATATATTATATATATATACATATAATATAACAAGGAACCCCAACATAGTGTTTGTAGGCCCCTCTGGTAAATCGTAATTGCCAGTATTACCTTTTTATGCACGACTGAGCAGGGGTCGCACCTTTGCCTATTGTCAGTCAGCATCCACAAGTGGTGCTGCGATACATTGCCTTTTCATTGTTCTTCTGTAATTTGCTTCTCATGCACCCAAGTCCCCATTTGTCCGCAGCAATATCGAAAGCAATGTAATTAAATAATCTTCCCGAAACGTCCCATCCTATAGAACCTAATCAAAAGCCAAACAAGACACCGCCTAGATCAAAAGCCCTACCTAGAGTAACCAATGTACGTCAAATCTAACATGGACATGTACCTTTTTCGGGTTTTTTGGTTACAGTACTCTACGTAAACCCTCTAGGCCTTAGGCAGAAGCCTTCAACCATGTCTGTCGCATCCGGAAGCTGTCATCCTTGGCTGCCACAAGATCTTCGAGCTTGCGGTCCGGCTGGAACGGCACCTCGCCGGATTCTGGTGATGGTTTTAGGGTTTATAGGGGTTTAGGGTTTAGGGCACCTCCCCGGATTCTGGTGATGGTGTGGGGTTTAGGGTGCACGGTTTCCGGTTTAGGCTGAAAGGTAAGGTTTACGGTTTTTCATCCCGCTGTACGGTTGTTATAGAACTCCAGAGGAGTAGACGAAGGTTGCCTTCAAATTTGGTAAATGCCTCTTCGAACTTCATATGGTATATGTCTTGTGTTAAACGAGGGTTGCCTTCAATTTCTCCTACATGCCTCGTCGAACTTCATATGGTTTGTGACTTGTGTTAGTAAAGGCTTCTCATGTAAGCGGCCTGTTAATAGACGTAGCATGTCCGTCCGTAAGGGCCTCGACATTCTTGGAAACCAGTATGTAACAAGGCCGCATGAAACCTAGCTTTTCAGGATACTTACTTTCTTCATATTAGTCTTGCAGTGTACTTGGGGTTTAGGTAACCTATCCGTTTCTAGGTCCCCAAAATGGCACGGCACCCTCATCAACAAGATCAAAAGCTACCCTAATTCAGGGCTACCCATGTAACCTTCATGAACGGTTCTGCAGCAAGGGTTCACGAAGGATCATAATAGAAATGACGATAACATAAGGGTCGCTTCCGGAATGTTATGTGTTTTCCTTAGTCGAAGTGGGTCGGGCGAGGTCCTCGTCGATAGTCCCGCTGTGGGCAGCAGCAGCATATGTCCTCCCGGTATGGTGGTACTTACCTTTGGTTAGTAGGGAATGGAAGAATGGTAGTAATAGTATTTATAGTTATACCCCATTCCTCCATTCCCTACTAACCAAAGGTAAGTGTAGAGTACATGGCCCCAGGGATGGGGTGTTCAGCGTTGAGAAGATGTTGAAAAAGTTCTCTCTTACTCTCGGCCTGTCCTTCATCTCGCAGCTCCGGGTCCCTTTACAAGAACCTCAAGCAACACCCCAAACGTGCACCACCTAAAGTCTCCATCGTAGTTCCTTTTGTTTGGTTTAACCCATCTGATATTGAGGATCCTAAATGGTAACCCTTAGAAACTGCCCCCACCCTGTAATACTGACTATAAGGATTATAATAGGGCCCTATTATATTCCTATTATACCACTATTACAGGGTAGGGGCCCCTTCTAAGGTAACCCCCAAAAAGGAACTACAATGGAGACTATAGCCAGGTTTGAAGAAGATTGGAGGCTGGCGTTCAACCTATACGGGTGGTTGTCAAAATTAGGGTCCCTTTTTGGGCACCCTAAATAATAGCTGCCGTATTATACTAAGAACCCAAAAAGGGACCCTAATTTTGACAGCCACCCATAGGTTAAGCCCTGTAAACCGTAAAGCCGACAGTTTTGCTATTTAATCAACCTTTCGAACAGTCAAAGACCCTTGTATACAACAACCAGCCGTTAAAGGGAGCCCGGTTATAAAACCCTAAGCACACTTTAAACGAACCCGATTAGAGAACCCTAAAACACCCTGAAAAGGGAACCCCAGTATAGAACCACATAGCACTCTCGATTTACAACTGCCCAACCACAATATGCGGCCACTCACTCACACAAGCACACACAACCAGCTACCCATGTCATGCATGCGGCAGATGCAATTGCAACTAGACGACAGACTGCGACCCCGCCCTGCGGAAGCATGGAGGCAGCAAGCCCCTGGGGCTTCCCAAATATCCTTCTTCGTGTCGTGAATTGCGTTGTAGATCTTGAACCGACGGGGGCTGTACGTTTGCATCAACCAATCTATAAACCCTAAACCCTGCATAAACCCTAACATGTCTTACCTTTCGTTAGTAGGGAGTGGAAGAATGGTAGTAATAGTAATTATAGTTATACCCATTCCTCCATTCCCTACTAACCAGAGGTAAGCTTTGCGAAGCCTACACGAGCTCAGTCCTTGCTGTTGGAACCAATTGTATATTAAGGATCCCAAAACATAACCCCAAAAAGGAACTACAATGGAGACTATGCGTACATGCAGGAGCTCAGTCCTTGCTGTTGGAAAGGAGGCTGCTTGCGATGGCCGTATCGGCCCGATCGGCCCAGACGCAGCGGTCGCCGCGGGTGGGAAAGATGCAGGCCGACCTTTCTCTTCGGTGTATGATGGGAGGCCAAAAGGGGGGTTTAAGATTCTTGGGGTAGGGATTCCTTAATATGAACCCTACTATGGGAACCCTAATCCCTACTAAACCCTCATAGGCACAGACCTTCCAAAATCCCTTAATTAAGGAATACACCGGTTACCAGGGATTTAGTATCAAGCTTGCCTTTGATGATTGATTCCCAGACCTTCCAAAATCCCTGATTTAACTAAGAGTATATACCTTAAATCATTTAGGGATCCTACTATAGTCTAAGGTATCCTCAATTAAAGGGTTTTGGAAGGTCTGGGTAGGCCGTGCCTGCACGCCAAAAGCTCAAGACTAAACAGTTTGTCAAAAACCCAAGAAGTCCAAACCCTGAGCCCTTACACCCCAACAAACTAAACCCTACAACAGCTAAACGAAAACGAATCACTTTTCTGTGGCGAGGCAAGCCACTGGGTGCCGTGGAGACCGGTGGGAAGGACGCCGGACGATTGGAAGACGGGAAGGCAGCAGGTGGAAGCGGCCTGAGGAGATCTTCTTCATGGTTTTAAGCGGTTCAGGGGTTAGGGCTTAAGTGCTTTGGGTTTCGGGGCTTTGAGGTTTAGGGTTTGATAGTCTTTGGTTTGCAATAGAAGTCTTTCAAAGTCATCATCTTACGATTACCACGTCCTGGCCGAGTGTCTTAGGGCTTTGTACGAGACATGTAGCGGCCTCAATCATCGGAATAGGGTTTTTGGGGTACATTGTATACTTTATAGATTACCTATAGTCTCATTGTAGTTCTTTTTTGGTGTAACCAATAATATATTAAGGGTCCTATAAGGTAACCCCAAAAAGGAACTACAATTGAGACTATAGGTAATAAGGAGTCCCCCAATCGGTGTGGGAAGCACATAGGCCCGTACAGTAGAAGAAAGCACCAAGGCAAGCGCCTAGGGGCTGGCGAAGATGTCACGGGCATGGTCCTCTCAACCAAAGCCAGGTCCGGTTGTTGTGGTTTTATGGGCTCCATGGAACTTGTCAAGAGGTGCAGGAGTGCTCTTCTTGACTTGAGAACGAACTTAAATAGCCGTAAAGGAAAGCGCAAGTAGTAATTTTTCATTTTACCTATAGTCTCCATTGTAGTTCCTTTTCGGGGTTACCTTTTAGGATCCTTAATAAAAAACTGGTTAAACCACTAAAAGGAACTACAATGGAGAGTGTAGGTAAAATTACTGAACCAGGATTCTACTTTCATGGCGATGTAGCCTTACACTGACTGACACCCAACGCACCACAACTCCTGTCGTCGTTCGGCACAGGCAGCCGGGGTGCCTGGTGCGTGCATGGCAGCATACCCACAGAAGCAGTACTTTCTGGGATTGCCCTGTGATATACGAATAACAAGGCGAAGAACAGGTACAATAACAAGAAGAACAATAACGATAACAACCGCAATAACAATAATATTGAACATCCCAAACACGGGCAGGTAGAAACCAAGAGCCCTACCAACTGGTACGTGGCCGAGCAAAAGGGATGGCTAGAGGAGATTATGAACAAGCGATTTGGAACCCACATGTTGAAGTCCATCTAGGTTCCAGAAGCAAGGCTACCGTTTATGCTGCTGTTCAGTTTGGATATCATGGCGACCGGCAGCAACCAAGGGGGCACGCATTAGAGCACTACTGGGAGACCTAGCCATGCTTGAGACTGTTAGGGAAGGGAGAACAGCATCCAAGGTCTGCTTCGCATGTGGGAGTTTCCAAAATAAACATAGGGGAACCTAACATGGTACCTTCAATAGTAGGATCCTTATTATAAGGACCAAGGCCTCTCTAAAGCTCGAAACCCCTTAAACCTAAACCCCATTCCCTAAAAGCCCTACGTAACTAAAGCCCTAAAACCCTAAAAAATCGAAAGCACTAAACCCTAAACCTTATTCCCTGAAAAAAAACCTATTCCCCAAAACCCGACGTCATCAAAGCCCTCAAACCCTGAAGACCTGAAACCCAAAAACCCTAAACCCTAAACCCTGAACCCCTAAACTCTACCCTAAACCCTAAACTCTAAACCCTAAACCCTAAAACCCCTAACTCCCCTAAACCCTAAACCCTGAACCCCTAAACTCTACCCTAAACCCTAAAGTCTAAATCCTAAACCCTAAAACCCCTAACTCCCCTAACTCCCCGAAACCCAGTAACCTAAGAACAAAAAGTCCTCTCTTTTTGGTATTGGGCAACTTTATAAGGAACCAAGGACTACAAAAAGGGAATACGGGTACTACTGGGCATCCTAGTAAACCCTAGACCGAAGTTAAGTTTAGGGTTTAAACCCTTTAGCCCTACCTAAAGTCTCCATTGTAGTCTCTGTTTGGGGTTACCTTTTAGGATCCTTAATATAAAGTCCCCAAGAACCCAAGGCCTCCCAAGGATCCTCGCCCCAGGGCTCATCGAGGCCTGGCGTTCGGAAGGAAACCGTCAGAAAACTTACAGGCTTAGGGGGTTTAGGGGGTTTAGGGGGCTTAGGGGGTTTAGGGGGTTTAGGGCTTAGGGGGTTTAGGGCTTGGGGGGTTTAGGGTTTAGGGGGTTTAGGGGGTTTAGGGTTTAGGGTTTGGGATTCTGGGGCCCATTATACTATGATTCTAAGAAGGAACCCCCAGGTATAGTATTGGTAATTGTTTGGGCCCCTGTATTACAGGTTTGGGATTTAGGGTTTAGGGGTTTTAGGGTTTAGGGTTGATAGAGACGATAGGGTGCATGGGTTAGGGTCTGCAGGCTTTGGGATTTCTTTTTGAGCTCCTTCTTGCACCTGCCTGTTCATCCACATACCAGGTCTGGGATTTAGGGTTTAGGGCCCTTAGGGTTTAGGGGTTTCAGGGTTTGGAGGTTAGGGCTTGGAGGGTTTAGGGTGGTTCAGGGGCGCTGTAATTTAGATACATGCAAACCCGCTAGGTTCCAAACAAAGCAAGAGCCCAGAGCTCTGCTTAACTTCTACTTAGCACCACTCTCTGAGCCTGAGGTAACCCCTTGACGAATGAGTTATTTAGCTTCGGGGGGGGGGGGGGCTCGAGGCTCTATAAGGCTTTGTGGATCTGGGCAGGTGGGGTACCAGTACGTGGAGTGAGGGGTAAATGCTTTGCTAACAGCGGCTGCGCATTGAAAACCACAACAAATTAACCCTTCTCTGTCGGGACCGTCTCAATCTATATAACGATTCTTATGTTCAAGCCTTGTTCAGGGAACAAGTGTTGTTATGAGGTCAGATGCTTGGCATATATTTCGCATGAGAAGCACGAAACAAAAAAAAAATAACCTGTACAGATTATGTTCGCTATCTTCGGTGAACCCTAAACACAAACCGCTGAGACCCTCGTAATTACACCCGGCCCTACACCCAACACTAAATACTAAAGCCCAAACCCTAAAGCCGAAACGAGCTTCAACTTTCAACGCTACACCCATATAAACCCTATAGCGAATCCCAGCAAGTTGGAACAGGGGTTTAGGACGATTAGTGCTAGGCTCCCGTATACTTTACCTCAAGGGCATGAGGATACTAATGTTCCAACTTTCTGGCTTTCTGGCTTCTACTATATAACAGTAAAGAAAACCTTAAAGACACCCCGAACACTCTTCCAAGGCCTGCGGATAATACATTATACTAGACTATACTATATGAAACGAATGTAGAGGCCTGGTTAAGAAACCCTGAGCCTTTATTGAGTTAATTTTACATGATCCTACTATTTTGGGGCTATAGGCCCAGTTTCTTAATCAGGTTCCTACACTATACTATATTGTGACACTAAACCCTTAACCCTGTAGCCCAGTATCTTCAAAGGCCTCCGGAGAAGTCCGGACCGCCCACCAGCTGCTCGGCGGACATTTCGGCGCCCCTGGACGTCTGCGGAAGTCTCAGGGTTCAGGAAGTTTGGGGGTTTAGGGCTTACAGTAGAAGCCAGAAAGTTGGAACATGGCTTTAGGAGGATTAGTGCCAGGATCCCTTATACTTTGCCTTAGGGGCATGAGGATAATGATGTTCCAACTTTCTGGCTTCTACTGTAGAGGGTTTGGGGTTGAGGTGTTCAGGTTCAGGAATTTTAGGGTTTAGGGGTTCTGGTGTTTAGGGTTTAGTGAAGGCTTTCAGGGTTTAAGATGGCTGAAGGGTGAAGTCTAGGGATTGCTGCCAGGGGTTCAAACGGTGAGCTTTGGGGTTGAGGGCTGCAAGGTTTTGAGGTTGGGGTTGAGCGGTTAGCAGAGAACAAACGATCAAATAGAGAGCATTAACAGATTTAGGGGCTGAGGCTTAAAGGCTGCAGCCCTATAAGGGTACTGGATTTGAGACTTCGGGAACCAGGACGCTTGTAAATCGAAATTTTTCCCTTAAGGTCTAGGCATGTAGGGGGTAGAGACATGGCAGGCACCAGTCCATTATCAGAACAAAGCTATGACCCTGACAACAAAAGTACATTCATCTTTTTAGAAGATCCCTTGGCTACTCCTTATGGTCCCTTTGTTGGTACCCAAAATATTCGGTGCCGTATTCTATTGAGGACCCCCAAAAAGGGACCCTAGGCTCTATGGCTTGGGAGGCTTACGTCGCGGGCGTTCTGGGGCTGCGACTGTAGGCTTTGCGGTCTCAGGTTGGGTTTGGGAAATGGAGGGCCCCAGTATCTCTCCTAAACAGTAGGGTATATATATATATATATATATATAGATGGAGAGAGAGAGAGAGAGAGAGATAGACACTGATTTATACATATATATATATATCTATCTATCTATCTATCTATCTATCTATATATATATATATATATGTCGCTGGGGGTGTGAGTAGTAGCTTAGGGATTGAGGGGTCGGGGTCCCTAAACCGTAACGGTTACGGTTTCCTCAATACTTTGATGACTACCATCACATGTCTGCAGCATGGTTAGCTCCTATCTTTGACCACACTCCGAATTCAACCCATTTCCTGGTAAGATGCATGCTGCATGCAGGGTTAACAACCAGGGCGCCCTTTCAGATACCCATTGTCTGGTGCTTGGGGTTTTGGGGCGGAGTAGTCGAGAATCGAAACAGAGATTTCAGGGTCAGGCCGTAACCCCAAACCACAAGAAGTGCCTCCCACCCCTGTCACAGGTTTGCTCCGAGACAACGACTGTTCGCGAATCCACGTCAACCAAGGTCGCCATGTCTCCATCTGCAAGAAGATTTGAGGTCTTAGAGTTCTGGGTTTGGAAACGGTGGTTTGGACGTACTTGGCATAGTAGCCTGCAGCTTCACAACAACAAACATGCAAGCAACTGCTGGGGTCCCCAGTCTCGAGCAGGCCAGTGTACATGTTTGTATTTTGCATGCATCGAGACATAGGCACACATATACTCATACAACCTTATGTCACGCATCTACTGAGTCTATATGTGTATGTATGTATGTATGTATGTATGTGTGTATATATATATATACATCTATGTATATATATATACATATATATATATATGTGACCAAAGTAGAACCCACCATGGCAAGTCGGTCAATCCTACAACTCATGTTAAGCTTGATGTGACCTTATAAATGGCTAATTAAAATCCTCACAACACCGAAACAAGCCTCAATTACAAAGTCGTTGCTCCAACCCCACCAAATACCTCGGAAAACCAGAGAAACAGCACACCAGCCCAACAAAAACACCCCCTGGAACCCTAAAGCCAGCACAGCCTGATAAGACCCCTCAGAGCTTCAAGTATTCGACCCTGCCAAGCATTCACCAAACAAAAAACACAAGCACTAGAAGACAATTGGCCCGAAAGCATCATCAGCGAAGATTGTGGGGCTATGTGATAGATCCAGTGTATAGGATCGTAAAGTCACAGAGTCAAGAGTCATAGAGTCCATGAGTCATGAGTCATAAAGTCATAGAGTTACAGTGAGATAGCGTCATAGAGTCATAGTGAGATAGAGTCACAGAGTCATGGAGTCATCTATGTACCATGCACTTGACTCGATGTAGTTCACTCTATGCTCTATGTGTGGGAACGCTTAATCGAGATCCCCATAGCGTGAGGGCTCATAGCCTGACCTGGACCTCGAGATGCAGATACAGTCAAGAGTCATAGAGTCCATGAGTCATGAGTCATAAAGTCATAGAGTTGCAGTGAGATAGCGTCATAGAGTCATAGTGAGATAGAGTCACAGAGTCATGGAGTCATCTATGTACCATGCACCAAAATGTGTAACTTCACCTCGCGCTCGAACACTCGACAACGCCAATCTGTGTGAAGGGTTGCAAAATTCATCTCAATGCTCATCAAAAAATGCAACTTTACCTCGCGTTCGAACACTCGACCACGCCAATCCCTGTGAGGGGTTGCAAAATTCATCTCAATGCTCATCAAAAATTGCAACTTTACCTCGCGTTCGAACACTCCACCACGCCAATCCTTGTGAAGGGTTGCAAAATTCATTTCAATGCAAATCAAAAAATGCAACTTTACCTCGCGTTCGAACACCCGACCACGCCAATCCCTGTGAAGGGTTGCAAAATGCAAATCCCTGTGAAGGGTTGCAAAAAAAATTGAACTGCACCCAAACCCTGTGAAGGGTTGCGCGGCGCCCGCAAGAAGTGTAACTTTACCTCGCACCCAGGCGAATCCCTGTGAAGGGTTGCGCGGCGCCCGCAAGAAGTGTAACTTTACCTCGCGTTTGAACGCCCGAGGAGGCGAATCCCTGTGAAGGGTTGCGCGGCGCCCGCAAGAAGTGTAACTTTACCTCGCGTTTGAACGCCCGAGGCAGCGAATCCCTGGGAAGGGTTCCCCGGTGCGCCTAAAATGTGTCACTTTACCTAGCGTTTGAACGCCCGAGGCAGCGAATCCCTGGGAAGGGTTGCGCGGTGCGCCTAAAATGTGTCACTTTACCTAGCGTTTGAACGCCCGAGGCAGCGAATCCCTGGGAAGGGTTCCCCGGTGCGCCTAAAATGTGTCACTTTACCTAGCGTTTGAACGCCCGAGGCAGCGAATCCCTGGGAAGGGTTGCGCGGTGCGCCTAAAATGTGTCACTTTACCTAGCGTTTGAACGCCCGAGGCAGCGAATCCCTGGGAAGGGTTGCATTCCCGATGGACCCCGACGGTGCCACCCCCGCCTTTAAAAAGAAATATTAAGATACCGAGATTTGTAGATAGTATGTAGAGAGTAAGTCATAAGTCATAGTAAGTCATAGATGCATAGAGAGACAGTCATAAGTAAGTAATCATAAGTATAATCATAAGTAATAAGTAAGTAAGTAGAGTCAGTAAGTAAGTCAGTAAGTAGTAAGTATAGTAAGTATAGCAAGTATAAGTAAGCAAGTCAAGTAAGTAAGTAAGTAAGTATAGAGATAGCATAACATAGAGTCCAGTGTCAAGTGTCAAGTAAGTTATAAGTAGATTGTAAGTAAGTAAGTAAGTCGTAAGCATAACATAGAGTCAAGTATCAAGTGTAGAGTCAAGTATCATAGAGTCAAGTGTCAAGTGTAGAGAGTCAGTCATAGGGGTCAAGTAAGTAAGTAAGTATCAAGTGTAGAGTCAAGTATCAAGTGTAGAGTGTAGAGTAAGGAGTCAAGTAAGTTGATTCTATGTCTGTCATCTATGTACTCAACTGCGGCGTTCCACACGGAAGAACCCTTCGCGATGCTTTCGGGAATAAACTCTTGAACCGTGAGTGACCCTAAAGCACCCTTGAAGAACCCTGTAAGGAACGCGTCGATGTCGCATGATCCCAAAACCATGTAAAGAGCCACCGCAAATGAGCCCTGAAAGGAACCGAAACACATGCCCAACACCCTACCTAAACCTCCCGCGCAAAAGACCCTTGCAGAAGCCCTAAGGAGCCTTAAAGAAACCCTTGTAGAAACTCAACACAAAGCCTATTAACGCCTGAGGAACCCTTTAAGGACTCCTTCAAAGGAACCCCATCATAGAACGCTATAGCACCTTTTTAAGAGGGCCTTACTCAGGAATCCTTGTACAAGACCCTTAAAGGAGCCCCATTTCTAGAGCAATGTAGAACCTGTTAACTTGAAAAAAAAACCCTACTACAGCATCTTTTTGAACCTTTACAGGAACCCTTCCTTGGGGCGCCTCGGAATTCAGAGTTGTGCCGTTTCCAAACACCACGAGGCCCCGCTTGGCTCCTCAGCGAGGCCCCAGACTTCTTTCGTGTTTAGGGCGCAGGGCCTAGGGGCTAATTTTAGGGCTCAGAGTTTAGGAAGTTAAGTTTGGGGTTTAGTTTAGTAACCCTGAACCCTAAAGAAAACCCTAAACCCAACACCCTAAATCGATTTTTTTGGTTGCTTTCGAAGGCTCTTTGGAAGCCTCCTTTAAGGTTTTGTGTCATTGTTGGGGTCGCTCTAGCAAGGGGTTTCTTTTCAGGTTCCTGTAAGGGTGCGTAAAAGTGTGTCTTTTCAGGTTCCGGGTTTAGGCTTTCTGTAAGGATTCCTAAAGAGGTGCCTGTGTTTCAAGCTCCTTTAAGTTAAGGCTTTCAGCACATGTTTTTGTGGAAGTGTACGGAAACTCTCGTCCCATCATGGTTGTTTTGAGCCACTAAGCCCTAGGGATCAAAATGGCCAAACAAGCCTTGTATGGTATGGTCCTTGGGCCCAAAAGCCTTAATGTATGAGTCCTTAGATCCCTAGGGAAGGAGGGTTTCTGCAAGGTGCGTTTCGGGCTCCGGACTTGCGGTTTTGAGTTTGCATTCCCTCAGTTTTGCCGCTTCCTGCTCCTTGAAGCGGTTCCTTTAAGGGCGGTTCTAGAAGAGTCTAGGGTTCAGGGTTTAAGGTGGCTTCGGAATTAGGGTCTGATAGGCTTTGGTTTTTCCTTCACCATAATCACTAACGGAACCTATCTGTGAAACACCGTCTAAAGACAATATGAAACCTGCAGGACTCCGCCAACTTGAATCCTTCTAGAATCTCCATCATGATCCCAAAGGGTCCTATGTACTGTTGTGGGGGTTACTTCCCTAAGTCATAATACATGGAAACCCCACATTCTACTATATCGGTACATAGGACCGTTTGGGGATGCCCCTTATTAAGGTTTTAGGTTTAGTGGTTCAAGAGACCCGTCAGAAATTCGTTGGCCCACCAGCTACGATGCGCTCCCTCAAATACTTGCTCCGAGGCACTTTAATACAAAGCCGTAACCTTCCGGCTGAATACAGGGGCCTGAGCAAATAAACTCAGGCAGATTACAGAAAAGTTAAGTAAGGACTACAACGGGATATTGCTATTACATACCATTATGAATTCTTCGTATCTGTAATTTGCAATCCCGAAACCCTTGGCAACTCTTACAGCTGCTCTGTGGTAGCCCTTGCTATGGTAACCCTTATATACAAACAACCCAGTTAGTAACTCTTATTCAACCCGCGAAGATGCAACGGTTCCCCAACAAGAGCCCGCGTGCGGGCGAGGGTCGGGTCAAGAGTACGTTGACCCGGCGCGGATCGCGCATAAAGCCAACCTGGTTAAAGTGTGTCTTTCTCTTCTTGTCTCTTGTCAAGGCTCCTAAGCCCTGAACCCCTAAACCCTAATTTTGTATGTTTGTTGTGTGTTTGCCATTTTCAAGAGCGCATGAGTTGGGGCTCTGAGGAGTCTAGGTGCAGGGCCACATGATTTGAGATTCAACAACTCCTCTATATCCTAGATTGGGTCTGGGGCCTAGGGTGCAAGGTCTTTGGGCCTCAGTAGCTTTGAGAGGGTCCTTGTACCGAATATAGTAAAAGCAAAAGATCCCAAGCTCCCCACTCTGACGGATTCTGGCACCGAAACCCAAACCCTAAAGCCGTAAACCCCTAAACCCTAAAACTTAAACCCTAAACCTACCATTGTTGGGGATATGAGTCTCCAGGGCTTGTGGCTTAAAGCTTTGCTTTGCAACCTTTTAAAGGCCGACTACCAGCGAAGGCAAGGGCAACGCCTTGTTGGCAAATTTACGGGATCCTTTTCGGGTTACTGTAAACGGTTCCTACTGCTATCACGTTCCGGTTTGCAAATGCGTTTAGAAGCATCAGGTTGATGGCGGCTCAGAACAGGTCGTCTGGTCAGATTCATGGTGGATATAGTGTGGGTTTTTGTGTAAGGGTCTGGGTTCGGGTCTAATTGCATATATCCGTTAAGGAATCCTTATCCTACCACGGTGAATGGCCTTTCGTCGAAATACCCCTGCTTGCTGCAACTCGAAAAAGTCTTGCGCCTCCGTTTCTTGTGCTATGTTGTCAGCACATCAGATGCGCTGAAGCACTGAGCCCTAAAAGCGCCAACATATGTAAGCACTCGAACACCGGAATTTGCAGAAGCCGGGCCAAGGCAAAGGCTTTGTAGTGAGAGCGGACCTTGGCGAGTTTTCCAGTTCAAGCCTTCTTGGTTGAGGGGCCATTAGGGTTCTGGTCCAAGCACTAAACAAACAGAGTGCTTGTTGAATTTTAGGGTTTGTAGTGCTTTACGTAGAGGTTTAAGGTTTAGGATGGTAAGCCTTTCGGTGTTCTTAAGTTGATTAATGGTCCCGTTTAAAAGCCTGAACAAGTGGAAGAGGTCGAAGTAACGGCCTTTATAGTACTTGAGGTGTAAGGTCTCAGTGTTTGAGAAGCCCTTCTCCTTCCGAAGTCGCTCGACCCTGTAAACCGATTCAGCGGGCCCTCTAAAACCAAATATCTTTCATTTACATGATGTAAACCCCTGTTCGTAAAACCCTCTAGAGGGGGACAACTAATTACAATGGGACCCGGTTTACAATAATTCACAATTGGAGCGGGGCTTCTGAATCAGATGTCTATAAGAAAGACTCTGACTCCGAAACTTCTCTCCCGTTATGAGGAGCCTCTATATATATATACACACATACATATGTATGTATACATATATACATATACATATACATATACATATACATATACATATACATATATATATATATATATACATGTGTGTATATATATACACACATAACCCACGACTGTCTGTAAACACATGAATATAAAACCCTAAGCCCGAAACCGTCGGTAATCCGACACTCTTCTCCGACAGGGCACAGTAGAGGCAAGGATCAGGTCGCGCTCTGCTCCCTGCAGGACACAGGTTCTTGGGTTGAGGGTTCAAAGCTCGAGTTCAGGGCTCAGCGTTTAACGCTAAGGGTTACCGTTAGGGGTTTTAGGGGTCTAATGTGGGTGCCTTAAGAACTGGGATAGAGTTTTGAGGTACATTGTAGTGTGATTTTGAATAAGGAGCCCTGAGGAACACTTTGAGTAATTCTGCAGGCCCCTCTAGCAGGGGATTCAAGTGCCTGTCGGGCATTTGTAGGGGTTCAGATACAGGGCTTTTAAGGTTTATCTGTGATTTGCTATCCGGCTGTTACTGTCCCGTAAGTAATCCAGAGGGTCCATAAACACTACTATTGTGGATTCAGGTCCCCAAAACCATAATGGGGGTAGTGTATACGGACCCTCTGGGTAAGGTTTGTCAGGACTTACAAGAATGCTGTGAAAAGGTCGGAAAAACAGGTTCGAAGGTTCAGGGCTTCGCTGCGGGGCAGAAACAACTACGAGGATGCCCCGTAACCTAGGAATAAAAAGAGCTCCCTTTTTGGTATTGGGTGCATTTAAGAGGAACCTAGGACTACAAAAAGGGAATAGGGGCACTACTGGGCATCCTAGACTACATTCAGCGCTAGCGATGGCTTTCGTTGTTTGCTGCCGGTGATGTAAGAATGGTTACCCGGGAGTCCCAACAGCAATGGCGCAAGCTCCTGCGTTTTGTTGCTTCTCGCAGATCAAAACTGTATGCGAGGACTTACTGCTGAATGCATCAGTCGAACAACTGCTCGGTGTATAGCTTCGTTTTTTACACTCATAATTAACCTATAACACGACCAGTTACGACCCTGCAGGTATCAGGAAACAGGGAAACACCAAGCACAGATGCCATATGGCCATATCTCCACTGCTTTCGGAAAACGTTCTTTCCCAAGCAATCAGAACTTGACATAAGAAGCACCCACACCGCTGGACTTTACCAGCGCTGGCCTGGAAGCCATCCACGGTATCCACCTTAGCCAAAAATTCTTTAAGCGGGGTAAGCGTTGCGCACCACTTTCTTGGTGGCTTACGGCTGCAGGGCTTAAGGTTGGGGACTTCGGGTGTTTAGGGGGCTTATATGAGGTGTTTGGCTGAGGGCTTTGGGTTTAGGCCCATGTCAAGCAGCTGCGTTCATTGGAACCCTAATGTCCTAGAACCCTGCAGCACACGATGCAGATACAGTCACAAAGGTCTCCCCAGAGAGCGCAACTCCCCTTGATCTCGAGGGCTAAGGAATGCGAGGCTAAGAAGTGTACTTTAAGCTATGGGTGGATTAAGCTTACAATGATGCCAGGTGTACTCGTTTACCAATAAATGGTGTTGGTCTCTCAGTCGCCTTCCAGGTCATGAAAACCCTTGGGACAGAAGCCACATGGGTTTAGGGTTTAGGGTGCAGAATCCTTAACCTCAATCCGCCAGGTCTACACGATGCAGAACCAATCAAGTTTCGAAATCTCAATCCCGAAAACAGTATCTTGCACTACCAGTGAACCGCAACCCCTCAACCCATCCTTCTCCTGCTTCCAGTTGCAGGATTTGCCAAGTGAATTTATCTTGGTTATTTCGTCTGCTTTTAAGAGAGCAATGATAGCAACAACCAAAGGATTTGAAAAATTCGTAAGTGAGCCCCATGCCCCTCAAATCTAGGACTTTAAAGCTTCAGGGGTTCTTTGTGTACAGGGTTTTGGGATTTGGGCTTCTCCTGAGACAGGAACATCCGTTTACATATCCTACAGGGCTCCATAAACGTACTCTAACTCTCGCACGTCCATCTAGCGCACAGAACCCCTTTCCGAACCCTCAACCCTAAACCCCAAAGCCCCGCAAGGCCGTTTTCCAAAAACCTAAACTCTCCATTTTAAACCCACCCAGCCTTACACCCAGAGGCCTAAACCGCCCCCAAACTCGTACGGAACACCCTACAGCCCTGCAAAACCCCCACAAAAAGACTCAGGGAACCCCGCAAGCGACTTTGAAGCCTTGTACAACCCTATCAACACCCGTGCAGAACCATGCAACGCCCTTCAAACCCCGCTCAAATCCCTTATTGCCTCGCAGGGCCATTAGACTCTTACGACTATAAACCCTAAGCCCACAACCTTCTGTTTCAACAACCAAGAAGACCAAGTGGCTCTCAAGCCAGGCAGGCCCAACTTGGCCACCTCCTTCTGAAGCAGAGCCTGCAAGGGTCTTTACAGAGTTTGTACGTAAGACACCTTGGCCCCTATCACCACAAAACATTGAGTTTATACAAAGAATCCCTAAGGGTCCATGTACCCAAATAGTATATACACTGGCCTGAAAGTAGTCCCCATATAGGTACATTGGGCCCATAGTTTTTACTATTTGAGTACATGGACCCTTAGGGAATCCTAACAGACCCAGGGTTTCCTAAGCAGGTTCCTATCTCAGGGCTTATAACAGCGGTCCTAAACTCTAACCTACTAAATCCTGAACCCTAAACCCGCCCCTGTCGCCCACCTGCTGGGCGGAGTAGCCGGTGATGATGCCCACCTGTAGGGCGCTGGGCGGTAATAAGGCCTATTCAAGGAAGTATCGTACCCCACCCCCTTCCCCCGTAACTGCCTAAGAATCCCTCTGACTTCTTTGAACAACTTCTCTACGTCTGTGGGTGTAGGCGTAGCTAGGATACCAGTTTCCATGTAGAACATAGTACTTCGACTGACAGACAAAGACAGGACAGAGAGAAAACAGAGATGTATAGAAAGCACGAGAGCCTCACACACACACACCCCACACACACACACACCCCACACACACACACACACACACACCACACACACACACACACCCCACACACACACACACCCCCCACACACACACACACACACACACACACACACACACACACACACACACACACACACACACACACACACACACACACACACACACACACACACACACACACACACACACACACACACACACACCCCACACACACACACACACACACACACACACACACACACACACACACACACACACACACACACACACACACACACACACACACACACACACACACACACACACACACACACACACACACACACACACACACACCCACCCACACACAGACACACACGCAGAACGAAAGCGAGAAATCACCACACGACTGAAATGGAATTCCAGGGCCTTTTGTGGTGAATGCACAAGCTGCTGATCGCCCGGGGCTTTCACGTCCACCACAGTCGGTGTCGGGGGAGCTTCTGTGTTTTCCTTTGCGTTCTCCTCCTTGCATGTGCCAAGCTTCTGGCCAACTCCGCTAAACAGGCCAAACATTTGCAAAGACAGCCCTAGTATGAGCTAGGTGCCCTAAGCTGAGCCCTAGAATGAGCTAGATGCCCTAAGCTGAGCTTCAAACTGAGTTAGATGCCCTAAGCTGAGCCCTAGAATGAGCTAGATGCCCGAACCTGAGCCCTAGAATGGGCTTGTGGTTGAAGGACATGCAATCCTTCAATTTCTCATGAAATACACAATCCCTCCTTATTGTCATGGACCTCGCAACACTCTGACGATGAGCTTGCAAGCTGCGGGCACGTGCAACCTGCTGCTCCATCATGCCGGCCCTACTCTGCTATGGCAGCTTACAGCAGTGTTTGCCAAATATTGGGCGCCGGACCAAGCAATGAAAATGACGATGATGCAAGGAGGAAGGGATCCTGTCACCGCAGGTCAAAATTCACTTCAAACTTCTTGTCTGGTATGGATTAAAACTGCAAAGTCTCCAAGCTGAGAAAGCTTTCAAGTGCCTAAGCCCCGAACCCTAACACCCAAGGCTTTCAAGTCCTCCAACCTAAAACCACAGACCCCCCTAATTTTCAAACCCTGAACCCTAAATCCAAAACTCCTCTCAACCCAAGTACCTTGAACCTTAGACCCAAGACTCCCCTAAACACTGAACCCAACAATCACTCTGGCAGACATTGCGATTAATCCTTGCTCATCCGCAGAGAAGAGTGTATGATTGCCTTGCTGATTAACTAATATGACAGTCTGCATCTCAGTAATACCAGGGCCGAATGTAAATGACATCAAACATCGTTCAACCTTTAAGCCATGTGTTCGCAATTTGTGTCAGCACGGACAATCAGCCTTAAGCAAGCTTGCCCTGGGTAGTGAACCATCATTAGCCCTGAACCTTACAAATCAACTGCGTGTGCATTTTGTGTTTGCGTGTGCTCGTGGGCTGAATCGAATGTCCACCCAAAAGATCCCAAAAGCCTTTAAGTATTCCATTGGTCCAGACACGGCATTCGTGATTGCTTCGCAGCCCGCCTTGTCAACCTGTTGGGCAACAGCATGGTCAGGGTGCCGCAGACTCCACCTCATTGGCCTGGGAGGGGAAAGGGAATTGTTTAGGAAGTTGAGGACTTGCAATTTAGTTAGGGTTCATCTAGGAAGCTTTTGCTTCTACCCAAACCCAAACACTGTAAGGATTTGAACCCAAGGCCCTGAAGCGGGACCCAGTCCAGGGCCCCAAACGCTCGGGCTCGAAGACGCCTTGCAGCGACGCAGGCAGGCACCTGAGCAGCACAGACAGGTCACCCAATGATCCAAATCTGCACATGCCAATGCCCAGACGCAGTCCGTCTCTTCTCCTTCTTGCTCCCAGAAAAGCCTTTCTTCTTCTTGGGCTTGCCTCAGACTCAGCCAGAGCACTAGTTGCACTTGCTTGCAGCTCAAAGATTTGAAGCACTTCTAACTCTCTTGTCGAAATCCTTTTCATCTGTCCCTCATGCAACACCTTCGCGCTGCGGGCTCAAAATGCCAGCACAGCTGAAGCTCGGCCTTCCCGGCGCCTTGCGCTACCTGTCCAGGAGGCCCTGTCCAGCCTCCTTCAGGATGTGCAGGTAACCCTGCGAGTTCGCAGTTTTGCCCAGATTCTTCGCCGTCGTCTGCACGCTGCTTTGAGAAGCCTTCTCAGCCTCTTTGCGAAGATCCACCAGGCCACGAAGTTGCCCCTCGCTATGTTGGTCTGCGATTCTGACTAAGGTATCGTAGACATTGAGAAATTTCGGCGCTCCATCACGAGGCAGGCAACCTTTCATCCCGTAAGACAGGAAAGCGCCCGCCAAGAGGTACAGCTTTTTGACAGGGCATTTGATTTGGCCCAGTCTGCGGCAATGCAAGAAGCACCAAGCTTCGTGATGCTGGTTCGCCTTCTTTCCTCCCAAGTTTACACACCCTGGGCACTTGTAAGCATCGGTCAGGAAGGCAATCATACGCTTTTGCAGATTTCCTCCACAATCGCCGCCATCATGCTTGCAGCCACATTCCGGCTGCTTGCTCCATCAAGACTTCCAGGTAGCGCGCCCCTTCCTCGGCAAAGGGGGGCTCCGGTTGCGGCTGCGCTTGAACTGCAGCCGACTAACTGACTGCATGGGGCAAGCCTTGCTTGGCAGCTCGATCGACCTCCTTCCGGGCGAGGAGCTGCACGACACTGACGTTTTGCGGAGGAGGCTTCATGTGCTCAAGCACCAACTGGTGCATTTCTCGCAAGATTTCCCCCATCCGCTCGTGGCTCCCAAAAAGGTTGCAAATCACCTGGAAGTCCTTGTCAGTGTGGCCCCTGTCAACGAAGGCTTCGGACAATTTCTGCAGCAGCATCTTCGGTTTCTCCTGGACCTGGTCGCTCTTGAGCTCGTCGTATTTGCGCTTGAGGACCTGAGTGTTGACTGTGCACGCGGCTTCTGCAGTGGTGCTCATATCCGTGGGCGGCTTTGCTTGCGCCTCCAGCTGTACTTGGTCTTGGTCGGCAAAGCTTACCTGCTCAAAGCCTGTGCCCTTTCCTGGACACTTCTTGGAGACATAACTCTCGCATGCCAGAAACAGGCGACCTTTCAAACCTAGCCGAAAGACACAGCCTCCCCCACAGGTGTTACATCGAATGTCTGAGGGGCCGGATGTGTTTCGCTTCGCCATTTTCTGGGCCTTCTCCTGCAAAGCTGGACAAGGCGCCTCGCCATACCAAATCGCTGCCTTTCGTGGTGAATGCACAAGCTGCTGATCGCCCGGTGCTTCCACGGCCTTTTGTGGTGAATGCACAAGCTGCTGATCGCCCGGGGCTTCCACGGCCTTTTGTGGTGAATGCACAAGCTGCTGATCGCCCGGGGCTTCCACGGCCTTTTGAAGTGAATGCACAAGCTGCTGATCGCCCGGGATCCTTCAATCCTGAGGCGACCAACAAGTAACAAGAAGGAACAACCCTAAACGCTAAACCCCACACCCTAAACCCTCAACCCTAAACCCTAAACCCTAAACCCTATACCCTAAACCCTGAAACCTAAACCCTTCAGACAAAATTAAAAACCACTTCAAACGGCCCCCCCCATGCGAATCTCCGGCCTGGCTGGGCAAGGTGCCCTCAGCGAGGCAGCGCTTCAGCACCGTCAGGAGTACATTGGCCTACCGAAAGAAAACTCAGGGGGACGTTTAGAGTTTAGGGGTTTAGGGCTTAGCGTTTAGGGTTTAGGGCTTAGGGTTTAGGGTGGGCAGGGGGGGGGGGGGAAGTGCTTCAGGTTTAAAGTTTTTACACTTTATACTTAGAGGCCCAGGGGACTGAGTAAGTAGGCTGTAAGTAGGATTATAAGTACGCTAAGTGCGGCTACCCAGTTATAACCCTACTTATAACCTACTTACTAAGTCCCCCGGGCCTCCACCGTGCAACAGATTGCAAACGAGAAGGCCGGGCACCTCTTTGTAGTTGGAGTGACTGCCACCCAGACTTCCTTCCTGCGCACTCATGGGCTTCACCTCTACTGGTATGCTACGAGAACAGTTATGTTCGTTAGAACTATAAGACGATGACGGTTGACCGTAAAAGGACGAATGCTTCCAGCCAGATTGTTTGCAGTCGTCCTCTCCGGTCATGTAGCCGCATTCGACGAAGGCCACATGGCAACCGGGCACGGGCCAAGGAAACCTCAATGTGGGCAGATCTAATCTCGGGGCGTTAACGATTACAATAGGGTTTTGGGGCCCTTAGTACTCTTCATCTTTCATAATCAGGAACCCCCAAAATAGTACCCTATAGTATTTCAACACAAGACTGGTGTCTCATATTCAAGCGAAGTTGCATCCATGTCCAAGGGGTCCCACCAGGACATTAGATCCAACAGGGTGATGTAGGAACCGGTCGCGATACCCCTGATTCAGAGAGCCGCCAGATACACTGCGATTCGTGTTTCCAGCCATCTACTGACCACTTGTTTCCGAATCAGGTGCCTGCATCACGTAGCAAGTACTCGTTTCGGACTTTGCTCACGGTTGCTTCTCGGGATTCCTATTCTCCTAAGCCCCTGACACCCTCAACCCCAAGACTGCCCTAAGTTCGAAACCCCCCCAAGCCTAGAGAGCCCTCGCGGCTTCCCTCTAGGAACCCTTACAGTTCCCTTCAAAGGAACCCTCCAAACGCCCTTAACTAGAGGGTTTAAGGACCTTAAATTAAACCCACTAAATCTCAAGAGGCCCTTCCCGATGGATCCAGCTGTCAGGGGCACCGACCCAGGAATGGGCTCGCGCTTGGACATCGCCGCACCGTCTCCTCGGCTCTCGCATTTCGTCCTTTTGGGTTTAGGGCTTGTTGGGTTTAGTACCAGGTCTTCAAGGCCTTCAGGCTTTAGGGTTTAGGTTTAGGGCTTAGGGCTTTTAGGTTTAGGGTTTAGCCTTATGTAGGGTTTAGGACTTTTCGGGTTTGGGGTTTTCGGATTTGACTAGGGTCCACCTGGGCCCAGTTACCCAAATAGTCGCTGACTAACCATGTGATCTGCAACCCTGTAACACTTTATTTAAGCAACTGGAGCTTCCTAACCGAAAAGGCCTACCTTTTTTAAGGAGTTATATATAGAGACCATACTAAGGAACCCAAAAAGGTACGTCTTTTCGGCTAGAGGTAAACCCTGGACTCGAACCTTTGCATGGTTCCAGTTCCAAGTCTCGTATAGTTCCGCCGTAGAAGGCATCGCATGGAAACCTCGCGTTTTGGCTGAGAGACCCGGTTTCTTCGTGACGCTTTCACCCAGCGAGCCCAATATAGTCAATACACGCCAAGTACTAGCAAGGCCCCTCTAATTTCAGGGGTTGCTTTCTTCAGAGTGAACTCTGCATGTAATGAACGAGTATTGAGCTCTCTGGGGCCACACTCAAGAGAAACTAAGCGCACCGTGCGATCGAAGGATGCATTCGCTGCTGCTCGTCCAGCTGGACGAAGCCGTTGCCTCGTGATCGCAGAGTGTAGGAACAAAATTGATTCTCCCCTAAACCCTGCAAAACACATAAAACCTAAACCCTAAACCCTCCTTAACCCCTAGACCCTAAACCCATAAAGCCCCTAAGCCCTAACCCCTCCTCTTCACTCTGAATCCTAAACCCCAGCTCAGTTGACGGCCCAGGGAGACAATCTCATCTCGCACGAAACGCCTGCAGACCGCTGTTGTGCCGGAACAGTCCGGTGACATCATGTGACATCTATAAGCAGCTCATCCAAACTCGCTGCTCAGATGCGTCATGCAGCTAGCCACATCAGTGTGGAAACCCACATTATAGAACCAGCAATGCGAGAGCTAGCTCTTTCTCTCAACTCACTGCGTCTCTCTCTCTCTCTCTCTCTTTCTCTCTCTCTTTCTCTCTTTCTCTCTTTCTCTCTTTCTCTCTTTCTCTCTTTCTCTCTTTCTCTCTTTCTCTCTTTCTCTCTCCCTCTCTCTATCTCTCTCTCTCTCTCTCTCTCTCTCTCTCTCTCTCTCTCTCTCTCTATGTGGGGATGCATGGACGAATGCAATAGATACAGGTGTACATACGTATGTATGTGCGTGCATGTGTGCATGTATGCTGTATGTATATATGTATATTTATGTATGTAAGTACGTAATGCATGTACGTATGCATGTATGTATGTATGTATGTATGTATGTACACACATATGTACACATGCACAACAATACTATAAACACATAGAACTCCTATACATATCTGCATATATATATATATATATATATATGTCTGTAATGCATTATGCAATTGTGTATATCTGCACTACTGCCAACCTAGTGGGATGTAGGGAATCCCAGCACTATTTGGCCTTACTCCGGTTTCCCACTTTAAGGGTTTTACTATGAGTCCAGATGGCCTAGCCACGGGACCCCCAAACCAGGGTTTAGGTTTAGGGCCCCCAAACCCATGTTTAAACATGTCAAACTTTTCGGGTTCTAACACTAAGCCTTATTGCTACATGCAATCTCCAAAGACCACGCTGAAACCCCAAAAGAGCCTGGGCCTAGGCTTCCCTACATGCTGCAAAGACAGGGCTGAGCTTCCGTCTCGAAGATTGACACTCCCAGGTCCAACTGCCTGAGCCCCAGCCCAATCTTTAAAAGTCGACCTTTCAAACAGGAATCAGCATATTCCTCAAATCATTGTAGGTATATCTTGAGTCATACTATCAAGGATCCTACTTTTGTTTGAGGAGGTTCGAGGTGTTTTAATTGGATACTGCTGGAAGATCGGGGAGTGTGGGATGACATTCATGCCTGCATAGAAGTCTTTGAGAACTCAGAAAAAAAACCGTAAAGGAGCTCCTGAAGAACCCGCACAGAACCTCTATGGAACCTTCTAGAACCCTTGTAAGCACCAATCCTTGTAATTAGAATAAGGTTTTGGGGGCCCTTATACTATAATCAAAAAAAGGAACCCCCCAAAACAGTATAGGAAATTATTTAGGCACCTGCATCAGATGGTTTAGGAGTTTACTTAGTAAAAAGCTGACGGAAGGCATTTCAGACCGGGGCTTCGACACACCAAAGCTTCGCACCACAGGCTTGACCCTCTTTTCCAAAAGCTATCTATCCAGACCTTCCAAAATCCCTTAATTAAGGAATAAACGTTGAAATCATAATAGGGTCCCTAATATGAATTAAGGTATATTCCTTAATTAAGGGATTTTGGAAGGTCTGGGTCTATCTATCTACCTTTCTAATTATTTATCTAGCCAACTGTCTATACGTGTTTATGTCTACTTACCTGTATGTTCGTCTAATGAACGGCCTACTTAGCGGCTCTACGTGGGACTTTGTCTTATCCCCAAATAAGACAAAACTGTTTGGGTTGGGAAGGTTCGCAGAAATTAAAGTGAAGGTCTGCCCAGAACTGGGTGAAACCCCTCATCCCAGACACTACAGGAGCGTCAATGACAAGCAGAAGACGAAGCGCTTCAAGATAAGGGTTTGAATGGCTGGAAGAGAGTTTGGAAGTATATTTTACTCTGATCGGTGATAATGACCCTCAGGAAAAGTATCGGCAATCCTCAAGTGAGTTTGTTTTCAGACTTTCAGGCATCCTCTCCTGGCATCCTCAGAAACAGGATCTACTCACGTAGGTTCTATCTTCAGGCCCCAGACTTGTGTGAAACTCCTAGACATGGTCGCTTGCCATGATGAAAGAATAAGCTAAAGCTTCGCAATATCGAGCTCCTCACGGCCCCTTCCCGGTGACATGTGCGGATGCAAAAGTAAGCCCCTGACGATGCTTTCTTGGAGAGGATGGTGGCAGGGAGCTGCTTCTCATCGCCAACCTTTTGGTTTAAGGTTCATAAGTTTAAGAAGGTTTACATAGGACTTGTAAAAAGGCCGTATATAGGGTTGACATGGGTGCTTTTCATGAGGTTATTTCATGAGGTTATTTCTTGTAGGGTGTGTGAGTTCTCCGTGGTTATAAGGTGTAGGAGTTGTGCGTTACCTTGGCTTGGATCTTATGCTACAGGAAGTTTGGATTTGCGCTGCTTGAATGGGGTTTCGGGTTCAGCCTACATCAACCTCAGGCAGACATGTTGCTGCATCGGCGTTCAATGAATTCAATGTAGCCATCTGTGCTGTTTCTACCTCAGCTTACTAAGATCTGTGTACCGATGCTACAACAGTTCAAGCTCATTCACCAAAGAGCTCTTCCTCTTACTTCTGCAGCTTACTAGTGAGCCGAAGGTTCACCTTTCGGATTGTAGAGAGACCAAACTGAATACCCCAAACCGCTTATATGTGAACCCACCCAACTGCCAAGACTTGGAGCTTTTCCATAATCGTTGTGGATTTGTGTAAGGTCGCCGGCTACAGGTTGCCACCCAAAGTGTCCAAGTATCATCATGGTATATACTTATAGGGTATTTTGGGGGTCTAAGTATATACCATAATGATACTTGGACCCTTTGGGTTCGTTTGATCCAAGTAGCCAGCGCAAAGGCAACGGAGCCCCAGTTCAGAGGCACGAAAAGCCCGGGTTCCACGCACTGCGCCGCCTTCGATTTAGGGCTTCGACTATTTTTTGAAGGGTTTAGGGTTTAGGGTTTGGAGTTTAGGGTTTTGGGCTAAAGTTTGCAAAACACAATTAAAGTGTTGCCTTCAGTGAGCGTTGCCGGTTTAATCGTTCCCGGTAGTGTAGTCGGAGGGTCATGGGACGAAGTACGTAATTGATTCTGCGCACGAGGGTTACAGGGGCCCTTATAATTGGAGATCCTCAACGGATCTGGGAAGTTGTCAAAATTAGGATCCCTTTTTGGGTCTCTATTATAGTACGGCATCTAATACTTAGGGTACCCAAAAAACGGACTCAAATGTTGACAACCACCCATACCCCTTATAGGTCAACTATGGCCCTCTAGGAGTCTACTATACTGAACTTAGAACCCTAGCAAAAATTGAAATTCTAGCTGTTTCTTAGGGATTACAATAACCAAAAACTAAAAATTATTTCTAAGTACCTTTAAGGCTACTCGAACTTCTCAGCAACCCTGGACTAGGTCTTCCCAGCCTTCCAGGACAACCCAATCTCCTATTTCATATGCCTTAGAAGCTGCCCCCCACCCTGTAATAGTGACAATAAGGCAATAAGGATTATATTAGGGCCCTATTATATTCCTGTCATACCACTATTACAGGGTGGGGGCAGCTTCTAACATATGCCGAGCAAAACCATCAGACTGAGAATAAGAAAAGGAGGCAAAGAAGCATCCCCAAAAAGAGGTCATCCTAAATTTTGCAGGTACTCCAAACGCGATACCCTAAACCCTGAACCTGAAGCTCTAAATCCCAAGTACGCTCGACACAAAAACGACTCGGGCCTCGTCTACAAGGAGCAAAGGGATTTCGCCCAAGGATTGCAACCTCAGCAGGCATGAAACTAGACATATGCTCCATAGTATATAGTTCCTTTTTGAGATTACCTTATAGGATTCTATATATGAACCCCAAAAAGGAACTACCTTGGAGCCTCTAGGTTCACAATGCTGGCTGTCAGAAGCCTGCGTCTGGCGGAATTACGTCAAGGATTGGGGTTCCATTCCTAGACCCCCAAAAGTAGGTAAAATTATGGACCAAAACCTATAACAGGTTAGTATTTTACATACTTTTGGGTCCAGGTTATGGTTTAGGGGTTTGGGGGTTTAGGGGTTTACCTATAGTCTCCATTGTAGTTCCTTCTTGGTGTTACCGTTTAGGATCCCTGATATATAACTGGTTAAACCACAAAACGGAACTACAATGGAGAATATAGGTAGCCTCAGGGTGACTGCAGCAATCGGCCATAAACGAACAGAAGTCTTCTTCAAGTTAATTGCCCAATGCGGTCTATCTGGACTACCGCTAGAGTTGGGTTGTAGTCGGAACCTCCGAGTGAAGTCTAAGCCCGAAACTCGTACTTGGAAGCTCCTAGTAGGTTCTGATTTTTGCTTAGAGTTTCGAATGAGCTTCACCAGCGATAATCGCCATCAGCCCCAAGAACAAGAGTAGTATCGGATTCATAGGATACGTAAGGACTCTAAAGAAGTCTTATAGGGATTGTGTAGGGCTTTGTAGGGGCTTATGGTGTACTTGCCATGACGGCTATGGATGCTTGAGAAGTCTGGGCCTAGGCCGTTCGGGTTCTGGTTAAAGAACTTACATAACTTTCAGTTTAGAGACGGAATGTACATTCAATGGTACGTGTTTCTGTGTTGTTTTCTGAGAACTTAAACTAACTTCCTTGACAAGGTTACTGGGTTAGTTTTCTGGGTGCGCTGGTATTCTCCATGATCAGTAGTGAATGACGTCATGAGAGCTATCCGGCCGGCTTCTTTGATTGGCTCGATTGATGAGCCAAACGGCGGACGCACTGCTGTTTTGGATACCGGCTGTCGCTGAATACTGCGAAAACCAGACTTCCGCAAAAAGGATGCAAGGCTAGTAACTAACTATAGTCTCCATTGTAGTTCCTTTTAGGGGTTACCTTTTAGGATCCTTAAAATAAAACTGGTTAAACCACAAAAAGGAACTACCATGGAGACTATAGGTAGTACACCATGACCTGCTGGGAATGCTTAAAGTTTCAGTTTCAGCGTGTAGGGCCTTATAGAGCTCGGGCTTCCGGCTTCGTGTTTATAGGGGATTTATTGTAGAATCACCAGGATCAACTAGCGCAGTAAATTCCCCACAGAGGCAAATCTTCACTTCAGGAAAAATTTGAAAACTCGTGAAGATAAATGTCTCCAGTCGGTCGGAAGTCTGGCAGATAAGCATGGCTAATGCCGAAACAGCGTGACTGCACATACCCTACGGCTCCAGTTCCACTGGATTCATTGATTAAATGGAGCTCTGGGGATATGTTGGCATTTGGCAGAGAACAGCATGCAGTCAAGCAGAGAAAGAGAGAGCGAGAGAGAGAGACAGAGAGAGAGAGAGAGAGAGAGAGAGGAGAGAGAGAGAGGAGAGAGAGAGAGGAGAGAGAGAGAGGAGAGAGAGAGAGAGAGAGAGAGAGAGAGAGAGAGAGAGAGAGAGAGAGAGAGAGAGAGAGAGAGAGAGAGAGAGAGAGAGAGAAAGAGAGAGAAAGAGAGAGTTTGGGATAGTTGGGAGGTCTAGGCAACGTAGGCTTCTGAATAGCTAGTATTAGTTCCCCCATGCAGCCCTTCTTAAGCCATGCCACAATACACCTCGAAGCCGCATTCCACCTACTAAGGCGCCTACATGGAAGCCGACCTATAGTCTCCATTGTAGTTCCTTTTTGGGGTTACCTCTTAGGATCCTTAAAATGAAATTGGTTAAACAAAAAAAGGAACTACAAGGGAGACTATAGGTAAAGCGGTACCATGTTAGGGAACTCTGGGAAGGTATGGGCAGGTGCAGGCACAACATTCCGGCGCAGGGGTCGCACCCAGAGCTACAGCTGCAGTTCGCCACGGACATCGACTTGGGGAATATCAGCTCGATGAATAGAAAACTCCAGGGCACTCCTTGCCTAAATGATGGGCTTGGCCTACAAGTACTACCCTGCTGCATATGTAGGCAACTGGAGGATTAGGGGGGCACTATGTCATACAGGTAGTTTGGGAAAATTCCAAATCGAGGACGTCTCTACATGCCTTCTATGGTGCATACGCAAGCGCAAGACCTTCGGGCGATGTCGAGCCGGGCATGCAGACCAAAAATACGCGTGGTGTCGTGCACGTGCTTGTGCGCTTTAACCCTCTGGCAGGTGAACCATCATTCAGGAGCCAGAGAAGCAAATAATATAGGGGGCCTGAATATTTTCAGTAGGGCTCGGGGATATTCTCGGCCACGTACGTAGGGACTATAGGGCATAAGCTTACTGAATATTCAGGCCCCTATACTGAGAGCATTGTCATGTAAGCGAGCTTCGTCCATTGAAGATGCACTCGCTGAATCTGTACAGAAGCTGTGATCCGATCTCCATTTCGTACGAGGACTCTCCTGAAAGACGAGGACAGCTGACAACCGCTTACAAACGAAATGGGCCTTATAGCCTACCTGCAAGGCCTTCAAAGTGCAAGGTAGGTTTTTGAAGCATAAGATGAGCCTACGTCTCGCTTAAGATTTACATGTTATGTGGTCCTAAAACCATGGACTGCTCTCTGGCTTCGCAAAAAAACATTAGCATGTCGCCCGAGATAAGCTGATGCTGTGGCTCAAAACTCCTTGCAATGGAAGTATGTCATGTAGGGGCCTTAATGAGTAGAATAGGGTTTTGGGGCCCAGTATACTTTAACTACATTAGGGAACCCCCAAAATAGTACAGGTAATATTAAAAAGCCCCTATATTAGGATCTGACGTAGCCGCAAACAGCAAGGCTCACACTAGCACAAAAACTTCATGCAGTATCCCTAAGGGTCCACGTACCCAACCAGGGGTTGCTTTAAGGGTACTTTAATAGGTTACTATAACGGTTCTATAAGGGATCTATTCGGGTTCGATAGTTGAAGGGTCCATGTACCCAGATAGTATATACATTGGCCCCAATGTACCTATATAGGGACTACTTTAAGGCCAATGTATGTATTATTCAGGTACATGGACCCTCAGGGTATGGTCCTGGAGCCCGAAACTCTCCAAAGATGTGTCCTGAGATCCTTAAGATACTTACCTTTACGCCTTACGTCTGCCGGTTTCCCCTTTGATGGTGAATCGACTTACCAAAATGCCCGAGTAGCTCTATGAACTTGGTAAATATCACATAACCGCCTTTACAGACCTATACAGGGCCCATACCGGTAACGTAGGTAGGCGCCTTAATTAATGGCTTATGAGTATAGCAAAATATACCCCCCCCCCCAACCCTACTGTATTTATAAGCCTCAAGCCTAAAGTGGCGGGGCCTCTCCGGTCGCTGTCTACTTCTCCCCCTCGAGCCACTCCAAACGACGCTTCAGCAGGTCGTTCTGGCGATCTATGCGCCACATCTCCCTGGCAGGGTTTACCTATAGTCTCCATTGTAGTTCCTTTTTGTGGTTTAACCAGTTTTATATTAAGGATCCTAAAAGGTAACCCCAAAGAGGAACTACAATGGAGACTATACCCTAAACCCTAACCCCTAAACCCCTTTAAAGGAACCTTAGACCCCTTTAAAGGAACCCTAAACCCCTTTAAAGGAACCTTAGACCCCTTTAAAGGAACCCTAAACCCCTTTAAAGGAACCTTAGACCCCTTTAAAGGAACCCTAAACCCCTTTAAAGGAACTACAATGGAGACTATAGGTAGGGTTTAGGGTTTAGGCCCAGACCTTCCAAAACCCCTTAATTAAGGAATATACCTTAAATTATAGTAGGATCCCTAATATGATTTAAGATATATTCCTTAATTAAAGGATTTTGGAAGGTCTGGGGGGTTTAGGGTTTAGGGGGGTCACGAAGTCTGGGTGTGGGATTTCGAATTTCGAGGGGTTTTAGGGCTGACGGTTTACATATCCCTGAAATTCTTGAAGTCTTGGTTTGGGATTTCGGATATCGGGGGTTTTAGGATTGGGATTTAGGATTTGAGGGTTTTAGGTTTTAGGATTTGTGGTTTTGAGGGTCCCGGATTCCGAGGTTGCTTCCAAAGCCACTTCAAGCATCATGCTGCAGCTGACGGACAAAATCCTAAACCCTAAAGCCTAAACCCCTAAACTCTAAACCCTGTATCCTGCCTGGCCTCAAATATCTAAGCACCGTGGCAACTGTACCACCTTCATCATTATGGAAGATGCAGAAGTTGTTTAGCAGCCGTAGCCAGCTGACGGCAAGCTTGCCACCCCCTTAACAGGAAGGATTCCGCTTTCAGGGAAAGATACCCCGACCCCGAAACAAAAGAAAGTGTTAGTTGGGCACCCAGAGACCCCGATACGCCCCCCAGAATCCCCACAAAACTTCCCTAAACTCTGCAAACAGTAAAGCCTCATCGCTAAAGAAACTGCCCATAGGCCCCAAAGTATAAGTAGTTCTTTTTTGAGATTACCTTATAGGATTCTATATACCCCAAGAAGGAACTACTTTGTGGCCTGTGGGTAGAGACTGCCCTAAACCTTAAACCGCCAACTGTGCCTCTCTAGAGAAGCGACGTGTCGGTTCGCAACGCCCGACATCTGCTCGACCACCTTTGAGGAGCACCCAAAGGAGGAGCGGATCTTCTCAGGATTCCTTGAAGGGTATGTGGGGTTCAAGGGTTGAGGGGTTGAAGGCGGGGTCTTCTCAGGATTCCTTGAAGGGTGTGTGGGGTTCAAGGGTCCAGGGCCTTGAAGGGTTTGTGGGGTTCAAGGGTCGAGGGGTTTAAGAGTTCAGGTTCTTTTGGGGTTAGGGCTCAGGGTTTGGGTCTCAGGGGTCTAGGGCTTAGTGCCCCTATACATACAAACATACTGTTACATACTGTACACACCCAAACATAAACCCCAAAACACAACTTGGTATCTTGATAATATGTTTCGGTTATGGGCCCAGGGTTTCTGAATCAGGTTCCTACAACAGTAGACCCGTCACAAAAGACTCCAGGCAACGATGCCAGAATTGCGGAGACACGTGAGCCCAGATTGGTTATGCTATGCTTGGATAAGCCGTAAAGCCCCGAACGGCAAAAGCCGCAAAATACCGTCACAGAACCCCTGGTAGGGCAACCCTTGGAGGAATCCCTAAATGAACCCCGAATCCTTAAAGGAACCCTGAAAAGAACCCCTGGCAAACCCTCTCCAGGCGGAAGCTAAGTGCTTGGCACTGCGGTTGGTCTTCATCTTCACCTCTCTCCACACCAGCAGCCCTCTAATTACGTAGGACCTTTTCTTGGTTTCACCAATTTTATACTAAGGATCCTAAAAGGTAACCCCCAAAAAGGAACTATAATGGAGCCCTCTTATTAAATACGCTTGACATTACCTTAAGGACCCTAACCACGGAATTATGGCATGTTCCTTATTATGGGTGATGCAGGATTTATATCATCAACCGTAGGACCATGACCCCGAAATCCTAAAACCCTGAGCCCTCTAGTTACATAGGATAGGACCAGGAGCCAATCTCCAGATCGGGACTTAACCTGCAGTTGAAACCTACCCATAGGCTCCATAAAAGTTCCTTTTTGGGAATACCGTATGGAATCCTAAAAATGAACCCAAAAAGGAACTACTATGGAGCCTCTAAGTGTAGTTATATAGCACAAGCACGAAATCCTAAAACCCAAAAAAAACTCTGCAGCTAGGCTTGTTGTCTTGAACTGTTATAAATGCCAAGAGACTGCTCTAGGGCTATAAGTGAACCTTCAAATTCGATTTAGGGCTTTGTCGTTTACGGTCCCTAAAGTAGGGAACAAAACCTTATACGCCTTAAGTTATGCTAAGAATCCTAAACCCTGCCTAAACCGCGGCTTAATCACAAGATGCTTACGTTTCTGAGCCATGTCTGTGGGTAATTCTCTAAAATTCGATCCTTTTTTGGTGCCAACCTTACGAATAGGACCCCAAAAGGGGCCCCACTGTATGGCTTAGGGCTATAGGACTCATACTGTAGAGCTGATGAATAACCCGACGCACTTGAGCTCAAGGGGTTTGGGGTCTCTAGGAAAAAAGACCCTGAACTGAAATTAAGTCTAGGCCCAAACGGCATAAATCCTGAACCCACTGCCCTAGTTGCTCAACCTCAAAGCCCTCTCAGCCCTCAAGCTACAAATGATACGACCGCAGAACTTGGCAGGGCGACGGAGGTTCAGGTTCCAGCTCCTATACGGTTGATGATATAGATCCTGCATTACCCATAGTAAGGAATATACCATAATTCCATAGTTTAGGGTCTTTAAGATAATGCAGGATTCATATCATCAACAGTAGGTCTGTGAAGCCTTACGAAATGCGTCGGATGAAATCCGTCTAGAGCCCTAGCAAACCTGTCGACATCACTCTATGACTCTGCCAACAAAACCCCTTTGAAAGCCCAAAAGAACCTTCCTAAAATCACTTCATTGCCACATGGTTCGTCTGACATAAACCCTAAACCCTAAACCCATAAAGAGCCTTAATGGTTTCACGCACGCTCGGGCGCTCGTTTTGGTATAAGCATGGTTAGGGTTCCCAAGGAATACTATCTGTACTTCCCAGACCTTCCAAAATTCCTTAATTGAGCAATATAACTTAAATCATATTAGAGACCCTATAATAATTTAAGGTATATTCCTTAATTAAGGGATTTTGAAAGGTCTGAGTTGTTTCGGCTCATTCTATCAACACACGAAACACCCCACACAGCCTTTCAAGAACTCCCGCGAAACACAATGCACAACGAGTCAATTCCCAGCAGCCCACTGCTTACATACTCCTGCCATCGCATGCGACACCCTATCCAACATAAACAAGTATAATATCAGTAAAGGAGCAGATGAGCCTCTCAACTGCTTGAATATACAATTGCTTGACCCTGCACCCCCCTACACGCGCAAACATCCCAAAATCCCAAGCCATTGACCCGCAAGAGAGAAAACCCTGTAACACCCTTGTAATACCCCGTGAGAAAAAGCTGCACAAGAAACATGAACCACATCCCAAACACGAACACCAAACGGGAGCTTCCGAAAATAGGGATCGGAAACTCTAAACTCCCTATAGAGCCCTTAATGGAACCCTTATAGCACCCTTATGGGTAACCCTTTAAAAGGAACCCTAAGGTACCCCCTAAAATTTCGGAAACTCCCACAAAGGTAACCCCTCAAAGGAACCCTAAGGTACCCCTACAGACCCTAAACCCCTTATAGTACCATACTTAGGGTAACCCTTTAAAAGGAACCCCTAAGGTACCCCGAAACTCCCATAGGGGTATCCCTACACAGGAATCCTGTTTCCTGAGGAAACTCCCAAATGGGGGTTTCCGGAAACAGGGGATCCTAATATAGCACCTTAAATAATAGGATCCTTATAAGAAGGATCCAAAAAAAAAGTACCCCGAATTTTCGGAAACTCCCAAATCGCTTCTAGCCTGGTGCATCATCCCAAGCACGGTCATTAAGAAGCAGGTGGCCTCGGCTGGGTTTAGGGTTTACATAGGGGTTTAGGGGTTTAGGGTTGAGGGTTTAGGGGTTTAGGGTTGAGGGTGTAGGGGTTTGGGCGTTTAGGGTGAAGGGTTTAGGGTTTACTGTAGGGGTTTAGGGTTTATGGTAGTCATAGGGATCCTTAGGGGGGTAAGGGGCAGTAGGCCATATTAAGTCTAAGTCCTTATTATGGGTATTAAGGCCCCCTACCCCCCCTCCCCCTACTACCCTAAGGGTCCTCATGATTAAGGAGCTTAGCTTACCCATAGGCTCCATCGTAGTTCCTTTTTTCGGGATTGCCTTTTACGATTCTAAGTATGAACCCCAAAAAGGAACTACTAGGAATCATCTAGGTAAGGGCTAACATAGAAACTTCAAGCCCTGCTTTTGAAAGTAGCGTTTGATGGGTTGTTTGGATGCCCCTCACCCACCCAACCCTCCGAACAAACCCCGAACCCTCCAACTCCTACACCCCAAGTTCCTCTGGTTTACCTGGGCCTCATTGTTCTTTCTTCATATTTATTACTAGAAGTATAGTCCTAACACTACTAACAAACACAAAAAACATACCCATAACACGAATAAGAGCACGACTACTAACATTTCGGCATTATTAGTGCTATAAATGGGGCTTGTGGCTTCGAACCGTGGGGCTGAGTTGTCGTCGTCACAGCGGTAGTGGTGGTGCGTGGAACGTGGTGGCCGTGCTGGTAGCAGTAGCAGCGGCAGTGGTAGTAGGTAGTAAGAGTGGTGGTGATACAAGTAGTAGTATCGTCGTCGTCGTAGCAGTAGCAGCTGCTGCAGCACAGAAACGGTACCGCAACAGACAAAGACTGAACAAATGTAAAGAAGAGGAAACGCAACATATCAAATACAGAATACACTGAGTATGTGTGTATATATATATATATATATGTACACACACATACATGCAATAAGATTACAAGCATGAGCAGAATCATAATCATAATCCTAACCGCGACCAGAAAACTGACAAGACAACTAATATACTAAGGCGAGTATGACTCCACATCTTAGTTGCTGAGTTCATAAGCCCCCGAAATTGTTTTTTGTAGTGGGTAATATTATCCCAAAAAGTGTAAAGTGTATACACTCAGCTACTAAGACATGACATTATGACTTAGGGGAAGTCCTTTGGCCCTTCAGACGAGGCGTCGGGCTTGAGGCGACAGTCCGTACGACACCTCCTGGAAAAATCCGAAGTGCCGAAATAACGGGGCTCTTGCTTGTAAGTCCCAAATCTCACTGGCTGAAAACCCAGGGAAACAAAAGTTGAAACTTTCAGTGGCTACCTTATAAGAACCCCTAAAAGTTGAAAAGTTGAGTTTTCGTTGTTGAAAGTTTTAGCCGAAAAGAAGAGCCACCGAGGAGCTGCCAAGAGAGAGCCCCGGTTCTCCAAAGTGACTTGGTAGACACCCATCCAGACTTCCTTCAGCCTGAGGGGATCTGCTTTTCCTATGTAAGGTTAGTTTGGCATTTGTGGGGTTCTGAACGGGTTTTGGGTAACTGCAGGGCCCAAAAGACTCATAAAGTATGGTATTTGGGCCCAAAAGAAAGCCTTAATATATGTGTGTCCTTGGATTCCTAGGATTTAGGGGCTCATTGAGGGTCCATGGCCATGTTTGCAGGATCTGCTCTTCCTCTTGGTTTATAGGGGCTCGTTGAGGGGCTATGAGGCTCTTGTTGTTATGAGGGTTTAGGCTCTGAGGTTTGGGTGTAAAGTGAATTGTCCTTTAAGCCCTTTGAAAAATATTTCCTGTTTTGGTTCTCTACATAGTAGGGGAACTAAAAAAGATCCCAAAGGACAACCCAGTAAAGTGGCATTTGGGACTCGAGGCTCCCGGGATCTCCCCGAAAAGCCTCCGAAGGATCTCGCAAGACTCGCGGGGGGGGGGGGGGGGGGGGGGGGGGGACTCGTCGCATGGCCCTGCTGCTGTTGATGATATAAACCCTGCATTACCTAATATACCATAATTCCCATAGTTTAGGGTCCTTAAGGCAATGCAGGATTTATATCATCAACCGTGGGACTTAAAGCCCTTTCGGCTGCTCTGAGGTCACCACCGGACCGCGGCGTATAGCGGCGGGATTTACATGTTCCTTTTTGGGATTACCTTATGGGTTTCTACATATTAACCCCCCCTTTCAAAACGGAACTACTCTGGAGCCTATGGTAATATGGCTATGTGGAGGTATTCCGAGTGTGACACTGTCAAGACTTTAGATGTGTTCGGGTGTTTCGACAGTCACGGTATGGGAATTGACGCACAAAAAATTGCCCTCCCGGGTGGGACTGCCATTCTAAACATAAATGTGCACAGCCCCACAGTGCAAGCTGCGAGATGAATGCCAAACCGTTTTGGGAACAAGACACCTGTAAAGGGAAGGCAGAACTATGCAAGTCTTCAGCATGCACAGGCTGAGCAGACACCTGCAAAACCTTCGACAGTTGGCAAAGCCAGTGTAAGAGACCGGAAAAATCCTTAAAGCGCCCTGCTGAAGCTCCTACTGCACAGAGCCTCCAGCACCCATATTTTAAAGGACATAAAGGACATACCCTAACTCAAGTAGTATAAGAACTGATGATCTTTTCTTTAGTTCAGGGATCTTGGAGAAGTGAGGACCATACCTGAACTCTGCCAACAAGAATCCGTTCAGAATCCCAACCCGACACCCTAACCCCTAAAACCCTAAACCCTACGAATCCCCTCTATGCTTGAATTTGGCTGTACGTTCCTAGCATCAGAGCGGTTGAAGTCTCTCGGTAAAGCACTGCCTCCTAAACCCCAAACCCTAACCCCTAAACGGCAATCCCGACAACACAACCCCTAAACCCAAACCCTAAACCCTGAACCCCCAACCCTAAACCCTAAACCCTCAACCCCTAAACCCTGAACCCCCAACCCTAAACCGTAACCCCCATCCCCCCCGAGAACTGAGGCGGGCGACGGAAAGTCGAGGTACCAGATCATGGGGCCTGTGGGTCTGGAAACCCAAAAGGGCCCAAAGTAACTTCATGGGAGTTTCCGAAAATTAGGGGTACCTTATTTGGGGGTCCTTGTAATAAGGATCCTACTGTTTAAGGTGCTATATCAGGGTCCCCTATTGTCGGTTACTGTACTGCTTCATATGGGTAGTTGTCAATATTAGGGTCCCTTTTTGGGTCCTTGTTAGAATACGGCACCTAATATTTAGGGTTCCTGAAAAGGGACCATAATCTTGACAACCACCCGTATAGTAGAATGTAGGGGTTCTATATTAGGAATTACAATTATGATTTTGGGAAGTATTCCCAATAACCGTACCTAGGACGCTTAGAGAAAGGAACAAACCAGTAAGCTTTGGGGCTTTCGGGGAGTATAGGGTTTATAGGTTTTAGGATTTATAGGGTCAAGGGTTTAGGGGTTTAGGGAATAGGGCTATAGTAAGTCCATAAAATAATAATAATGGTAATTAGAATTGGGTTTTCGGGGTTGAGGGGTTTTAGGGTTTAGGACTTAAACTAACGACCAAAACCAATGCCATGCAGGGCTTAGAAGGCTTAGAATCTAAGGAAACGACCCAGCAGGTGCACTACAGACTTCACAAGCCCAAATCCTTCGGCGAAGCCTCTTTCCTGCTGGAAAGAAGGAAGGGAAGGAGAACCAGTAGCGCATTCCGAAAAGTTTGTTATGGGACTTTCTGTAGGGCTTCATTAAAATTCTAAAAGGGACGCACATTGACGAATAAACCTACAGGATTGCAAGGCTTTTCAGATTCTCCCAAATCCACCTTGATAAGGAAACTAATAAAACGAAAGTCACGGAGCCCGCGGTTGAAGGATATACCGTTGAAGACCTTTGTAGGGGTTGCAGCTCCGATAGCAACCCTCCAAAACATCTAAAGCCGGTTCGGTTCAGGGATCGAACCTACGAATCCAACAACAAATTGCCAACTGTACACATGCAGAAACCCTGCCCTAAGGGTTTAGGGTTTTAGGGTTCCGGGCCCTAAACCCTAAACTTTCCTTAAACCCTTAACCCTAATAAGGATCCCTTCTAGGATCCCTTATAGATCCCTTTCAAGGGACCCTAAACCGAAAACTTTCCCTAAACCCCAACCCCCAAACCCAAAGCCCCAAAAGGCCCTCAACCCTAAACCCCAAAAGGCCCTAAACCCTAAACCCCGAAAGGCCCTAAACCCTAAACCCTAAAAGGCCCCAAACCCTAAAAGGCCCTAAACCCTAAAAGGCCCCAAACCCTAAAAGGCCCTAAAAGGCCCCCTAAACCCTAAAAGGCCCTAAAAGGCCCCCCAAACCCTAAAAGGCCCTAAACCCCAGCGTATCCAAGGCAGCATCTTCGCCTGCGGCTCGGAAGCCGTCGACAGGTCCACAGGTCCTTGGCCATGGGAGGCCAAGAGGGGGGGGGGGTGGTCACGATTCTTGATTCTTGGGGTGGGGACTAGAGTTTAGGGATTAGGGTTTAGGATTTAGGGTTTACGATTCTTGGGGTAGGGATTAGGGTTTAGGGATTAGGGTTTAGGGTTTAGGATTTAGGGTTTACGATTCTTGGGGTAGGGATTCCTTCAGTTATAGTAGGGATCCCTAATATGATTTAGGGTATATTCCTTAATTAAGGGATAGGGATTTCTTAATAGGAACCCTATTATGGGAACCCTAATCCCTACTAAACAACCATAGAGGCCCATAGGCCTCCTATGGTCATTGGTCATGGCGCGACGTGATTGGGATTGAGGGCTTGGGGTTTAGGGTTTAGTGGACCCTACCTGTGTCTCCAACCTCTAGAACCTAAACCCTGAACCCTAATTAATGGCCCTAATCCCTAAACGGCCCTAAACCCTCATCCCTCAACCCTAGACCGTCTCCAACCTGCACTAGACCATCACCCCACGGTTTCGGACCGAGGTCTCACCCATAGTCTCCATTGTAGTTCTTTTTTTTGGTTTAACCAATTTTATATTAAGGATCCCAAGAGGCAACCCCAAAAAGGAAGTACAATGGAGACTATAGGCATTGTTCGGGATTGAGGGTTTGGTGCCAGGCAGGATTGAAGATTTGGGGGTTCGGGTCCAGGGGTCTTAGGGTTCAGGATTGAGGGTTTGGGGCTTTCAAGCAGAAGGTCTAGGTTATTGGAATCGCTAAACCCTACTACATCCTAAAACCTTCAGGTACGGGTTTCGGGAGCATGGCAAGTGCTCTTCACTGTGGGAGCAGTCTCAAAGTGAAAACCCCCAACACCCTCAAGCACTCATAAACCTACCTGCTTAAGGACTTACACAAGGAAACCATACTAAGGACACCCAAAAGGGTAGGTTCTTTAGGGTACAGGTAAACCCTACATTCCGTTACACAAACTTAACTCACACACAGCTTGCGGTATGGCATATTTCACATGTCCGATGTAAGCCCTCATCTCGCAAGGCTTCGAGCCGAATCATAAACCCTACAACCCAACCGGAAATCATAAATCTTGAGCCCCCGAAGCCCCTGCCTTCGGCAAGGAGCCACCGCAACCAATGCCAAGGACATGCACTGCCACAGCGTCTCCGAAGCCCATGAATCCTAAATCCTAGACATTGCCCTACATGCAAAAAGGCGAACGCCCAAACCCCCAAGCACCCTGCAGCACCTGTAGCTTTTTTCGAAGACAAGGTACGGCTCATAGGGCACCGTGATGATGAGCTGCGACATCATCAGAAGACCTCTAGGATCCCTAATGTGTAGGTGGGAGTTTCCGAAAATAGGGGACCCTAATATAGTATAGTAGCTACTATACCCTAAATAGTAGGATCCTTATTGTAAGGTCCCCATAATAAGGTACCCTAATTTTCGGAAACTCCCAGGTGGCCTTTGTAGTTAGAATAGGACTCTACGATATCAGAGTTCAGGGTGACTATAAGGGCTTCATGGCTTGATCGTATTTGGTCCTAACAGTGGGTTATAACTTATAGAACCTATACTGACCTTAGAACCCTAGCAAAATTTGTAATTTTAGCTGTTTCTTGGGGATTATGATAACCAAAAGTTGAAAACATCTAAGTACCCCTAAGATTCGAAAAGGGGTTAGGGTTTAGGGCTTCGTTCGAGTCTAGAGATGCCTATACTGGGGGGGGGGCTTCACAGTTAGACTATGGTTCTATGGTGAGGGTTCCTTTGAAGGGCTCTATACGCGTTGTTATGATATACGGGCCTTAATCAACTAGAACTAGAATGGGTTCTGGTGGTGGTGGGAGATCCTGTAATTCTGCAGGGACACTGTGGGGATAGCAGTAACTCCTGCGATCGCGAGAGAAAATCCCCGCCCACCCAGATCCCCCAACCGAGGTTTAGGCTTTTGGAGGGTCTTGAAGCTTCTAAGTTCCAGGACTTAGGGTTTATGCCTTGCGGGTTTAAGCTTCAAGGTTTTGAGATTTTAGGGTAAAAGGCCGGGATCTGGAGCTTTAGGGTGAGATCCTCATTCCAAAGGCCTCAGGGGATTCTCGAGGAGCGCCACTGGTTGCATGCATGAGGCACACCCACAGGAGGCATGGGACCTCGTGGTAGTTTACCGGCTGCTTGCAGTCGGGCGGCAACGTCTTCGCGGTTCCACGTCCACCACCAACATCAGGAAGCAGAATGTCTTCCTCGTTCGTGGTTCCGGAGTCCTCCTGGATCTCATTCTTGTCCTGCTCGGCCCCCTCATCGTCGGACTCCCCCGTCATAGTCTTCCCACCCACTGCTTGCCTCCGTTTGCCCCAAAAGGTCTTCTTGAGATCTTAGGCCATGCAGGGGAGCGATGTCCATGGCTCCAACACGAACATGCCCATGATGTCACAACCATTGCTTCCTGCATCAGGTCTGCTACTAAGAGTCCTGTTGTACATTGGGGTCGTATGGTTCTTTGGGTGTCTTGCAGGGCTTTAAGAAGTGAACCCCAGAAAGTTGGAACATGTTGGGGATATTCCTGCTGGAATTCCCCATACTTTACTTCAAGCGCATGAGGATACTAATGTTCCAACTTTCTGGCTTCTACTTTAGAGCTGTGGGAGGATTGTAAGTGTGCAAAGTTGTTGTTTAGGGTGTCGAATTTAGGGATAGGTGTCCTACTTCAGGCTGACCAATCCAAGTATAACCTTACTAATTCCCTGGAAAGGGCTACCCCAAGGGTCCAAGTACCTAATTTTAAGTTTCATATACTCTCCAAAGTAGTAACCTATATAACAACGCCATCCTGAAACCGAGTACCCAATTATTGGATCCTTTGGAATGTTGGGGTATGGCTTCTAGGATGCTCTTCCGAAACTCATCGGCCAAGGACCGCGCCGATTGCAATGAAGTTGATACCTGTGACGCAGGGAAGCGGCATCGTCTGCATGCAACGGTTTAGGGTTTACGGGTTCAGGGCTTAGGCCTTCGGGTTTAAGCTACTTCAGCAGCTTCATTTCACAAGGCAGTTCAAGCCGATCTACTTAGGTATACTGCAAGCAGATCTTCATGGTAATCCACATCCCGAAACTCAACCCAAAACCCTAAACACCTGCACTTCTATGAAGAACCCTCGTTCTACGACTCCAATGCCTAGACTCCTGTAGAGCCACTTGTTAGAGGAACTTGAAAGTACTAATGCCAGATAATGCCAGGGCACAGGTGATGCGCTGGAGCGTCACCAGTAGGCCAGTGGTGTCCGTGATGAATGGCCGCCTTGTGAAATCTTAAGGGTTCCTTAAGCGGATCTCTTTACGGGTTCTATAAGGGTATCTCTTGACAGGTTCCCTTCAGTGTTTCTTTTCTGGAATTAGGCGTTGTTTCCGGCCCAGGGTCTAGGGTTTGATTCGGGATGATATAGGGGTACTATAGGATGCTGTAAGCTTCTTCTATAAGGCTGTCAGTATAGAAGCCTGACGTAGGTGAATGGAGTTTGCGATACAAGAATGCTTGAGTATGGGGACCGTAAGGCCCTAGTGTTCCGAATTGCCTTTTAATACCGCTCCCACTAGGGGATCATGGAGTGCTTTAAGTATCAAATGAAGGAACTTGGACTACGTTCAAGCATAAGTCAGCAAGTTGCGACATGATACTCCTAATGTTTGGAGCGGAGTATAGAGGATGCCAGTGCTCATCATGCCCATGCCATGTTCCAACTTTCTGGATTCACTGCAAGTCTGATTGCAAGCATCTTCCTCTGCTCTATGTAATTACACCCTAAAAGGTGGCTAGCCATGAAGTTCCTACAATGTTCGATCACCTGCATCCGAATGTTGGGCTGGAGTGGTCCCACACGCCTCATGAGGAAGGTAAGGTTGAAACGCAGCCACTTGAAGTGCAAGTACCTGCAAGGCGCCACAACATCTGAATCTGGCCGATTCGGGTATCAGCGGGACTTGGGAAGCCGGTGTTTAGCACCGCTACACTAAGCATAACCCCTTACAGGGGTTTGGGTTTAGGTTTTCAGGTTCAGGGTTGAAGGTTTTATTGTGGCCATCCCAATGCAAAAGGACTCAAGCCCTTGCACCCAGAAAACCCAACCCTCCTTCCTGCTGAGGCACTTCATATTCTGATAAACCCGACACAGGCCAGTTCTGGCATTTTCTACAAAACCGACAACAACCAAAATTGTCCTAAGTATGATGCTTGCCCAAACTTTTCTGGTAATTCCTAGCATAGAAACCCTGCGTTCAACGGCTCTACCACGTAGGTACAGAGGACCCTTTCCCAAAGGGTCCAAGTATCATTATGGTATATACTTAGACCCCCAAAATACCCTGTAAGTATATACCATAATGATACTTGGACCCTTTGGGTTTGGGACAGACATGACAGGGCGGACAGCAGCAGGGGCCCGATCACGGCCATGTACGGCACCTGACAGCGCAGCGGCTTCCACTATGGGCTATTAGACCTTATGGGTACCTTAGTCTACCCTTAATAGGGTCCTAATAGGGATCTTTAGGGTCTAATAGCCCATAGTGGTTTGCAGCAGACAGTCGGATGCCCTTAGATCTAGGGCCCCCAAAAGCACAGAAGCAAAAATTAGGATAGGGATATCCCAACTAAATCCCCTGAAAATGAGGCCCAATAAGGTAGGGATATCCCCATAAAATGCTTATGCTTATGTGCTTCTTTGGATCCCTTAAACTCGAGTAGGAAGTACTTCCTAAACTCCACGGGTATCCGTGATGTGGAGCGTCTCTTCAGCCGGGAGTGCCATACCTTTCTTGCGTTGTCTTGCTAGGCGATTTGTTCCTGCCTATGGCATGAACTCTTGTATTACCCATTAGAAAATGTTGCAATTCAGAGTCTAGGCAGTGCTTAGCTGGCTTTATCGCGGGGTTTTAGATTCTCCAGCGCTCCACTAATTACATCTGGCCGATGTGGGTATCAGCGGGACTTGGGAAGCCTATACTAAGGAGAACCACTAAGGCTTATTACGGTTTTATGTTGCGGGTACTTAACGCGCCAGTTTGGTATGCTCGCTGACCGTTAGTATGACACACAAAGCCACGTCATCTCGTGATTGGTACATGGGCTTCAATGACCAGACGAGGGTCTGGAGTGCTTCTGATCTAGACTGGAGAAAGATGGCCACGCATGATACTAGATACAGTTCAAGCCCCCAAGCCCGAAGCCAAACTTGTGCAAACCCTGGGCTCGAATTGAACCTCAAAAGCCAAAACCCCAAGCCTGCGCACGAGGAGTCACCGAAGTCCAAAAAAACAAGGCACATCCCAAAAGCTCCATTCTAGATCCAGAAGAACCCTCAAGCTTAAAGTGTGAACCCCAACATTGATAGCCTAAATCCCAAAACCCCCAGACCTTCCAAAATCCCTTAATTAAGGGATATACCTTAAATTATAATGGGGCCCCTAATATGATTCAAGGTATATTCCTTAATTAAGGGATTTTGGAAGGTCTGGGCCCCCAAAACTGGGACATGGCACAGTGGATAGGCACATCCAAAGCAAGGCGGAGAAATAGACAACCTTCATCGGATGAGGGCTTAGGGTTTAGGGTTTAGGGCCGTATGTAGCCCCAAGGGCCCAAGTACCTAATAATCATGTACTCTCCCAAATACTAACCTACATAACTACTATCTTCAAACCCGAGTACCTGATTATGGGGCCTTTGGGCCGGACTCGTGGTACTAGTTACTGGCAGGTCGCTTTGAATTTCTGAAGGGGCTCATACTCGAATTATCCATAGGTTCCTTAGGGTAGGGGTCTGAAGAGATATTGATGCGAGCTGCTAGCTCTTAAGGTTCCCTATCACAGTTATACAGGTTTAGGGTTTAGGGTTTAAAATGTTATACTATAGCACCGCCCAGAAAGTTACTCTAATTATTGAGGTCCCTTTGTTGAAAACCGTCTGAAACCATAAAACCTGCGTGGGCCTGTTCCGTCGGATGAGGGCCGGTCGGAAAGTTAAGATTTCTCAAATTCGGTGGAAAAAGAGTTTCCATAAGGGCTCTAACTATGACGGCATGAAGGCTTAGCGATGTTGTGACTTTTAGGCTGATCTGTGTCGAAAGGATGTGCGGATGAAGTTTTTGTGAGTTTTGGATCGAGGTTTCGAGTTGTCTCAGTTAGATATAGGGCTTTGGGTGCAGAAGGAGTTCGAAGATTCGGGCCTGAACTCTTGATCCCTTTGCTGAAAACCCTACACACTAAACTCTGAACCCTAAACCCCTAAACCCTGAACCCCTAAACCCCTTAACCCTAAACCCCTAAACCCCTAATTCTAAACCCCTAAACCCTAAGGGGAAAACCCCCAGAAACATGCGCCAAGAGCATGCAGCTTGATGAGTGTCCTTAGGGGCTCCAGCTAGGAACCCATCAACGGTTCGCGTAAGGGTTCCTGCAGGGCTCTACAAGCGATTGATGGCTTGGGGATTATGGTGGGCCGATCAAAACCGGCCCCCTGTCAGCCATGTCTAGTCTGCTCGCCAGGAAGGTAAACAAAACACACTTTCTGGGAGATCTCTCTGCAAGAAGTTATCATCCAAAGAAGCTCGCAAGAGCCCAAAACTTCTTAAACGCTAAAGTCCTAGACCCGAAAGCCGAAGCTCTAAAGCCCACCACCGAAGCTCTGCAGCCGCAGATTTCCAGAACTGTCGTTGATGATCAAAGCCCTGCATGACCTTAAGGACCTTATATAAACTATGAGAATTATGGTAAACTCGTCACTATGGGTAATGCAGGATTTATATGGGTGGTTGTCAAATTATGGCCCCTTTTTGGGTACCCTAAATAATAGGTGCCGCACTATATTAGGGACCCAGACAGGGACCGTAATTTGACAACCGCCCATATCATCAACCAACCGTAGTACTAACTAGGAGACCGAAACGTTGCTGCCGCGCCACATTTACTGCATCGTCTTGGATCCTAAGTCAGAACAACAGTTTCAAAGGTTGCATCCAGGTTCCACTAGGGTATTGCAAGGTCTGAAGTAGACTGAAAGGTTCGTTTGAGGGTTCCTGCAAGATGGGCTTGCCCAGCGAAGCCACCTTGCCTGTCAATATGGGATTGCTCCTCCGACTTGATACGGCTTCTCATCATTTGGATGATTTAAGACTTTAAGAGCATTCCTCATTTGGGTGGCCTGGGTTTGAGAATATCCTTAAGCTCAAATGGGGGTGTTGGGCCGTATAGGTACACCCTGATGCACGGCACCTGGAGAAATCTCAAGCCCACAGCCGGGTAGCTCAAAGACGGGCCACGGGAAGTTGCCTCACAGGACCAGTTGCCAAAAGCATCAGTTCGGAATCCAAACGCTCTGGCTGCAAACGTCTCATCAGCATAACAAGGACAACGACAGTGCTCATACACAAATGAAGGGAAAACACATGGCAATAGTCGTCGTTCCCCAAACCCTCCGGCCTTTTCTGCCCATGAGCTTCTGGAGGTTGTGCCGGATGAGGGCCCAGCACAACTGTGTCAGGGAGTTTGCAGAAAGCAGCAATGAACGGAGAAAAACGGAGGTAAACTCCGTAATCAAGGGCGAATAGTGGGAGCTCTGCGGACGCCAAAATAGCAGCGACTAGCGTGCAATGTGCTTATGCGTTAACAGATGTCCTTGAAACCCTAGACCCTGATTACCACTATGGGCTATTAGACCTTATGGGTACCTTAATCTACCCTTAATAGGGTCCTAATAGGGATCTTTAGGGTCTAATAGCCCATAGTGGTAGTCATACGGGATTTGTTGCCAGGGGTTTCCTTGGAGATTTCGGGCTTTAGGCTTACTGGCTTGCCTTCAGAAGCCTACCTGTCTAAGGACATACATAACGAAATCAAAATAAGGAACCCCAAACTAGTCACTAGGTAAAACCCTACCCGTTTCAGGGCTACATAACGAAATCATACTACCCTATGGGCTATTAGACCCTAAAGATCCCTATAAGGACCCTATTAAGGGTAGATTAAGGTACCCATAAGGTCTAATAGTCCATAGTGGTAGAGAACCCGAAGATGGTAGGATGCTTAACGGCGAAGGCAGGGTTTCGAAGCCAGTGCTTCGTCGGAGCCTTGGCCAGGGGCTTCACCATCATCAAAGTGAACTCCTCAGAGAAGGAAACTCTGTCTGGGCTCCAAGTTATTTACGGCTGCAAGGTTTATGGGGTTGAGGCCCGGAGCCCAGAAGACTTGCTTCAGGGATACCTTCAACTGCAGCGCACTTCACATCTTGAGCCAGCCCAGGGTTGTTGCGCTCTCTGCGCAGACGGCCTGCGTTGCTATAATGTGATGGTTTGGATGGCATTCGATGTTGAACATTTAGGGTTTAGCTTTGTCGATGCTGTTTCAGTCGTAGCAGTAGACCCCGATAAAATCAAGACTTACCGTCGCAACCCTAACAAAATTGATAGCGATGAAACAGACATGCTGTGTTTGTGGCGGGCTACATACCTTGCAAAACAATACGACACTATAGAAAGCAACAAATGAGAGAGAGAGAGAGAGAAAGAAAACACAAAGACAAAGAGAGAAAAAGAGCGCGGCATATTCTTAAAGACTCATGAGCTCCCCATCATCGGGCTTTCTGCCCTGCTGCCCTGCTTAAACCTGAGAGCCGAGTGTCGGTAACCACCAGAGAGAGCATTTCGGCTCCTGCATGGTCTGCCTGTGCAGTGCGGGAGCTTGCGATGCTCATCCAAGGAAGCTTCCCAGAGACTCCAATATCCCTTAATTAAGGAGTATACCTTAAAAAAAATAGGATCCTTCATATCATCCAATCCCAGAAGGAACTATATAGAGTAGAATGTAGGGTTTCTATAGGAGGAATTACGATTGTGATTTGGGGAAGTATTCCCCATAACAGTACCTAGGACCCTGAATTAAGGAATATACCTTAAATTATATTAGGATCCGTAATATGATTTGGGGGAAATTCCTTAATTAAGGGATTTTGGAGTCTCTGGGAAGCTTCCTTCGACGGAGCCTGTTTTCCTAGCCCGCATAAATATACCCTTTAAGGATCCCTTAAGCGTCCATGTATTTATACTACATACTTTGACACACACCCCACACCCACACACCACACACCAACTCACCCAGACACCCACGCACACGCCCGCACACACACACACACACACAAACACACAGACAAACACAAACACAGAGGCAAACACACACGCGCACGCGCGTGCACCGGCCTTGCATGGGTAAGCCCCACAAGGCTCGACTTGGGGCTGTAGCACCAAATCGCCACTGGTCCTTAGAACAGCTAAGAACGTGCATACATTATCATTAACATCTTACATGGTGCAGAGTTTGGGTGGCTTTAGGGCCCAAGGTTTGATCTTTCAGGGCCTACTAGGGGTTATGAATTTGGATTTTGGGGCTTCGTGGTTTAAGGTTCGATTCAAACCGCAGTGTGCCTTGAAGGGCTTCGCGGGAATTCGATAGGGTTCTGTAGGAAATTTGGGTGGTTACCACATGTTTGGTTGCTTAACGCACTTAACAGGCTTTTCGGAGCACGATTCTGCAGATCGCCGCTTCGAAATGTTTTCCTGCTTACCGTCACCCCCAGAAGCTGGGGGATTCAGATGGGAGTCGAGAGACATATTCTATCTGCGCAAGTGTCGGCATAGCCACCACAAATTTCACGCATTCCTGTCGCCCAGAAGAAAAAAACCAATGCCAGAGAACTGCGACGGCCGGATAGCATGGGTTCTTCAACAGTGCCGGGAACATGTGTCAACCCACCAACATGGGGTGTAAATGAGTCATGAGAATGTCAGGGTTACGTCGGTTCAGGATGCTTCAGGGCGCCCTTTGGAGCCCTCCAGAGGATTCGAAAGTTTTGGAGCGCTTCTTTGGAGCTTCGCGTCTACTTACTACCCCAATAAGCCACAGAAGTGAAATAGGTTAAACTTTCCGATTCCTACTAAACTACAAGAATCCCCAAAACTATAAAGCTTGGGTATTGGGGGGGATCTAAGTTCAGGGTTCTAAGGGTACTAAACTACAAGAACCCAAAAAGTTCAAAGGTTAGGCATTAAGGATCTAAGTCTATGACTCAAAACGGCTCAAAAGCCTTATATGATATGGTCTTTACGCCCAAAAGCCTTAAAATATGAGCCTTAGAGCCTTAGGGTAAGTCTATGATGAGGGCGGCCCGGGGGTCTTCAGCAAGGTTTGGGACTGCAGGGTCAGGGGTTGGGGCGGTATCCAAACCAGATGTCCCGTAGCCCTAAACTACCTATAGTCTCCATTGTACTTCCTTTTTCTGGTTTAACCAAATTTATATTAAGGATCCCAAGAGGTAACCCCAAAAAGGAACTACAATGGAGACTATAGGTAGGTCTCGATTTCAACCGTCCCCAAATCACCCTAAAGCCTAAACCGTGTTGGCCCAAATCGATACCTTAAACAATCAGGGAAATTAACAAGTATTCCAAATCGATCCCTAGTAAACACTGGTCTGCCCAAGCATCCAGATTGGCCAATCGTAAAGCAACTCGAGGCAGATGGCGGCATAAAGCCCGGCAGTCAGGATCTCGCCAAGGCAGCCAGTGGGTGTTGGGTACTGCTCCCACAAAGTAACGGTCTATAATAAGGCTACTATTAAGGTCCTAATAGTGTCTATACTATGAATATTATCCAATGGCCAACTGTTACTGAGTGGGTGCATAGTGTAATATCTGGGGCGCTCAAAGATTGGAGCCAGGGTTCGCGTGACGAGTTCTATCATATAGCCCCAAGGGTCTAAGTACCCAATAATCATATACTCTCCAAAAATCCTAACCTACATAAGTAATATCCTAAAACCGAGTACCTAATTTTTGGGTCCTTTGGACCAAGGCTAAGCCTCCAAACTCCTGAACCACGAGAGGCCCCCTCCAAGCCCCTGCACAGACTGCGCACCCTAAACCCCTAAACCCTTAGACCCCTAAACCCCTAAACCCTAAACCCCTGGACCCCTGAACCCTAAACCCCAAAACTCAAAACCCGAAACCTCTGAACCTCTAAACCTCTATGCCTCTATAAACCCTAAAAGCGAGTCTCGGCCTGGCCCAGAAAGAAGCGGTAGATGTTCAGCTGGGCCCGGTATTTCTGCGGCCACGCCTCGACAGAAGCCGAGGATCTCAGGGTTTTACGGCCTTTTTGGGATTAGGGTTTTGGGGCCTTTGTGGGCTTTAGGGTTTTGGGGCCTTTTTGGGGCTTTAGGGTTTAGGGCCTTCCGGGACCAGAACTCCCCATGTGATACCTTGCGGTGGTAGGGTTTAGGTTCTATAGCTTTGACAACCATGTTGCAGTTTCCACGAAGGAGACACCTCAAGAAAGAACCTAACCAGTTAAGCCCGCACCGGAATGACTACCAAAAGCTGTCTCTTACAATGCTGAATGTAGCTGTATGGGGCGAAAAATGGAAAAACCGTAAGCCGCGAAACCCTGTTCCAATCATCAAGGCCTCCATACAAAGCTCTCGGCTCCCAGCCCTGATTACTGTAATTCGCCAGTAAAATAGAACACTTTCATGACCTCTGCTCGAATAAGTCAACGCCCCAGGGCCCTAAACTGCAGAACCCCATATGTAATATAATAAAAAAACCCCTGAACATCAACCCGATTCGAACCAATACCAGACCGTGTACCTATAGTCTCCATGTAGTTCCTTTTTTGGTTTAACCAGGTATAGGTTAAGGATCCTATAAGGTAACCCAAAAAAGGAACACCAATGGCGACTATAGGTACTACTGTCACTCGAAGACCTGCCTCCAGGCTCGTCAGCAGCTCCGTCACTGGCGGGAGAACTGCCCCCGCGCCGGTTACCTCAGAGCGTTTGTGTATTGTTTGCTACCTATAAATCTTACTTAACCTCTGAAGCTCCAAAGCCCTGAAAAGTCATTGTACTTCGATTCGGTGTTGAGTACCTGGACCCTCAAAACATGCAGAATACTAGCCTTTTTACGTGTTGGGCCATTACTTTGTCTACTTATGCGGGGTCTAGGTAGGGCTTTATAGTATTATAGAGGTCAGGGTTCAGGGTCTATTATATAGTCAAGGGGTTCTTAGAGTTTAGGGTTTATGTACTTCGATTCGGTGTTGAGTAGGCTTTATAAGGGGTGCTCGCAGGGTGCAAAATTGAAGTTTAACCGCACGGCTTCGCGTGTCGAGTACAGGTTTTAGTGTTTAAGGGTTTAGGGGTTTAGGGTTTTGGGGTTTTGGGGTCCTAGGTACTGTTATGGGGGGATCCCCAAATCATGATAGCAATTCCGAATATTTAAACCCTACATTCTGCTATACAGGTACTTTGGACTCTTTGGCTTCAGGGTGGGTTTCAGGCGATAGGGTGGAGGGCGGTGGGAAGCGGGTATATCAGAATCGAAGCTTGGTCTTCATCCCAACTCACAAAAAGATCAGGGGAACCTACTCCACTTAAGACGCCGCGTGTGGGATTCAGAACATCTAGGCATACCCATAGGCTCCATAGTAGTACCTTTTTGGGATTACCTTATAGGAGTCTAAATGTGAACCCCAGGAAGGAACTACTGTGGAGCCTATGGGCACCTACTCCACTTAAGAATGGCCAACGTTCCGCCACGTGGCCAGCAGCGGTGCTAGAGTGGCTCCCAGCCACTCTCCGAGACCTCCATCGAGGGTCTCGGGTATTGGGGTCTAAATAGATGATTGACAAAATCGAACATGGGTACTTCTGTAGGTCCCCACAATAGTACGACAACCCTATAAAAAGAAGCCTGATATAGAGAACTACCCACATGAATGACACTGAAACTTTTCCTCCACGCCATGCGCTAAACTGCCCCAAACCTGATTAAGAAACCCTGGCCCTATAATCCCAAAATAGTAGGGCCAGAGTAGGGTCCACACAAAGAGCCTTCTCAGCACGGATTAAGCTAAACCCTAAACTTTTCGGTACTGCCCCCACTCAGTAGCAGCTGGATCATACTCCTAATATAGGTACATGTATTATTAGGACCTTAATTTACAGTAGCCCTATTATAGACTGTTGCTCTATGCGGGGGGGGGGGGGGGGGGGGGCAGTACCCAACCTAAACGCCTAGCCGACTCCGCAAGCCTCGGACCCAGCTTGGCCGGTGAACGCGAGAAACTACCCGCAAGCAAGATCTTCTTAAGCGCAATGAAGGCAAACTTAAAGAAAGAGCGTACCCCTGAAACCCCGAAAGCCTTCATACAAGCTATCAAGAACGCTCTAATACAACAAAAAGCTCTTTCAAAGTCTTCACAGTCTGCATCCCTCACGCGTCTTTTCGGAACGAGGGAAAACGCATTCGTGTTAAGGACTCCCTGTTGTCCGGACAACGAAATTCATAAAAATGCAGCCTCCCCCCTTTCCGAGAAAGAAACTATTCCAACTATGCAGGGAGGGGCTTGTAGGAATTAGCCACAGTATCCATCGAAGCAGTCCCTTTTGCTAAGAGTTTACTAAACCCTATAAACCCTAACATTTTCTCAAACCCCTCATTATAGATTCTGTCTTGTGAAAAGTGAAAAGGAGCCTTAGGTCCCATTCTTGAGGCCTCGAGCGTTGCAGCATTGCTCGAAGGAGCCAGCAAGGCTATCCTTCCGGCTGCTCTGAGGGAACCCCCCCGGTTGCCCTAAGGATCCAAAGGCCCCGGGAAGTAGGTCCTTATAATGGTATTATATTACGCTTATAATAAAGAAGACTCAGAGAATGTAGGTAATTGTTATATAAGGCCCCTATACAGGTACTTGGGTTAGGTCCGTAATGGTATTATACTACACTTATAATGAGGAAGACCCAGATAATGCATGTAAGTAGTAAGGCCCCCATATTAGGTACTTGGGTTTAGGATAGCAGTTCTGTGGGCTAGTATTCGGGAGAGTAAGTATATGATTATTGGGTACTTGGGAGCTTCGGGTTGTTGTGGCTGTAGTTTGTTGTTGATGTGTGCATCATTCTCAAGAAAGTCTCAAGAAAGCGCTCACCGTGCTGAACACACATTGCATGTTTCCGGTGCTCAAGTTTAGAGACTGTGTTGCGAGAGTTTATGGGGTGGGTATGTAGTCCCACACTCTTGACTCATGAATTCTCTGCTCTCCCTCAGCAGGCAAGCAAGAATTGTTAGTACTGCGGTGACCTCACTCTGTAGCAATAGCAGAAGCCGGAATACGAAAAGCAATCCACTTAATTAATTACTGTAGCTTAAACAACAACAAAGTGATGGCGCGAAGGCGTAAAACAAGAAGTTCTGGATGTTGCAACGACGGGTATGTTCCTTGATGAAACGGGGCCTGGGCTACAGCCGGGAACTAATAATGCTACACGTTCAAAACACGATCCTGGAACCCGAACGCTGGAACAGCAGACCTGTTTAAGACCCTTGAAAACCCTATACAACCCCTAAACGCCCTGAACCCTATCCCCCAAACCGGGGAAACTCTAAGCCCAAAAAAGCACCGTTCACAATCCTTTTCCAAACCTTCGATACCTAAAACCCTACGCCCTAAACCCTGCAGCCTGTAACCCCTGATCCCCTAGACGACTCAACTCCTAAAGCCCGACCCCTAAACCCAATCCCCAACCCCATCAATCAGCGCTCCACCAGTTGCGTGCGATCTCTGATGCAGATCCTGAGGTCGACTCAGCCAGGGTTTAGCCGTTGAAGTAACGGGTTAAGGCCGAGTTTAAGGGTTTTAAGATTCAGAGGTCAATGATTTGATGGTGTATTAGGGGGTTGAGGAGTTTAGGGCCTAGGGACATGAAAGTGTGCCCTTAGGGCGATGACTTTGGGCGTTCAGGTTGCCGGTTTGCTTGAATCCGTTACGTGGGACACCATTGTCTCTTTGCAACTCCTGTCCTCATCTCATCCGAGCATGTGCCATATATGGGAGTTTCCGAAAAAGAGGGTACCCTAATATAGTACCCTAAATAGTAGGATCCTTATTATAGGGACCCCAAATAAGGTACTCCGATAATTAGGGGTACCTTATTTTGGGATCCTTATAATAAGAATCCTATTATTTAGGGTACCATATTCGGGTCCCCTATTTTGGGAAACTCCCATATATGATCTCTGGCATTATGTAACATGACGGTGACGGTCAATACCAGTTTTATTCTACCAGCGCCTACTCTGCTTGCTATCTTGTTTTCATGTTTACCTGCTACTGAGACCATGCTACCAATACTCTAGTTGTCTTGATTATTTTTTCGTCATTCCTCTTCCACGGTGGTGGCGGTTGGTGGAGTTGGGGGGGCGGGGGCGTGGGGCTGTGCTTCTACAGTCAAATCGGGGTCTTACGTCTTAAGCACCCCCATGAGCACCCTATAGCAACTGCATGTACCATACATTATATGCTTAGACAAACAGATGGGTGGATGGATGGCTGGATGGATGGACTCTTGGCATAGAGATCTTTTTGTTCAAGTCCCACCCGACAGGGTTTAGGGTTTGAGTTTCAGGGCATCCCTAACCCCTAAACCTTCGGATTCAGACAAGGTTCCAGATCGCGATCCAGAGTCCAGCGATGATGCCAAGGTTCAGCAGAAATCCTGAGAAAGGTTTGATTGATCCCGGCTTCTCGCTTCAAGTTTGTGCTTAAGGCTTTGCATAGGCTTTGCAGGGTCCAGGGGGTTCTAAGGTTTACCCGAAGCCTTTTGCGGAGTAGGTTCGCTGGATGTACGGTTGGATCGCAGGGCAAATCCAAAGAGCCCAATACCCCGAAGTAAGGAACACCCTAAACCTATGTAGGGTTTAGGGTTTGGGGCGTCTTACTAGCACTTACCTAGGCGTTCAGGCGGGGACTCTTCCCATAATCAAGCGGGAGTGGGCTTGTCAGGTACCACTATGGGCTATTAGACCTTATGGGTAGCTTAATTAATCTACCCTTAATAGGGTCCTAATAGGGATCTTTAGGGTCTGATAGCCCATAGTGGTAGTGTACTACAGAGGCCTTACTGACTAGAAGAGGGTTTTGGTGTGGATCGGACGACAGGCCTTGTTAATGGTATATTACCCTAAGGGTCCATGTACTCATATAGTATATACATTGGCCTTAATGTAGTCCCTATATAGGTACTTGGGGGCCCATGTATCTCTATATGGGTACATGGACCCTTACGGTTATACTACACTCACATCAGAAACCCCGAGAGTTGAAATAAATTCAAGCCCCTAAACTATAATATTACGGTTCAACAGCTTCTCTTGAAGCTCATGCGCCTAACCTCTGCCGGGGCTTAGGGCCTTGTTTAAGGCCTTCTGTTTTAGCTGCATAACTGCCAAGAGAGCCCAGACGACAAAGGCCGGTATGGGCTTGCTCAATACGCCTAGGGTTTAGGGTTTATTAACAGTTTAGGGTTTATTATCGGTTTAGGGTTTAGGGTGTATTAACGGTTTAGGGTTTAGGGGCATATTTGTGAGTTTCATGGGGCTTCTTGCTGGTTGACTAAACAGTTCGCAGGGGAGCAGTATTTGGATCTGCCAAACCGTGGCTGCGCACATTTCATGACAAGCTCTAGCTTACCCCCACGGCGGCCTAGTAGACGCTTCAGCACCAGGAAGTACACGTCCATGAGTGTTCGCTTTCTGGCCTCCGGACACTGAAGTGCCATGTGGAGGCGGCTTCGTTCCAGCCATGAACATTTTGGGACTTTCCCAACATTCGGGGTACGTCATTTTGTCGTCGTTATAAATAGAAGGATGCGACAATTTAGGATACTATATTAGGGCCCCCCATTTTCGGATATTCCCACTCTGACATCGACGGACGCGAATCTGTTGCTAAGCTCTTGATCCTGCACATCACTGCAGATAGGCCACTCAAACAAGAAAGGCACTTGGTAAATGGGACCCAGTATGCTTTATGCATGTAGCCAGAGGGCGACCACTAAGTATGGGAATCATAGACAGACCTGGTCGCAACATAATTACGTAAGTGCCCCGACAGCCTTTGTGCAAACCAAATCTTGCCTTCTCATTGTCCTTCTCCTCGCGGAACTGAGCTCGTAGCTGGCTTACCATCGTTTGCTTCCTCGGGCGCCGGACGTCCCCAAGCACACAGCGAAACAACCACCAGCAAATAGGTCCAATGTAGATTTTCTTGAGACTGCGGCTGCGACAACAAACAGCAGAAATACGTGCACAAGGACTGGAGCTAGTACTAGAACCAGAACTAGTAACTGATGGCGATAGTGTCAGCAATACATTACAGCGAGTGTATAGCAGTTCCTAGTTAGGGAGAACCATAGAAAGACACGAAAAGAGACAATACTTACAGTTTTTTAACCTTTAACCCCAAACCCTAAACCCCAACCTCCCATTTAGGGACACAAAAACAACATAAGCATAAGCATTTCATGTGGATATCCCTACCTTATGGGGTTTCTTTATAAGGGGGGGGTATATGGGATATCCCTATCCTTATGATTGCTTATGTGCTTTTGTGGGGGCCCTAGCTATTAGCTTCGGGCTCAGGGTGCACGGTTTAGGGTTTAGGGTTTGCGGTGTAGGGTGTATGGTTTTGGGGTTGTACCTCATTTTGGAGTCCTTCTCGTAAGGATCCTAATATTTGGGGTACTATACTAGGGTCCCCTATTTTCGGAAACTCCCAACCCTAAACTCTAAACCATTATAGAAACCATTCAAGGAACCCTTGTAGATCCCTTTAAAGGAAGCTTCTATTCATTATTGGGGTCCCCTATTTGCGGAAACTCCCAAATAGCTAAACCCTAAACTCTAAACCTCTCTACCTATAGTAATTTAAACCCTAATGACTTCGTGGCTTTGGATCAAAACTCGTGGCTTTGGATCAAAACTCGTGGCTTTGGATCAAAACTCGTGGCTTTGGATCAAAACTCGTGGCTTTGGATCAAAACTCGTGGCTTTGGATCAAAACTCGTGGCTTTGGATCAAAATTCGTGGCTTTGGATCAAAACTCGTGGCTTTGAATCAAAACTCGTGGCTTTGGATCAAAACTCGTGGCTTTGGACTTTTTTTCCAGTGTTTAGCGGCCTCGGGTTTAGGGAGTGTTTAGGGGCCTCGGGTTTAGGGCCAGGGCCCCCAGTGTTTAGCGGCTTCCCAGTGTTTAGCGGCCTCAGTGTTTAGCGGCCTCGGGTTTAGGGCCCCAGTGTTTTGCGGCTTCGGGTTTTGGGCCCCAGTGTTTCGCGGCCTCGGGTTTAGGGCCCCAGTGTTTAGCGGCCTCGGGTTTAGGGGCCCAGTGTTCAGCGGCTTCGGGTTTAGGGCCCCAGTGTTTAGCGGCCTCGGTTTTAGGGCTCCAGTGTTTAGCGGCTTCGGGTTTAGAGCTCCAGTGTTTAGCGGCCTGGGGTTTAGGGCTCCAGTGTTTAGCGGCCTAGGGTTTAGGGCTCGGCCTAGGGTTTAGGGATCTGTCTTCTAAATCTGGGCCCCTCCAGAAATCAAAACATTTAGCTTGCACGGCAAGCTTCGTCAACTCTCAGAGCATCTGTCTTCTAACGCTGGGCCCCTCCAGGGGTCAAATCATCCAGCTTGTACGGCTAGCCTCTTCAGAGCTCAAAACATCTGTCTTCTAAAGCTGGGCCCCTCCAGGGGTCAAAGCATCTAGCTTGTAGGACTAGCTTCTTCAATGCTCAGAACACCTGTCTTCTAGAGCTGGGCCCCTCAAGGGGTCAAAGGAGATGCAAGTCATGACCATCTGTCTTCGCTCTCCAGGTGCATAACATCTGTCTTCTAGAGCTGGGCCCCTCCAGGGGTCAAAACAATTAGCTTGTACGGCTAGCCTCGTCGAAGCTCTTTGTTGTGGATCGACAGTTGAGGAGATGCAAGTCATGACATTTGACAGCTGTGGTTGCTATCGTAAAGCGACGACGTGACCGCAGCTTCAGCTGGTCTGGGCAGTTCTTTCTTTCTTAACTAGCTCTCTTGGGAAATCTTCTTTTAAGGTTTAGCGTGTCTTGAGAGGTCGCAACTCTTGTAGGGGCAAACAGCACTGTGGCCTGCTTGATCGAAAGTTTGAAGGTTTGCGGACTGTAATGGATTTTTTGAGTTGTATGTAAGTTTTTATTTAATAGTTCAAGCCAAAAGAAATAAAACTTTTAAATCTAACGTGAGGGGATTCTCTGGGCGGGTGGGGTTTCTTCTTGAAGATAGCTTGACTAGAAAGCTTGACGTGAAATCTTCAAAGTCAGAGCTGCTGAACCCTAAACCCTAAACTCTAAACCCTAAACCCTAAACTCTAAACCCTAAACCCTAAACTCTAAACCCTAAACCCTAAACTCTAAACCCTAAACCTTAAACTCTAAACCCTAAACCCTAAACTCTAAACCCTAAACCCTAAACTCTAAACCCTAAACCCTAAACTCTAAACCCTAAACCCTAAACTCTAAACCCTAAACCCTAAACCCTAAACCCTAAACTCTAAACCCTAAACCCTAAACCGCTGAGTTTCCAGATCTCCCGGTCCGACTCTGAGTTCAGCCGGAAGTTCCAGAGGCCTCGCGGCAGAAGTGGGCCGACTTTAGGGTTTCTAGGGTTTAGGGGTTTAGGGCTTGGGGCTTACCGTTCAGGGGTTTAGGGTGGGCCTACTTTAGGGTTTAGAGGGTGAACGGTTTAGGGGTTTAGGGTTTAGGGGTTTAGGGGTTTAGGGGCTTGGGGTTTAGGGTTTAGGGAAGGTTTAGCTCTAGGGTCCCTTTAAAGGGATCCTATATCTACTTTAAGGGTTTAGGGTCCCTTTAAAGGGATCCTATACCTATTTTAGCGGTTTAGGGTCCCTTTAAAGGGGGGATCCTATACGGGCTCCTACAAGGGATACCAGAATTGGGCCTACTTTAGGGTTTAGGGTCCCTTCATAAGGGATCCTACACGGGCTCCGACAAAGGATCTCTGGGGGCTGTAAGGTTTCGGGGTTCAGGGTTTAGGGGTCTAGGGTTTAGGGTGGGCTATGAGAGGGCTTTCATGTAAGAGCCGCTGAAGATAGGCTCGAGGGGGTATAGTTACTGATGATTAGAGCACAATTATGCAGGGACTGTAGCAAGGGAGGTCTGCTGCAGCTTAGCTCGATCTGGATGGCATAATCCCAGACCTTCCAAAACCCCTTAATTAGGGAATATACCTTAAATCATACTAGGGACCCTATTATAATTTAAGGTATATTCCTGAATTAAGGGATTTTGGGAGGTCTGGGATTATAGGGGTCCTCCCCTAAGCCCTAAATGCCTGAACCCGAAAGCTCCAAACATAAATCCATAATTGAAGCATGCAGCTTTTCATGAAGGGGCCTTGCAGCGAGCATTCTTGAACTTATACTTGCTAAAGTCTTAAAACCTCCAAGACTTCCATTGCTTTAGATGAGATGTCTAAACCTCTGAACATTGCGCACAGACCACAAATGCCCTTCTCTAAAACCCCATAGGTACCGCAAGAGCCCAAATTTACTAAAACCCAAAACCAATTTTACACCTCCCCAAACCCTGAACCTTAAAACCTTTAGCCCTACTCAAACACCCCCCATACGCATCTACCCCAGGCCTAGAAGCAGAGAGCTCCAACCTGGGCTGCGGCGGTTGCACGGCGTCGATGTAGGGTGTTTTAGGGTTTAGGGTTTTAGGGTTCAGTGCTCTCCCTAAAATTCCATGTACCCATTAGGCCCAACGTACCTATATAGGGAGTACTTTAGGGCCAATGTATATACTATATGAGTACATGGACTCTTAGGGTCTGGGCTTTGGGGTTTGTAGGCTTTGTTGAACTCCTTTCATCCAGGGTTCGAAGAGTTCAGGGTGTAATCAGGGTCGGGGGGTTTAGGGTTTCGGATTTATTTCCTACATTCAGGAGCCATCCACAATCAAAACAAGAGACGGCTCAAGAGCCCTTTTGAAACCCAGTGGTTTCTATAATTCAAGCTCCTACTTTTCAGCTTGCAAAATTTAGGTACGTCCTCTGCGTTGGGGCCGGCATGGCTTGAAGATTGATGTGGCTGCCTGAAGCTCCAAAGCCCAAACCACACTGCCTTGAAACGGAGCAGTTCCAGTGCGCGGGAAACAAGTCAGCGAGCGCTGGCACACTGTGATCTGGCAGTTCTGCCATGCCAGGGACTCGGGGCAAAGGCATGGTGCAGATAATATAGGGGCCTTAGTAATTAGAATAGGGTTTTGGTGCCCATTATACTATAAATATAATAAGGAACCCCCAAAATAGTATAGGTAATTATGAAGGCCCCTACAGTACTGGAACCAAGTGTTCATAGGCCGGCACCTTGAATGGCTGACCTAGATGCTGCATGTCGTTTTGCCTCAAGCCAAGCCTCACGCCTCAGGGCTGTCTAGGTGGGGCTTTTAAAGCCTTTGAAAAATAAATAAGATCCTCTTAAACCCAATAAGGGGAAATATAAAATGTCCCAAAGCCCTACCTAGCTGTGTTTTGCCGTGAGCACGTAACTGCAAAGCCATACTTATGTTGCTCCCTGCTTGTCTGAAGTTCGAACGCCACCAGACACGCAAACCGTCAACTGGGCCGTTCTTGTTTGCCTTTGCCGGCTGGACGGCCATGCAGCTGATGCCTGTAAACCCTGTAGACATACCCTAAACCCTACATCCTTGAGAAAAACCCTCGACACATACATCACACACGCAACCCCTCTTGTAGAACACTTTTGGTACCATTACAGGCACCCTCGGCTCCCACTATGGGCTATTAGACCCTAAAGATCCCTATTAGGACCCTATTAAGGGTAGATTAAGGTACCCATAAGGTCTAATAGCCCATAGTGGTCCATGAACCCGTAACACCGACTCTTCAACCCTGAGAACCTGAACCTTAAACCCTATAGAACCTTACCGTAAGCTACCATACAGACTTTTCTGTAGGCTTCGTGTAATATGGAATGTAGAGGCCTAATTCTCGCCAAAACCCTAAACCCCTAACCCCTAAACCCCAAAACCTTAAACCCTACATTAGCCCAAAGCCCCGACCCTCTCAACCCGAAAACCTGGATCCCTCAACCCCCGAACTCTAAGCCGTAAAAACCCTAAACCCCGTATGAGATCTAAAGGAGCGCTTAAAAACCCCTAGAACTCGAAGCCCTCAAGCCTTACACCCCTTACTGGAACCCTTGTCGACCCTAAACTCAAACCCCTAAACCCTAAGAGTCCAAACCCTACATCCCTACATCAAGCACAAGGCCCCGACTCCCTCATCCCAAAAATCTAAACCCTAAACCTAAACCGCTAGAACTCTAGGCCCTTACCTTAACCCCCAAAACCTACCTTTTTAAGGACTCATGTAAAGAAGCCATAATAAGGAACCCTAAAGTGTAGGTTCCTTCGGGTCCAGGTAAACCTTACCCTAAGGCTCCTAAGGGGGTTTGGGGCTTTGTGGGCAAGGGTTTGGGCTTTCGGGGCTAAGGTTTGGGACCTCACTACGAGGGTCCATGAGCATTACCTTAAGCCGGAATAACCTACCTTTTTAGGGTTCCTTGTTATGATTTCCTTATATAATGTCCTTGAAAAGGTAGGTTATTCCGGCTTAAGGTAGGGTAAACCACATAAAGCCCGAAGCCGCGACTCCCCCCCATCCCTGCTGAGGGGCCTTTTGGCTCGAGGCTTTCCGTGAACTGCTCGTAGTTGTAGGTGGCCTGGCGGGTGGATCTCCCTGGCTCCCTAACAAAACCCCCACAAAAAAAAACGGTTTAGGGTGTAGGGGTTTAGGGGTTTAGGGGTTTGGGGTTTAGGGGTTTGCGGTTTATGGGTTTAGAAGGGTTCAAGGGTTTATAGGGGTTTATAGGGGTTTAGGGTGTAAAGTAGGCAACGCAATGGCCCAAGACCTATGACAGGCGATAATTGTATCCAGGACCAGGCATGGGGACTTGGAGCCTTTGACTCTCCACAATTTATAGTGGTTTAGGGTTTATAGGGGTTCTTAGTGGTCTCCTTTAAGAGATCCAGAAGGGGGTTCTACGGCCTAGTGTAGGGGATCTTAGCTTTGACTTTCGGTTTCTTTTGTTTCTCGGCACAGGTTTCCAATTATAGTAGATCCCAAAAAGTTGGAAAACGGGTTAAGGCCAAACAGTGCTGGGATTCCCTATACAGTACTCTTAAGGATTGAGGCTATGGGGTTTCCAAGTTTTGGGTGTTTACTGTAGGGGTATTGAGCGTTGTTGAGTCTCCAGGAGCAGGGATTCTAGGGGTTTTGGGTCTCAAGGAGCAATCCCCTACAGAAACCCTTACAAAAGCTTCACTCAACCCCCCAAGCTACGACATTCTTTTGCAATCAGAAACCACGATTGTTCTGCACAACCCTAAATCCTCGAATCCCTACAGTCATCCAGAAACCCTACCTGCAGCCCCAAACCCTACCAAATGAATTGCAGGGCACCTAGACCCCCCAAAGTAGGTGAAATCATGGCCCAAACCCTATAAAAAGCTGGTATTCTACATACTTTTGGGCCCGGGGATGCCCCTTAAAGCGCTACCCCATAAGCAACAAACAAGCTACAATCCTGTCAAACCCAAGACCCGAGACTCCTTCAGCCCCAAACCAAAGAGTTCCTGGACTCTAAACCTCTAACCCTAGGGATCTAACGGTTGATGATAGAAATCCTGCATTACCTTAAGGACCCTAAACTATGGGAATTATGGTATATTCCTTATTATGGGTCATGCAGGATTTATATCATCAACCGAAGGACTCACATATTGAGGCTTTGGGGCCCAAAGGCCATACTATACAAGGCTTTTGGGCTATTTTGATCCCTAGGGTAAGACCCCAATCCTGGAGTTTTCTTTTCTGTGGCCCTCGGTTATCAAACGCTACATGACTCTGTGTTTTTGGGACCCTTACGGTTGAATTCAGGAAAACACCCTGCGCAAATCCTAATAACCTAATAGTCCCTACGAAAACCATATCCAACTTGTTGAGCCCAGAACCGCCCGAGCATCTCTCAAGGCCTCCTCCGAAAGCCTGTAATTTCCTTTCGCAGATCTCACTTTATGTGACATTTCAAGGCCTCAGTCATCTGCCACCAACCCAAGAAGAAGAGCACGGCGAAGATGATCGAGACCTTGACATGTAGATTTGTGGTGTTTAGATCTAGATGTTCTGACGGTTTGAAGGCCTTCTTATCTGTCATTTGTTGGTTAAATGCCTACGAGCGGGAGATTCTGGAGGCTTGGGGCTTGGTGGGTTCTGTGGGCACAGAGTTTCGGGAGGTAAGGTGGGTGTGGTGGGTGTAGGCGTGGTGCCAGTGTGGGTGCTTGGGTGTTGTCGCGCGGTCTAAGGCTCAGGTGCTTGGGTTTAGGGGTTTGGCATTTGTTCAGAGTTTGGGTTTAGGGCTTCCGGTTTAGGGTCTTCAATCAGAATCCCCCGTCCCATTTGCTGTGAGCTCGCTAGGACAATCGGGGAGAGTAAACATAGGGAGCTGGGTAGTGGTGAGTACTTCGCCTTCGGATTCCCAAACACAGTTAGGATATGAACTTCCTATAAATCCGATCTCTGTGGGTTCTCGATTCCACGTTACTAGAAGTTTGGGTGCTACTGAACCCGGCGATTCTTGCTTGCCCCAACCGGATTCATGTTGCATGTTACATAGTATTGCTGAGACCGTCCATCTGGTGGAAAAGCTACCGGGCATCGGGGCTTACATAGGGTCAAACATGGGGGCCTCAATGACTAGACTGGGGTTTTCGGAGTTCTTAGAATACGTTCTAGTTTGTTCGGTTCTATGACGGGATACCACTACTGAGTACTAACATTTTCCGGCAAACATGCCACACAGCTGAGGAGGCAACCATGTTGCCGAAGAAATACCAAAATGCCATCCATAGGTCTTTCCCGGATGATTCCTCGGATGCATACACTGACGACGGCCCTCACCACTGTGGCTTGGGATTTAGCGTCTACGGTTTCGGGCGTGGTTTGATGATGATGCTGGCGATGGCGATTATACTACTTGATCGGCTCACGCTCCTTTGGTTTCGCTACTCTCGCACGCATATCCAAGCAAATTGCAGAAAGACAACTCGTTTTGTCTCCCAACCCAGAAATTCAAACCCCAAGTGGCCAAATCCGAAGATCTTCAGCCCTGTAGCAGCCTTCAGAACCCGAACAAACCTAACCCTAAACCCTAAACCCTAAACCCTAAATCCTAAACCCTAAACCCTAAATCCTAAACCCTAAACCCACATGCCTGAATCCCGAACCCCGAAGCCTCTCCTGGCGCAGCATTCCCAAACGCCACCCCAAGATTGAACAATGCATGCATAATCCCTAAGGGTCCATGTACCCAAATAGTATATACATTGGCCTTAAAGTAGTCCCTATAGAGGTACATTGAGGCCAATGTATATACTATTTGGGTACATGGACCCTTAGGGAATGTGTATCCTTTAAGTTATAGAACGATCCTGTATAGCATGATTTAAGGTGAGGTGCTCTCAGAAGGAATATCCTTGGCGGACTTCTGAACCCATCCTACAAGTTAAACTTTTAGCCTCCTTATTATAGTTCATATAGAAACCCAAAAAGTTAAAGTCTAAAGAGCCAACCAGAAGAACGCCAAGTATCCTTTCACTCCGATCTCAAATCGGAACAACCAACCCTTCCAAGATGAAGCATATCAAAATCTTGGAAGCTCGAAGCCCTACCTTAAACCCGGATGGCCTATCTGTTTCTGGGCTCGTATAAGGCAACCATAACAAACAACGCTCAAATGGTAGATTTTAGGGGGTTCAGGTAAGCACCCCCCCTCAAAAAAAAACACTATAATCATAAGAAGGACCCCCCAAAATAGTATAGGCAATGATTACCCTCAAAGGACTCACACATTAAGGCATTTGGGCCTGAAGATCATATTACATAAGGCTTTTGGGCCATTTTGGGCCTATAGGGTTAAGGCCCCTAATTGGTATTTTAAGTGCGTTGGAGCCTCCTGGGCTTTTCGAGCCAAGCCTCCACAGTCACTGGAAGACCCCCGACCATGTTTCGAACGTCCTGGGCTCTTAGAGTGCGTCCAAATCTCATGATACACTAATATTCATGTTATCATTATAAATGGTGTGTATATATACCAACACATTAAAGCTTCTTTTTCGGATTCATTGACTTTATCGGGTTCTATAGGCAAGACTTGGAACGTCCTCGTCTGTAGGGGCACGTTGCTTTTTGTGTATCAGGTTTCTTTATAAGCGCACGCCTCTCACCGCGCTTGCTTGCGGGGCTGAAGATTCCCCTTTTTTTTAATAATATATTACCCACAGAGGTCTCACATGGCTCGTATTCGGGAATCGCCAGTGGTTTGGAACAGGCTCAAGTTTCGGGTATCAAGGCATCAGGGTGTCGGGCCTTCCGGCTCTAGGGTAGAGATTACCTGGGCTCCAAAACGTATCCCTAAGGGTCGATGTACTCATATAATATAGTATGTACATTGGTACTCCCTGTACCTTCTGTATGGGTATTTAGGGTAGAGCAATAGCCCTCTATAGGGGAGATAGGTGTTGAGCCATTGCTTTACCTACTTTTGGGGAGGTAGAGTTTTTTTGTGGTTCGACAGTCCTTGGCTTCTCCAGGGCCTAACTGCTGCCTACCTTGTCATCTGCTTATGTAAAGGGTATATGTCTAAATGCGCTCATGTATACGTATGCTACATGCCTGCCTCTGTGCAGGCCCAGAGCAGGTGTAAGTGTATGTATAGGTACACGCAGGCATATGTATATGCAGATGCCAATATGTGTGGATATATACGGCGTGTCTGCACACATGTACAGAACGGCACGGCAAGACACTCCCAGGCAGTAAGATAGAATGTGCATCTATGGTCAACATAGACAACCGCGCAATTTCATATATGCTTGGCAATAAACGAAACATGACTGCATGCAACATGTATGTATATAATGTGTATGCATGCATGTACACATGCATATACGGGTGTATGCACACATGCTTGTATGTATGTGGGCAAGTCCGTATGTAATTAATCTAGTGTCTGTCTGTCCATCTGTGTGTCTCTCTGTTTGTCTGTCTATGCAAGACTGTATTTGCTTCTTCGTGTGTACATTCACGCATGTTCTCTCTCTCTCTCTCTCCCTCTCTCCCTCTCACGTACTACATGTACAAACAACATGCATTTGTACGCAAACTCCCTGGGCAAGTCTTCAAACTCAGCACATTGACGACAAGCCACAGCTCGCGTTTCGACAAAGCACCTGCAAGCTGGAATAGTGTATACCCAAAACGCTAAACTCCAAATCCTATACTACACCCTAACTCCTATACTCTCCATGCCCTACACCATAAACTCAAATAGGGGGCGACAGAACGAAAGAACTACATAAACTGAAGGATCCTACCGGGGCATCAAGCACAAACGCACCCAGCCATTGGGATTCCAGAAACCCTATGAACTCCTGAACCTCAGGACCTCTATGTGTAATGTAGACCCCTAATGAATGATCCCCATTTCTTCGCAGGCCTTTCGGTTTGGTGAATATGTACTAGAGAATGATTAAGATGATTCAAGCATGAGGGTTAATCAGCAAGGGGTCTACATTCCATGGCCCTTTTGGGCCAGTATCGGTATTGTCATGGTGTAGTCAATGGTAAACAACCAAGATAGCAAGTCACGAAGAAAGAGACATGGCATTGCTGAACTTTTGCTGTGAGCAGCTGAATACTTCGCTCTAAGCCGCACTAACCCTAAACTCTAAACCCTACAGCCTGAACCTTCTGGGAAGAGAATCTCGACCGACCCTGAAGGAGAGTGAGGGCCTTTGCTCGTGATACCCCGAAAAGAGAAAACCCATGACCTATCAGCCCTGAACCCTACGCACTCCGAACTCCAAATGCTCAGCCCTAAAGCTCTAAAGCCAACACCCTATAAGACCCTTTCTGCCTTTGAGCCTCACCCTACACCCCGCATTCGATTCCAAACCCCAAACAGTGCACTCAACAGACCTTGTCGAAGAATTCCAGAGCTCCAGCTGCAAGCCATGCTTCGGCAAGTTGCCTGCAGAGGCTTCTTACGCGTTTTGGGGTCTGTCTGAAAAACCCTGGTCGGCTCTTCATGTAGCGGCCGCAAAGTCAACTACTTTAGGGTTTTGGCGCGTAGGGTAATCATAGGGGCTAGGCATTTCTTACCTTTGATTAGTAGGGACTGGAAAAATGATAGTAATAGTAGTTATAGTTGTACCCCATTCCTCCGTTCCCTACTAACCCAAGGTAAGTTTTTGGTTGATCCAGTCTTTCTTTCCCCCTTAGAACCATAATTTAACTAATATGTAGGATATTCTCTTGGGTTTTATATGAACAAAAAAAGCCTACGGAGACTATAGTAAAACCGCAATCCTAAAACGCTTTATGCCCTAACCCTGGAAACCCAATGCCCTACTACGTCAAACTCCACAACTCAACAATCAGCCTGCAAGGAACCCTCAAAGAAACCCCTTTCAGCATTCTAAACTCTACCCCGCAAAACCTAGAGCCTAAACCCGCATAGAACCCTTGAAGGAACCCTCGACAAGGAGCACTTATGATACCCTAAACGTTAAACCCTGACACCCCATAGAACCCCTAAAGGAACCCTAAACCCTAAATTCAAACAATACCCTTTTCAAGGAACCCAAAACCCTGAACCCCAAATCCAAATAGTACCCCTCCAATCGAACCCAAAACTCTGAACCCTGAATCCTAATAGTACCCCTTTAAAGGAACCCCTTACCCTGAACCGTAGATCCTAATAGTACCCCTTTAAAAGAACCCTCGACAGAAACCCCACAAAAGGGCGCCTTCGAAGGTCTCTGCCGAGGCGAACCACCTGACCGCAACATGCGCAGCAGGTAGTTATCCCCAATGGTCCATGAACCCAACTAGGGGTTCCTTGAAGGGTTCCTTTAAGGGTTACTATAAGGGTTCTATAAGGAATCTATAACGGCTCGGTAGTTTAGGGGTCCATGTACTCATATAGTATATGCATTGGCCCTAAAGTACTCATAGGAACATTGGGGCCAAAGTATACACTATTTGGGTACATGGACCCTGAGGGCTATAGGCTCCGTACCGTTGAATTACTATAATGTATTTTTGTGTTGGGGTCCTTATAAATTCTATATTGTAGAAGGTTTATACGAAGAACCTACAAAAAGTAGGTGATGGTAGTTTAAGCTAGGGCTTAGGGTCTAAGGGTCTAGGGCTTACATATCCGTTTAGCAGAGAAGGGTTTAGCGCGGAGGGCTTAGGGCTGGAGGTGTAGATTCGGGTCCCCAAGAGGCAGCAGCCTGCGACTCCCAAGAGGGTTTAGGGTTTAGGGATGCTACTGCAAATAGTGAATTCCACAGAATAAATCAACTCTGATGTAGTAGGCCGCAGGTTCTTAGGATTCCTTGTGTGGTCTTTCAACCGCTCATCTCTTGCAGGCGCCTAACTGCGCAGCACCAGTTTATAAGGGGTCTCCAGCCCTATTCTCATCTCTGTAAACTTCATCGAACCCCCCCAGGGCCCCAGAACCCAATAGAACCAAATTTGCGAATCCAGCAAACCAAAAACCTAAAAACCTTACATCAGGTCGCACAGAAACCTACGAAAACCCTATAGAGGAACCCTACAGCTTAAATCCTATGATGCAACCCTATGAAACCTCTGACTCTGGTGATGGCCCGCCTGCCGGTGAGCTGCGATGCCGGACTGAACTTGCAGATGCCCGGAAAACCTGACGGAGAATGATGGCCATACAGTCATACATGGACAAATATATGTATATACATATATATACATATATATATATATATATATATATGCACACATATATATATATATATATTTCTGTATTTACTTCTTCACAGTGATACGTATACTTACATATCTGCGTGATATATACAACTTGTTTATGTGCAGTGAGAGTGCATATAGTATATATATATATATATATATATTTGTATACACATATATATGAGTATGTTTGCTTGTATGTATGTATCTACCTATTTTTATATGTATAGGCATACGTATGTGGCTGGGTGTTTATCCCGGAGCCTGGAAAGCAGAAGAGCCATCTCTGACAGGCCCAAAACAACCCCCCCCCAGCAGCCTGAATCTCAAACCCAGACACTACTAATATAGGGGCCTTAATAATTAGATTAGGGGTTTTGTGGTGTTCCTGTTATAACTATAGTAAAACACCCCCCAAACCCTACTCTAACGATAATTAGTTCAGCCCTTTATACTAAGCTCAAAACCCAACAAACGTCGAAACTAAACTCGAACGTCCACCAAAGAAAACTTAGCCTTCCTCTTCAGGCCATACCGCCGCACTTAACCAACAAACCCCAGGGATGAGGAATCAAAATGGCCTGAAAGCCCTGTATAGTATGGTCTTTGGGCCCAAAAGCCTTAATATCTGAGTCCTTAGATCCCTAAACCTATAGATCCCTTTCAAGGACCCTTATAGATCCCTTTAAAGTAATATGAGTCCTTAGATCCCTAGGACAAAATCGCAGGGCAAGTGGCCTTGTCCGGCCAAGGTCTCGTTCACACCTCGGCTATTTGGGAGTTTCCGAAAAAAATGGGGGGGGGGTACCTTAGGGTTCCTTTAAAGGGTTACCATAAGGGTACTATAAGGGTTCCTGTAAAGGGCTACCATAAGGGTACTATAAGGCTTTAAAGGGTTACCATAAGGGTACTATAAGGGTTCCTTTAAAGGGTTACCATAAGGCTACTATAAGGGTTCCTTTAAAGGGTTACCATAAGCGTACTATAAGGGTTCCTTTAAAGGGTTACCATAAGGGTACTATATGTACTTTAAGGGTTCCTTTAAAGGAAATCTATAGGGGTTTGGAGTTTCCGAAAATTAGGGGTACCATATTTTGGGGTCCTTTTTAGAAGGATCTTACTATTTGGGGTACCATATTAGGGTCCTCTAATTTTTCTGAAACTCCCATTTGCAGCAGTACCCCAAAAGGGGGACCGTAATGTTGACAACCGCCCAAATGAAAGCAGGGCTTTTACTAGTGGTTGCTTCTCTTGCTTGTTGAGGTGTGGGGTTTGGGGCGTGGGCTTTGGGTGCGGGAGAGGTTGTATAGTTGAGCCTGGTTAACAGCTTAAAATCATGTATAGCCCCGCACGAGACGAGAAAACCCTAAACTCATAAACCTTATGACTCCTACCCTAAACCCTGGCCCCAAACCCTAAGCCCGAACCCTCAACCCTAAACCTAACCCCTTAACTCCAAACCCCAAAGCGAAAATGCCCAACGCCTGGACCCTTAACCCCCAAACTTAACCCCCAAACATTACACCCTAAACCCTAAACCCTAACCCCCAACCTCAAAACCCTAATCCCTAAACCCCTAAATCCCTCAACACCAAACCCCTAAACTCAACCCCAACACCCCAAGATCTCCTACATCAAATCCTAAACCCTACATAACCCTACGAGAGCCTTGGAAAAGGCAGCTGCCAAGATGCTGCAGGAAGGCCAGGGTGTCTCTGCCTCTCTTCTTACCCCAAAGGCTTCAGGGTATGGGTTTAGGGTTTAGGGTTCAGGGGTCTTTGGCGGGTCCAAAACTACAATTCGTGGAGCTCCTTTAAGGGCTCACCCCAAGAAGCCACAGAATGAAAGGCTAAACTTTCCGACTCCTTCTAAACTCGAAGAACCCAAAGCGATTCCCTATACTATTTTGGTGGTTCCGTATTATAAAGACAGTATGATAAAGCCCCAAGCCCTTTTCTAATTAAAGGTTAGGTATCGTGGATCTAACCTCTTTATGGCGGGTCCCAAACTAGAGCTCGGCGGCTTTATGAGGGCGTTGGGAGGCTGCATGAGGCCTTTGTAAAGGAAGTGAGAATCGCAACGTTTCCTATTGACGACTTATGTGATTAGGGCCGGCGATTGGCTCCGAGAGCGATCCAAAACTCTTCCGTTTTAAGGGTTAGGCCCAAACCACACTGGGTCTTGACCCACTCTCTTTATCGATTTTGGGGCTAGTTCAGGGTTTGGGGTTCAGGCCTAATTACGCTCGGCTGTGAGTTTCACGATTTAAGGCTTATAAGATTTGCAACTAGGCAGCGGATGAGCATGTGGGTCCATCTCACCACTGGTGAATCTGCATTACACTCCGACACTCCAACTTGCGTTGCATTCCAGATGACCTTGGTTATCCCCAAACCCTACGCCCTACACCCTATGTAAGCCACTACTGCAAGCAAGACCCCCCCCAAAGACTTATCCCACAGTTATGTCCTATCATACCATATCATATCACGATATTTCACATCATATCATGACATATCATATCAAGGTGTACACACACGCATGTAGCGATGTCTTGGTCGTTGTTCGATAGAGTACTGTCGTGGTGTGGAGCTCATGTCCTTTGAAACTAGAGCCGAACACCACCGAATTAATTCGTGAGCATTTCTTGAATCGCAGCAGTTAGGGCTTGGCAGTGCGATGTAAAGACCGATTATAGGAGCCTAAATCATTAGAGTAGGGTTTGGGTCCCCTTTTATCATATAGTTATACTGAGGAACCCTCAGGAATAATATTGGTAAATATTTAGGCTTCTATCGTAACTATTACAATATAGATATGGAACCCTGGTAGTTAATTAGGCTTCTATAGTAACTATAGTATTGGCTTGCCTGAATCACATCAGCGAGTCGGCTGTAGATCACCCAATCCTGCACGCAGCAAAGTCTGGTTCTTGCCGAGGAGCTGAACCCTAAGGGTCCATGTACCCAACTAGGGGTTGCATCAAGGGTTCCCTTAAGGGTTACTATAAGGTTTTTTCAGGGATCCTAGAGTTAAGAGTAACCTAGGAATAAAAAGGGTGCTCTTTTTGCTTTAAAGCGGCTTATAAAGGGAACCTGAACCCCAAAAAAAGGGAATAAGGGCCTACTCTAGGTCCTAGGATCTATAAGGGTTCTATAGTTTAAGGGTCCATGTACCCAAATAGTATATACATTGGCCTTAAAGTAGTCCCTATATAGGTACATTGGGGCCAATGTATCTCTATATGGGTACATGGACCCTTAGGGGAACTTAAGTTCCTGCGCCAGGGAAGCCAATAGTGCTTCCACTATGTTCCCGAGTATGGTAACTTATGTTCATAAGTTCCTGAACAAGAACCCAGACATAGGCACCTTTCATGATGACGCCGTAACTGAGACACATGCTGATATGGCATTTACCTGTTTGGTATTTGAAGACGGTGACTGCTGTTGCCAAAATCCTAAACTAGTTGCATTCTAGAGTGACTGTGTCGATGTGAGCTATCATCATTATTGATAAAAGCCATGAAGCCGTGAAGAACGGGGATTTCAATCTAGGACGCTAAAGCCAATCAGTATGTTCCATGAACTGCTCGCCGCATTGAGCCTACTATCTACGCTTACGTAAGAAGCCCTGTTATCCCAACAACACATCGACGCTTAGCCCGTATCAGCTCGGCATCGTACCCATGGGATCCTGAATACCTGCATGCAATATATGGGAGTTTCCGAATATAGGGGACCCTCATATGGTTCCCTAAATAGTAGGATCCTGACCCAAAGTAAGGTACCCCTAATTTTTGGAAACCCCCATATATTTCCCTACACAAACCACCATGCTAGCGCCACATGCAGAAAGCAAAGGATCCCTTTCGAATTCCTGACGAATGCAAGGCCGTACCGCGGACCTGGTTCTGCGTCCCGGGCATGTTTTGCCAGGAGCTGGTAAAGACCTGACTCGAAAACTAACATAGGGTCATAGGCACCTTGATAATGAGAGTAAGGCTTTGGGGCATATTATACTATTATTAGTTACAATAAGTATATCACAGGAGAGTACAGTATGGTAATTATGTATTGCCCACGCATCCCAATACCACACCCGAGTCCTACCCCGAACGCACAACCCTTGAACCCCAAACTCCTAAACTCGTAGTCCCTGCTAGAGCCCGTGTAGGAACGCTTAAAGGAACCACTAAACGCCGAACTCCACTGGGATCCGGGCGTCATACGCACTTAAGCCAGTGCTGTTGTCCAAAAAGCCGGCGAACAGAGCTTGCACGCGGCAGTCTCGGACAAATCCTTGCGCCGTCTTGGGCGTAAGGGTCTGCAACTATAGGTTTTGGGGGGCAGGAAACTGGCGTGCTTAGAAGCTTCGAAGTTGTAGGCTAGACTCCAGACGTACTCAGTTTCTAGGAAAACCCCCAACAGTCGAAGCACCTCTGGCAATTCCTGTTTAGTATCTTTGGACGCTAAGCGGCACTAAATATAGGCAACATTTTTTGAGCTCCTGGACCTCTGGCACAAAACATTCGCTAATCATCCAAGCCCTTGGGCTGCCACTCGCCCATCCCTTCAGACCTGCAATTTCCCAGACCTTCCAAAACCCCTTAATTTTGGAACATACCTTACATTATAGTAGGGTCCCTAATATGATTCAAGGTATATTCCTTAATTAAGGGGTTTTGGAAGGTCTGGGTTTCTACATCAGCAGGCCACCCCTTCAGGTACCTTTGAAGTGGAACTTGCGCGCGGAGACAACGGAGACACACTCTTCAAGGTCAAAAGTCCGGGCAAGGGCTCCCAAGCGTGAAAACAGAAGGTCAAACGTTAAGGGTTAGGGTCTAGGGTTTAATCGGTACTGCACAAACACGAGGCTTGGAACACGATACTTTAGCAGCCTGTAAACATCATATGAAGCTTACAGTACCCGTCGTCCGCCCACACACCACAAGGGCAACACAGAATGTCTTGTTCACTACATTATTCCTAGGAGCTCCGTAGAATTAAACACGGCAAACCTCCATAAGACTACCCCAAGATCCCAGCCCCTACACTACATCCTCAAACAATCACTATGGAACCCTCCCGAAACCGATTTCAATCTTTAAGCTACTGACTGAAGTGCACTCTGCGAAATATGCCATGCACATCGCCGCCGGGCAAACAACGCAATCGAGCTGCTAACCATCGGGCAGGCGGCGAACCTTGGATAAGGGTTTAGGGTTTCGAGTTCTGTTTCGGGTTCAGGCTTTAGGATGTAGGCTGGGTCTATGCTAGTAGATATGTATGTTTTTATATATATATCTTTATACATATATATATATGTGTGTGTGTAAACTATCAGTATGGAATTGGGTCCCGAAAGACCAAACTTATCGTTGCTTTGGGGACCTAGTTAAAGTTCTATACGCATAGCCTAAAAACTCTCAGCTTCTCGATTCCCTAAACCCTAAACCCTTACTCTCTAAACCCTAAACCTAAACCCCTAAACCCCTAAACCCCTAAACCCTATAAACCCTTACCCCCTAAACCCTATTCCTTCACTTTCTGTGGCGAGGCGCTTCTCGTCGAAGGCTTCGCGCCCAATGTCGGTGAGCCTTGGCAAAACAAGTTTAAGGCTCTTAACCCACCGACAAAAACCACTGGTCTGTGGGGTCCCTATAAACGGTTGAATAAGAACCTGCAAGACTTGTAGGTTCTGGCAGCTTAGGGTATTAAGGTTTTGCAAGAGAGCTCAAGTTACCCCTTAACACAGGGCGAGATGGAGGGTTTTTTTTAGTTATAGGCCTGTCTTAAGGGTCTTCCGGTGAATTTGGACGAACTCCAGTACACCCTTCATCAAGCAATCTGGACAAATCACGTAGAAGATCCCTCTATTATCTATGTTTCGCCGTATTGTAAAAGTCTAAACCCTAAGAACCTCAACCCTAAATCCCTAAGCCTTAATTTTTAATTCAGTCTGGGGCTTGCCTCGTCTCTGCCTGCGTCCAGGTCTTCAGAAACAAACACCGTACTTTGAGTGTACCTATAGTCTCCATTGTAGTTCCTTTTTTGGGTTACCTTATAGGATCCTTAATATATAGTTGGTTAAACCACGAAAAGGAACTACAATGGAGACTAAAGGTAGGGTGTAGGCTGACGAGAACTTATGACCTCACAGGAGCCAATCATCAAAGGCAAGCTTGATGGGAGTTTCCGAAAATTAGGGGTACCTTATTTTGCTGTCCTTACAATAGGGATCCTACTATTTAGGGTAGCATAGTGGAGTCCCTGATTTTCGGAAACTCCCTGATACTAAATCGCTGAAACATCCCGTAGAGGAGCCCATTAACGGACCACTAACACGAGCCATGACAGGGACTTGGACCATTCACGGGAACCTGACCCCCTAGACCCTGAACCTTGAAGCCTTAAACCCCAAACCCGAAACCCACCAGACCTAAAACCCCAAACCACCTAACCCTAAGGGTCCATGTACCCAAATAGTATATACATTGGCCTCAATGTACCTCTATAGGGACTACTTTAAGGCCAATGTCTATACTATTTGGGTACATGGACCCTTAGGGTAGGGTCCGGAATTATTTGAGGAATTTTTTTTGTTTTATTTGGGGAATTTTTTTTGTTTTTAGCTTTTGCTTGGGAAAGGGGGGGCAGGGAGGGAGGGAGGGAGGGGGGAGGGGAGGGAGGGAGGGAGGGGGGAGGGAGGGGGGAGGGAGGACGGGGAGGGAGAGGGAGAAGGAGAGGGAGAGGGAGAGGGAGGGGAGAGGGAAGAGGGGAGAGGGGAGAGGGGAGAGGGGAGAGGGAAGAGGGAAGAGGGAAGAGGGAGAGGGAAAGAGGAAGAGGGAGAGCGAGAGAAAGGGAGGAAATTGGGGGAAAGGAAAGCAGGGAGGAAGGGAAGAAGAAGGCAAGGGCGCCAAAAAAGAAGAAGGCAAAAACGCAAGCAAACGAACAAACAAGCAAGCAACCAAGAACTCGAGCAAAGGGAAGAAATAAATAAGGAAAGTCAATAAGCACAAAGCAGCAGCAACACAAGGAATAACGGCAAACAGAATAGATATGTAGATGTGCCTGTGTGTATGCGTGTATATACCTCTACTCCGGTCAGACACCTGAAAGGTGAGCCGGCACTTACAAGGAATAGCGGGTTAAAAAAACAGATATGTATATGTGCATATGTGTATGCATCTATACTCCTCTACTCCGGTCAAGTACTTGAAATTCCAGTCAGATACCTGCAAGGTGAGCCGGCGCGCACAAGGAATAGCGTCTTTTCGACAGATATGTATATGTGCATATGTGTCTGCGTCCATACTCCTCTACCCCTGTCAGGTAGTTGATAAGTGAGCCGTTCTCGCCCAAGGGCCCTTATCAACGGAGAGCCAAGGCTTGCGGTATGAATGTATAATCATAATAATCATAATCATCATAATCATAATAATCATAATCATCATAATCATCATAATCATAATCATAATCATCATAATCATCATAATCATAATCATCATAATAATCATAATAATCATAATAATCATAATAATCATAATCATAATCATAATAATAAGAATCATCATCATAATAATAATAATCATAATCATAATAATAATAATAAGAAGAAGAATAATAATAATAATAATCATAATACTAATAATAATAATCATAGTAATAATAATACTAATAATAATACTAATAATAATAATTATAATAATAATAATAAGAAGAAGAAGAAGAATAATATAATAACAATAATATGAAAAAAATAATAGTATAATAATAATCATCATAATAATAATAATAATCATAATCTAATAATGAAATAATAAAAATAATTAGAATAATAATAATAATTATAATCATCATAAAAATAATAATAATCATAATAATAATCATAGATAATATTCATTAATAATAATCATAATAACAATTATATACATAATAAGAATAGTAAATAAGATAATTAACAATAAATTATTATTTGTGATTAATAATAAATTATTATTGTTAATAATAATAATCATCATTCATAATAATAATAATCATCATCTCCATAATGATAGTCATCAATCATCATAATCATAATCATCATAATAATAATGTGATAATAATAATGGTAATAATAATAATCATTAATTAATAATAATAAGCAAAATAATCGTTAATGACTATAATACTTAATACAAACATAACAATCATAATACATAATGATAATAATATAATTATTTATTATATTAATAATAATTCATAATAATACTAATAATTTCATCATGCATAATCTCATAACAAATTAATGATATAATAATAATCATAATAATAAATCCTACTACTTAATTTCAAAAACTCAATAATAATCATAATAATCATAAGCATAGTCTAATAAAAATAATAAGAATCTCTCATCATAATAATTCATCTAATAATCATCATAATAATTCATTTAATAATAATCTAATCACCATAATAATAATACTAATAATAATAATAAGAATAACAATAATAATAAACAATAATAATAATAGTAAATAAAATGATAATAGTAGTAATAATAGTAATAATAACAATAATAATACTAATAGTAATAATAATAATAGTAGTAATAATAGTAATAATAACAATAATAATAATAATAAAAAAATAATAATAGTAATAATAATAATAGCAATAATTATAAAAATAATAATAATAATAATTATTATAAGATAATAATAATAATAAAAATAATAGTAAAAAATAATAATCATAATAATAGTAATAATAATAATATTAATAATAATTATAATCATTATAATAATAATTATCATAATAATAATCATAATAATATTCATAATAATAATCATAATAACAATTATGATAATAATAATAACAATAATAATAATAATATTAATAATAAAAATAATAAAAATAATAATAATAATAATAATAATAATAATAATAATAATAATAATAATAATAATAATAATAATGATAGTAATAATAATAATAATAATACAAATCTTTTACTAATAATAATAATAATAGGAGGGGAGGGAGGGAGGGGGAGGGAGGGGGGTGGAAGGGGGAGGGAGGACGGGGAGGGAGAGGGAGAAGGAGAGGGAGAGGGGAGATGGGAGAGGGGAGAGGGGGAGAGGGAGAGAGGGGAGAGGGGAGAGAGGGGAGAGGGAAGAGGGAAGAGGGAGAGGGAGAGGGAGAGGCAAAGGGAGAGGGAGAGGCAGAGGGAGAGGCGGCGAGGGCGAGGGCGAGGGAGAGGGAGAGGGAAAGAGGAAGAGGGAGAGCGAGAGAAAGGGAGGAAATGGGGGGAAAGGAAAGCAGGGAGGAAGGGAAGAAGAAGGCAAGGGCGCCAAAAAAGAAGAAGGCAAAAACGCAAGCAAACGAACAAACAAGCAAGCAACCAAGAACTCGAGGAAACAAAGGGAAGAAGTATATAAGGAAAGTCAATAAGCACAAAGCAGCAGCAACACAAGGAATAACGGCAAACAGAATAGATATGTAGATGTGCCTGTGTGCATGCGTGTATATACCTCTACTCCGGTCAGACACCTGAAAGGTGAGCCGGCACTTACAAGGAATAGCGGATTAAAAACAGATATGTATATGTGCATATGTGTATGCATCTAAACTCCGCTACTCCGGTCAAGTACTTGAAATTCCAGTCAGATACCTGCAAGGTGAGCCGGCGCGCACAAGGAATAGCGTCTTTTCGACAGATATGTATATGTGCATATGTGTCTGCGTCCATACTCCTCTACCCCTGTCAGGTAGTTGATAAGTGAGCCGTTCTCGCCCAAGGGCCCTTATCAACGGAGAGCCAAGGCTTGCGGTATGAATGTATAATCATAATAATCATAATCATCATAATCATAATAATCATAATCATCATAATCATCATAATCATAATCATAATCATCATAATCATCATAATCATAATCATCATAATAATCATAATAATCATAATAATCATAATAATAATCATAATAATCATAATCATAATAATAAAAATCATAATGATGATAATCAAAATATTAATAATCATCATCATATTAATCAAATTAATAATAATCATCATAATAATAATAATCATCATAATAAGAATAATCATCATAATAATAATCATAATCATAATAATCATAATCATAATAATAATATTAATAATCATAATTATAATAATAATAATCATACTTATAATAAAAATCATAATAATAATCATAATAATAATCATAATAATAAGAGTAGTAATAATAATATTAATACTGATAATAATACTAATAATAATAATTATTATTATTATTATTATTATCATCATCATAATCATGATCATAATCATCATAATAATAATCATAATCATAATAAATAATAATTCATAATCATAATCATTCATAATCATATCATAATTATAATCATCATAATAATAATCATAAATCATCTATAATAATCATAATCTAATAATAATCTAATAATAACCATGATAATAATAATAATATTAATAATGATAATAATAATACTAATAATACTAATGAGAATAGTAATAATACAAATAATCATCATCATCATAATCACCATAATAATCATCATCATAATCATCATAATAATCATCATGATAATCACCATAATAATCATAATAATAATAATAATCATAATAATCATAATAATCATAATAATAATCATAATAAGAATAATATCAATAATAACAATAACAATAATAATAATATCAATAATAATAACAATAATAATAATAACAACAGTAATAATAATAATAATAATGATAATAATAATAATAATGATAATGATAATGATAATAATAATAATAATAATAATAATAAATAATAATAATAAATAATAATAAGAATAAGAATAAGAATAAGAATAATAATTAAGAATAATAAATAAGAATAAGAATAAGAATAAGAATAATAATAAGAATAAGAATAGGAATAAGAATAAGAATAAGAATAACGATAATGGGCCGCGGGGGCCGGGTAAAACAACAGAAAAGCAAAAGCAAAACACACAAAAAACAAAAAGTAAAGAGAGCAGGAAGCAGCAGAAAGCGGAGCGCAAAGCAAACGCAGAAAACAAAAAGCAACAAGCAAAAAACATAAAACAACAGAAAGCAACAGCAAAAAACACAACAAACAAAAAGTAAAGAGAGCAGGAAACAGCAGAAAGCGGAGCGCAAAGCAAAAGCAGAAAACAAAAAGCAACAAGCAAAAAACAAAAACAACAGAAGGCAGAAGCAAACACGCACAAAAACAAAAAAAATTCCCCAAAAAAAAACAAAATAAATTCCTCAAATAATTAGGATTCCCTTAGGGTAAAGCAAGAACCGGGAGACATTGAGAGAGACGTATTCCCAGTCGAGGGCTTGAGCTCCACTGCCGTCACCCACTGCTCCTCACACAAAAAAAGGCCCTTTTAGGGTTACTTTACATTCGAAGATCAAACAGGGTTCCTGGCGTCATGAAGGAACCTATAGGGCTTGAAAAGGGCTGATTTTTGTGTTCCTTCACCTTCGAAGATCAAACAGGGTTCCTGCGTCGAACAGCTATGGCAGGTAAGGAACTTACAGGGTCTTTCGAGCGCCTAACTCAGGAATGTAGTGCCAAGAGGCTGAATATTTGATTGAAAGCCCCAAGGGTCCAAAGCACCCAATAATTAGGTACTCGGTGATCGGATACTAGTTATGGAGGTGACTAACTATTTCGGCGAGTACAAGATTATGGGGTACTTGGGACCTTGGGGAAGCTATTCTCCTTAATTTTCCTGGCTGTGGGTCTCCGTGGTTCTTGAAGGGTATGCTTAAACCAATTATATAAAGTATATAGATCCGACCAAATATGCTATTAAATAATATTGAGTATAAATACCCATAAAAGCAGAGAGGGTTCACAAGGGTTCTCCAACTTTTCTCAAGGGTTCTGAAGTCATCTACGCGTTGCACAGTGGTTCTTTGAAGGGTTTCATCAGGAGGAGGGGTCTTGTGTCTAGGGTGTAGGTTCGAAACATGTTCCCCTGTTGCCCTTCCGAATAAACCTGACGCATAGACGGCCCTGCCCTCACTGTCTGCAAGTGAGGCTCGACGGCAACACCGCTCGATTTGTAGAAGCTGCCGAGAAACAAGAAGCAAGGCAAATAAGAGCCACACATCCTGACCAGATTTTGGGATGTAGGTTTTTTTTTAAGTGTGTCGGACTTTCTCCCGGCACCGACTTTTATAAGTATACCTAAAGTAACTGGGCACCCGGATTGATAAACCTCCTTCTGTAAGTTAAGCGCCCTAATCTTCAGATCCCAAACAAGACCCCTCCACTGCCCTCCACATGGCAGAGGGCTTACGTCGCCATAAACCCTGAAAAGGGAGGTAGGATCCCTGCAGGAAATCCCGGAGAAGATAACACAAGGCGTTTTGGGTTTTGGGTCCTTAGGGTTTAGGGTTTAGGGCCTGTAGTATAGGGCTTTTGGGGGTTTAGGATTTAGGGTCGTTGGAGCTGGGTAGGGCAAACTTGAAGTTCAGGCCTGAACGCCGGCACCCCTTTACCTTTGGTTAGTAGGGAATGGAAGAATGGTAGTAATAGTAGCTAAAATGGTACCCCATTCCTCCATTCCCTACTAACCCAAGGTAAGCACATCCTAAACCCCAAGCCCTCAACCCTGAACCCTTAAGCCCTAAACTCCCTGAACCTAAAGCCTACACTGGCCTGTATAGATCCCTTATAGTAACCCTTATAGACCCCTTAAAAGGAACCCTACCATTCCCTACTAACCCAAGGTAAGCTGGGACTGGCGTAAGCCCCGGGCCTCTCGCTGAAGGTGCCGCGGTTTTCCGCGAAGTGGTTCAGAAGCAGCGGCGCAAAGAAGAAGGTCGCCAGCATTGCAAGCAACCTGGGAACCCAGAAGCTGCCAACCCAAAGGATCCGAAGTACCTTAGGGTTTCTATATTATATATATATTATATATATATATATATAACTATGAATATAAAATATATTATAGTAGTCTCCCCTATGCTTAAAGGTCCAAAGTACCTATATAGTACTATGTAGGGTTTCTATATTAGGAATTACTGTTATGATTTGGGGGAAGTATCCCCCATAACAGTACCTAGGACCCTTTGGGCAAGCCCTTCTGGTCATCACGGTGCATCATGGGGCTTAGTAAGTCGGGATATAAGTACCTTACGTAAGGTTATCAGTAGTATAACTACAGTTCCTGTCAAGCCCTTCTGGTCATCACGGTGACGGCTCAGTAATGAGGATGCTTTGCTCCTACTCGTCAAACTGAAAAAGAAAGACTGACCCTCTAACAGCTCTGTGGGTAAAGCCCTTACTTACGCATCGTCCGGTGTTTACTGGGGCCTTTAGAGCCCTTTGAAAAACAATCAATACATATCTGTATATATATATATATATCCTTAGAAACCCAATAATTAAGGACACTATTCAAATAACCCGACGGCCTACCCACTTTAGGACTTTCGGATGGAGGGGTACCAGGCTGACGCCAGTGTTGGTGTTGGCTTTCCTTTAGGGCTTTGTCAAGTCTCTCTGAGGTCAAACTCCAAACTGCCGTGTCCTTAAAAGATTCCTCCGGGGTTTCAGGATTGAGGTTTGTATTGTGTCTAGTTGGGATTAGGGGCTTGTGGAATCGTGGAGTGTACACAAACGGTCGAACCACATAAAGTTCAATAGATGGTAGCTTTTCGGACACCTGTCCCGAAACAGCTGTAAGGTGGTTCCTTGTAGGACAAGGTCGCAATGTAATGGAACAAAAGCAACAAGCCTGGTCACAATTCTTATGTTCAAGAAACGAAGAAGGCCCTGCCAACACACCAAAAGCCCTGAACCCTGAGCACTAAGCCCTAACAGTTGGATTCGACGCCAAGTGGCAGCAAGTAGGAGTAGAACTTGAAGAAAGTGCCACAGCCACTGCCGAACTGAGAGGTGATATTGGCAACCTGGCTCCGTACCAACAATACTGTCACAGAAAATAACAATCACGAACATAAACTCTTACTACTAGTACTACCACTTCTTCTTCTGCTACTACTACTACTACTACTACTACTACTACTGCTACTACTACTACTACTACTATTATTACTACTACTACTACTACTACTACTACTACTACTACTACTACTTCTACTTCTACTACTACTACTACTACTACTACTACTACTACTACTACTACTACTACTACTAGTAGTACTAGTACTAGTACTAGTACTAGTACCAGTAGTACTACTACTGCTCCCTTCCGGCTGCTGCTGCGGCTGCTGCCACTAGTACGTACTACGACGGCGACCACTTAAAGCATTTCTCCTAGGGCCTCGGGTTTAGAGTGTTGGTTTGGAATGAATACGAAGTGTAGATGATCCATGCATCCATCCCTCCGTCCATCCATCCAGCCACCAATATGGCATGCATGCATGCGCATACACGCACACATGCATTCAAACATGCATATACATACATACCTATATACATATACATATACATATACATATACATATACATATACATATACATATACATACATATATTCATGCAGACATACGTACATACGTGCATGCAAACATATACATACAGACAGGCAAACAGACATACAGATCTACATACATACATACTTACATACATACACACACACACATACATACATGCGTACATGCATACATACAAAAAACAGACAGACTTACACACATACATGCATGCATGCATACGCCATACATGCGCACATGAATGCATCACATATGCGTATGTCACACAGGCATATACAAATCTAAACACATACAATGGCGTCTGTACAGCAGTGTGTATTAGTGACTAGAAATGCGAACTTAGGCTGACTTGACTCCTATATTTTGCTAGTAGCTGCTAGCATGATCACCATCTGCATTATTGTTATCGTTGTCATTGTGGATATGTATACACTATCACTACCCTTTTGAATATTATCAGTATAATTGTTATGATGGGTGCTGTTGTTGCTTTTAGTGCTGTCCTAAGGGTCCGCATGCTCAAACAGTATATACATTGGCCCGAAAGTACTTATATAGGGACTACTTTCATTTATTTAAAAGTATATACTGGTTACTTGGGCACATGGACCCTTGTAGGGCTTCTTACTATCATTATCCTCTTCTTTAAGTCTTAGTCTTACTATCATTACCCTCTTCTTTTAAGGGCCAGAGACATCTCCCTGCAGCGGAATCATCTCCTTGAGAGCTGCAATGAAGAGGCCGCCGAAGCGAGTCCTTTTAGGGGATCTATGATATTTAGGGTTCAAGGTTCGGGAATTTTTCGGGTCCAGGGATTTAGGGTCGAGGGGGGGGGGGGAAGGATTGTTATGATTCAGGGGTTTAGGGGTCCAGGCGTTTCGAGTTTAGGGCGATTTAGGATTCCTTCAAGGGATAGATAAGGCCGTATACTATCACGTTTATACTACTGACAATGAACATAATTTTGATACCAATGTTTAGAAGCTGCTAGTAATGATCATACTGGTCATAGTCATAAAACAAGGACGTGTGATCCCTTCCAGGGATCTCTCAGGGCTCTTCAGAGTTCTTCATGGCTCTTCTATTCTTTCTGCTTTGAGATTTTGGGTGAAGGGCTTTTGGGATTATGGAACGAGGTTCACCTGTCCCCGCCAGGATGCTAAGACAAGGTACGCAAAGGTTATGAACCTTTGACCACAAAACCCTTTTGAAACAATCATTCGGGTTTTTGGATCCACTTGAAGCCTATATTTTCTGGTCGGGCGGAACCTGCGCATTTGTCAAGCGTTACTATATCGTAGGGTATGTTTAATATCTCCCCGCAAGATGAGTGTAAGCAGTCATTGACTTCAGCCCAGAAGATCACCCAAAAAATGCTGCCCAACCTTCTCCCACTCGCCACCTTGACATAATTCGAAAAGGGCTCCAAGGGTATGTTCTCGCATGTACGCAATGTACACACACAAGTTATATACATATATGATAAGGTAGTTATGTATGTATTTGTATATTTGGAGAAAGGAACTTAATACGGCATAGTACAATCCTATATCAAGTGAAGCATACACCATAGTATAGTAGTATAATGTAATACTGTACTACATTTTACTAGACTGGTTAGATTAGACTAGATAGATGAGTTTAAACTAGACCGGACTTCAATATATTTATGTATATACATATGTGTGTATATATATATATACATATATACATTAATATAAAGTTGTGGGCGACTGTAGGGGAATAGAGCTCCCTGTTGTCCCTTAGCAGCCTTAGCAGATCGACAAGCCTTCGGGAACAGGCTTAGGGTTCACCTGTGCGTACAGTTTGGCAATTGAATACCCTAGTATAGGGGCCGTAATAAGCGGAGCAGAGTTTTGAGCCAATTATACTACAGTAGAAGCCAGAAAGTTGGAATATGATTATCCTAAGCCCTTTATGGTAAATTATAAGGTATCCTACCTGAAACCATATCCCAACTTTCTGGAGTTCCCTCTATAACTATAATCAGGAACCCCCACCCCAGATAAAGCCACAGTGTTGGCAATTATCGAGGCTTTCCACAATGCCGCACAAGTCCACAACTGCAGCCCCGGCCTCATGATGGCTGCGGCAGCCATGTCAAGGGTGCCAGAATCCTGCAGGTTTTAGGGATTTCTTGAAGATTCAGCGGTGTAAACTTTCCTTTTTCCACCGGGAGAGGGTTCTAAACACCCTAAACTCTAACAACATTCAGGCTCCAGACTCCTGCATCAAGGCTGTCTCAGGGGCACTCGACCCCGACGTAAATTCGGGAATTCAAGGTGCAGTCGTCATACGAAGGGTCTTCTTCGGTTTTTCAGCTAGGAACCCTAAAACAAGTCTGAAATAAACCCTTAACCCAACATCCCATACAGCACCTTTAAGTTATCGATCCACGAAAGGAACACTAAACCCTCGAATCCCCCTGTAAACCCCTTTAACTTTTAACCTAGACCCGAAACTCGAAACCCCCCATTCAACCGCCAAGCCCTATAAACCCTAAAACCGCTCCACCAATCCCCAAACCCTATAAACCAGTAACATCAAGCCCCCAAAGCGTAAAACCGTAAACCCTTGAACCCTCCAGTCTATAAGACCCTCAAATATACCAAACCGTGGGGAAAACAAAAACACCCCTTAAACCCCTGTCCTGCTCACCAGACTCTTTCATCATCGCCAAGGCGTCTTGCCCGAGTTTCACAGAGGCACGGCCACTGCGGACGCTTCCTCGCTCGGGCATTTTAAGGGTATAGGGCTCAAGGGAGCTATAAGGGGTTCTTTTAGGGGTCCATAAGGGAGTACGATGGATTATGGTTCTGAGTTTTGGGGTTTGGCGCTTTGGGGATCATGGTTTACGGCTTACTGGAGAAGGGGTTGTAGGGTTGGAAGCTGCCCCCACCCTGTAATAGTGACTGTAAGGATTATATTAGGGCCCTATTATATTCCTATTATACCACTATTACAGGGTGGAGGCCCCTTCTAACTGATACCACTCATAGAGAACGCATACCCCATGCTACTCCTAGCCTCGCGAGTAACAGTGGGGGGGGGCCCCTTCTAAGTTGCAGGGTTTCCGGGTTCGAGGCAAAGGGAGGGTTTAGCTCTGGTCTCTGGGTGGTCCTCTGGGATATCTCCTCGTGGTCTCAGAGCGGTGTCGTGGTTATCCTTATAAGTATCATCCTATCATAGTATATAACTAAGCTTATGTTCTAGTTTGTCATATTATAGTATATCTTGTGCTGGTGCTGTGATCGTGGTTATCCGTATAAGTAAAATTATTCCTAACAAAGAAAATTACTATGATGCTTATGTTCTAGTACTGTCATACTGTAGTCTATCTTATGCTGGTCATCCGGATCGGACTTGTCGTCCTGGCGGTCCTGTGATCGTGGTTGTCATGATCATCGTGGTCGTGCTGGTCGTGAAGATGCCAATCACTGTTTGGGGATTAACGCTCAATACGTCGCAAACCTTAATTCAGCACGAAGCCATGTACGCCTTAGTCTGCCCTGGACACAACTCCTGAGCCCTCAACCTGAAACCCTCAACCCTAAAACCCTAAACCCCTCACCCTAAACCCCTAAACCCTAAATCCCTCCACTCGCCTCCAGTCATTACACCGATGGCCAAGGAGTTGTTGGCGCGCTTCGTGGTCTGTTGGAGAACTCGGTCCCTTTCCGCCTGCGAGAAAACAAGAGAAGCCAGCTAAGCCGGCGGGTTTCTTTGCAAGCTCCTTTAAGGGCTCCTGCACGGTTTCCCATAATATATTTATATAAGATGTATATTGGCTAGTTTAAGGGATATATGAGGATTTGACCGACAATTTTGGAGTCTAGCTTTGCCTGAACTGTACAAAAACCTCCTATACTTCCAGAGCTCCAAATTATGATATGATGATCCTGTTCTATATACCGCTCCATGGTAGGTTTTGGTTGGTTTCGGTAAAGTTTAGAGTGTCGAGTTTCAGAGTTCACGGACAGGCTTAGAGCCCTTTTGTCCCTTATCGCAGCTTTTATAGGACCTACAGTACCTTTAGCCCAAAACTCCCCACGCACAGAACCCTTTCATCCTTTATCGGAACACTTATCTCACTGGCCCAACACCCACGGACATAAAAGTTGAAACTTTCAGAATCGACTACCTTAGAAGAACCCCAGATGTGGAAAAGTTGAGTTTACAGCCAATAAGTCATAATGCCTCTGGCCATCAAATTCCGAAGCCCTAAATCGGTCTCCGGAGCCTCCAGGGAGGTGCGGAGCTCAAAGCATTGTTCCTGAAGCACAAGCAAGCTGTAGGCATAGGGGTTTAGGGTTTAGGGGTTTTGGGGTTTAAGGTTTAAGGGTTTAGGGGTTTCGGGTTTAAGCGTTTAAGGGTTTGGGTTCAAGGTGTAAGGGTTTAGGGGTTTTGGGTTTAAGGGTTTAGGGTCTTAGGGTTTAGGGGTTTAGGGTTTGGGGGTTCTTGGGCTAATGTAGGGGCCTGAATTCATCGAATGGGCTTCCCTTTAAAGGGCTCTACAAGGCTAATGAGGGAGCTATAATTCGTTTAAGGTTTTGGAAATAATACAGAGGCCATAATTAATCATCCAAAATTCATTCAAAGACGGTCTATGGGATGTGTTGCTTTTACTCGTTGTTTTGGCTTCCAGATAGCAGCAATGCTGGGTCGTCCGGTGCCAAGCGTGTCTCGCACAGAAAGCACCTGAAAGATGGAATTTAGGGTAGTTTAATTAAGGTTTAGATTCATGGTTTAGGGCAGTGCAGAAGTCAGGGTTAAGGAACCCCAGCCCCTGAACCCTAACGTACACCAACCATACCATCCTAACGAAGAGCTGGGGACTCCGCAAAGCCCAGCCATTGCCCATTCTTTCCTGGGCATCGCGCCACTCTCGTCACGGTACATCGTGGCACCTCGCCTGGCGATGTTGCGACAAGCCAGCAGCGAGTCGCAACAACGACAAATGGTGACCGAATCTCGCAAACACGGCCGGCCGGCTCGTTAATCCACACGCCATCGTTGCGGATGTACGTGCCCCTGGTGTGCCTGCAAGGCTAACCCTGCATCCGTCGACTGCAGACCGGTCTCTGTGCGGCTTAGTTTCGTAGGGCTGTAGTAGGGTTTCATAGGGTCTCAATACGGTTTCCATGGGCTTCTTGTTGCATACTTTGCTCTAGGTTGCTTATCGGGCCCTCTACGGTTTTTGTATAAAATAGGGGCGTTACTGCCCCGACACCCCCCCCACCCCATCAATAACTTCCGAAGTAAACTCCATCGCTTTAGGGTTTATGAGGGTAGGAGCCCGAAGGTTGTAACATCATCCTCATGCCCTCCAGGAAGGGTTCAACTGCCCTAAACCCTAAATCCATAAACCCCTGAACCCTAAACCCTAAACCCCTAAATCCCAAACCCCTAGGCCCTTAAACCCTTAAACCCTAAACCTCTCTGTAAACCTTGAAGCCGCGGACGGGCCCAGCACGAATCATCCTCCAGCTGTTTCAACATTTTGAGGGCTTCATTGCAAGCCCAGTGTGGAGCCTCACAGAGTCCCTTTTGCAATCGGTTTAGGGGTTTAGGGGTTTAGGGGTTTAGGGTTTAGGGGTTTAGGGTTTAGGGGTTTAGGGTTTAGGGTTTAGGGTTACTTATCCCCATCATTAGTGCTATCCTTATCGTTATTGTCATTCTTCTTCTTATGATGATGATCTAAACTGTTCATCTTCTGCCAACTGTTATTCCGTACGAGACACATCAATTCTTCTTTCAACAACCGTTCAAACGCCGACACATTTTGGTGCACATTATTCTATAGTTACAAGATGGAACTCCGATATAGCATAGGTAGTCGTTAGGTCACCTATGTTAAACACACCCTGAACCTCGATAAACCCTGAACCCTAAACCCTAAACCCCTAAACCCCCCCCCCCCCCCCCCCCCCCCCATGTGCAGGGGCACCTGGATAGTTCGGCGCTCCTTCTTCCAGTTCATCTGCTCAGTGAGGGCGAACTCGCAACGAGCCCTGACACATCAGGTTTAGAGTTTAGGGTTTAGGGTTGAGGGTTTAGGGTCAGGTTTTTCGGCGTTTTGTGGGTTCCTTATTGAAAATGGTAATGGGCCCCAAAACCAAATCTAACTAGGTCACGCGCCGACCAGGACCCTCGTGGCGACGTGATGTACGAACTACAATATTTCCTGAGGAAAAGCTAATTTCTTAGCAAAAATGGGTATTGAAAAAAACCTAAAAACTATTAACGACCTGAGCCGAAAAGAGAAGTTGAAGCACTGTAAGCTCTAGAACTTGCAGCCAAGGCACACAGAGCTCTGGGGCTTAGGGTTTAGGGTATCGTACATACATATGTAAGGGTCGTCGACATATGTTCATGTGTATGTCGCGTCTGTGGTCTATGTGGTATTCATGGCATATAAGACATGTTGTATGAACCCATAAGGCGTTCCAGGCACATACTACATACATGACACAGGACATGCACCAGGCTGAGAATACATAGAACACATACTGTACCTGTGGCGCAAGAGAGACAGTACATGCAGCCTAGCTGTAACCGACAATATCAAGTTATTGCACAATGACCAAGCCCCCGATTGCGGGGCAGGTGTTGGTCCGAAGACATCTTGAGGTTTTCTACTGTCGTCACTGGCCCCCCCGCGCTCCCCACCCCACCCCACCCCCGAACGCCCTGAAACAGCAGGTTAACACCCGAAACGCCTGAAACAGCTCAATTTCACCCTAGACAGTGAACGCAAAAGCCTGAACCTCAACCGCGAGCCCTTGTTAACACGAAGCCCCAAACCCCTATCATCGGAACCCTCAGGGGTAGGGGGAGGGGGGGTAGGGCGCCTTAATGCCCATAATAAGGACCTATTAAGGCGAATTTAAGGAAGTATAGTCCCCTACCCCCCTCCCCCTAGCGCCCCTTAAGGGTCCCCATAACTGGCAGTCAGTGTGAACCCGGCACTTGCTTGTCGGTGTCTGCTTCTGGAAGCCCGCTCCCAGAGACTTCAATATCCCTTAATTAAGGAATATACCTTAAATTAAAGTAGGATCCTTAATATGGATTTAAGGCATATACCTTAAATTAAAGTAGGATCCTTAATATGGATTTAAGGCATATACCTTAAATTAAAGTAGGATCCTTAATATGGATTTAAGGCATATTCCCTAATTAAGGAATATTGGAGTCTCTGGCTTTGCCCCGTGTGCCTGTAGTCGAGCACCCGATGCTGCAGCCGTTTGACCAAGCCCTGGGTTAGACTAAGGTCCAAAATTTTAGGGCTGAAGGTCTTTAGGGTGTTGTTTTTTTTTTTAAGGTGCAGTGGCTCTTTCTTTAGGGTGTTTAGGGCTTAGGGTTTAGGGCTCAAGGGTCCCAAAATGATAGCTACACAACTTAGATTTCGGAGGTTTACGGGTTTGTTGAACATGCTATGTTCAGTGGGACTCGGGGAGTAAATTCTAGCACGGTTCGACCCGCATATTCTTTCCGGCACTAGCACGAACTGCTCCGACCTCTTTCTGCTGAGGCTTGCGGCTCAGGATTAAAGTTCAAGAGCTGGAGATTTCGTTGAACATCACACGGTTCAGGATTACTGTCCGAGGGTTTAAGGGTACGGCCTTAGCAAAGTGGGTCATTTGGTGTTAGGATAGGGTTATTGAAAGTAGAGGAAATGCTTTGTCCGTCTTCGCCATCGTGCCTCGTAGGGTGGGTCGATGGCTCGCTCCACTGTCCTGCTGAGGCACGTGAGCAAGAAACTAATACACCCTATAGACCCGAAACCCTACACAGTTTTGAGATTGCAGGGCTCAAGGGGCACGGGAAGGGGTTTAGGGATGGAGGTGAGGCCCAGGGCAGGGAGTATCGATTGGAGCTCATGGTTTGCCCCAGACTCCATTAAAACAAAAACGGCATCGTTACCAACACTGCTGGTCAACGACCCGACAATGTACATCTTCCATCTCTTACATGAAGCACTGTCCCCCACGCGCCTGCACATGTCTCGCATGTGCCACATGTCGTCGCCTGCATGAGGACAAGCAACATATCAGACATGACCGCAGTCAACATGATGCTCGCAACACAATCTCGAAGTCAACTCCCTTTCACCCTTAGACTCCTCCACAAGATCCCAGAAGCTCTCCGCCGAGAACATTATAGCAGTATAAGTTTCTTCCGGGAAATTAATTACTGAGGCCAGCTGGCCACATAAAACGGACCTGCGGCCACTCCGCTTCTCCGCGGTATATGCTTATGGCATATTGATAAGACGCTCCGTGTGTCGACACTTTTTCCCGGTGATGTAAGTGCACAAACCTACGGCCCATGGCTTCCAGGCCTCGAGAATGCAAATAATACTCTCCTGTGTTTCAGAGTGTGTACGTAGTACCTACTTCGGGCGTTTAAGCAACCAGGGAGAAAAACGGTTTTGCTTCATTTCATAATGGTTCCTTTAAGAAAAAACTGTTAAAGTAAGGTACTCCCAAGATCAGCTAGATACCCAGACCTTCCAAAACCCCTTAATTAAGGAATATACCTTAAATTATAATGGGGTCCCTTAATATGATTTAAGGTATATTCCTTAATTAAGGGGTTGTGGAAGGTCTGGGTACTTTGGGCTGTTTGGAGTGGTGAAACACAAGCGCGACGCTGCCTGGATCTCGGGCCTTGAGCTTCCACTGCCTTTTTCCATGGAATCACATCGCTCCCAGACTGAAGCATCGAAAGTGCTAGGGGCTCCTTTAAAGGGTCTTTACAGGCTACAATAAGGGTACCATGATATAGGGGCCTTAATAAAAAGACCAGGGTTTTGCGCTATATAGATATTCTCCAATCCTACTGAACTCAGGACCCCCCCCCCCAGAATAGTATCGGTAATTATTCAAGCCCCTATAGCAAGTAGTTCCTTTACCAACAAAAACAGCAACCACCAGCCAAATCGAAATTGATAGGTAATTCCTCAATGAAGGGGCCTTAAGAATCATGGTATGATATACGCCCCGAACCCTATTCTAATCATTAAGGCCCCTATATTACCTTACTTACAATACTCTATTACCTTACCAGTAATAATAAACCCTAAGAGCCCGTCGGCCTTCCAGCAGGACACCCTGCTCCGCCATCTCCTTCTCTACAGCCTCCTCGATGGCCAAGCAGGGGTGTACTCAACTTAGTTGCTGAGTCCATAAGCCCCAAGAAGTGTACACTTTCAGTTTTATAGTGGGTGATATTATCCCAATAAGTGTAAAGTGTATCTACTCAGCTACTAGATTGGTGGTTGTCAAAATTAGAGTCCCTTTTTGGGTCTGTATTATAATACGGCACCTTATATTTAGGGTACCCAAAAAGGGACCCTAATTTTGACAACCACCCATATAAGTTAAAGGTTCAGGGGTGGTAAAGGATCCTTGAAATGATCCCTTAATGGAACCCAACGGGGACTACTTAAAGGATCCCTCACAGGAACCCAATCGGGAGTATTCAAAGGACCCCGAATCAGGGGTCGTTGGGGTGCCTTTTGGTGCTTACACGGTTACAGGCTTCCTACAAGCTGTTTTGGAAGAGTTTTGATCCATTCAAGGATCAAGGGACATAGTAAGGAGGCTCCAAAAAATTGGCGAATCTACTTCCAATTTGGAGTAAAGCACTCAGAAAAGGGAGGTGCTAGGCGTGCTAAGTCCACTGATCCTCCGAGTGATGAGTCGTGTGGGGGGTTGGGTGTTGTGACTGATGAAAGCGCGGTGCTCGGCCTTTCGGATCTGTTCCTGAACAAGGCTGGCCCTCACAACCCTCTAAAGACAATACCCTAAGGGTCCATGTACCCAAATAGTATATACATTGGCCTTAAAGTAGTCCCTATATAGGTACTTTGGGGCCAATGTATATACTATTTGGGTACATGGACCCTTAAACTAACTATAGAACCCGAGTTGGGCACATGGACCCTTAGGGATAGCCGGTATAACCCCCAAACTAGTTCGGACGACTCTGGCCCGTGGGGGTTCGGGATACTGCTGATGGACAATCTCTTGCATGACCTTAGGGACCCTAAACTATGGGAACTATGATATATTCCTTATAAAGGGTAATGCAGGGTTTTGTCCATCAACAGTAGCTTTGCTTTTAGATTCCCACCTTGACGAGCTTGTCTTCGAAAATCCAATCCAGGTTGTCTCCATCGCTGTCCTTAGATGTGTGTAGCGTTAAGGGTCTAAGGGTTTCAGGTGGCTGTATGACCTCGGTTGCCGGGTTTAGGCTTCTGTAAGGGTTTCATTGGCTTTCTTCAGCGCTTCTTCGTCTGGCTGAGTTGTTGATTTTCGGATTTACTATCAAGGCTTCAAAATAACTTAACAAGAGGTTTTGTTGGGTTGCTAAAGATGTCATAGGCTGCAGGATGTGAGGATATAGACGTTAATTATAGGGATGGCAGTCCAGTGATTAAAATTAGGATCGTGATACGTGTAGACAACCCAGGTGTAGAACCTCATAGATCCCTTAAAGGAGCCCGCAACCCCGAACCCCTTCTAGAGCTCTTAGAAGCTTTATAGACCCCTTTAAAGGAACCTTTCAAGCACAAATTGCAAATGAAAACATACTAAACCCCAAACCCGAATTAAACACCCCTCACCCCTAAGCCCTGCACACTAACGCACAAAAATGCTCGGCCCTGCCGGGGTGCCTTCGGAGATCCGAAAGGCTTGTCCTGGCGGTTTTGCGTATTCTGCAGGGGGGCCTCAGGAGTTCAAGTTTTGAACGGGCTTTTGTTGTTTCTCTATAATCTGACGATTCTATACTCAGCGTTTTGGGGTTCAGGAATTTAGGGACCTTGAGAATCTGAATGGTGTTCCTCTATGTTTTTGGCAACTGTGGGACCGGAGCATTTTGATTAGGCTTCCGCTTCAGGTTGTAGCGCTGTTTTCGAGACATGTAGAACCCCTTGTCTCCGGCATTTTACATAGGGGCCTTAATAATTAGAATAGGGTTGGGGGGCCCTGTATACTATAATCATAATAGGGTTCCGATTGAAGTCTGCACGCCGCCATCGAGCTGTCTTGAACATCTGCATCGCTGGTCGCAGGATCAGCTTCAGGCACCCTGGTACAGGACAACTGCGAGCAGCCTCCTCATGGGTCTGAATATTGCACATTCTGGTTTATAGTAATACATTATCATGCAATGTAGTATATATATATGCACATACATATGTACGCATGTTGATCGCTATATCTGGAATGAAACAGTATAACACATTAATCTTCATAGCTATTAACATTGTGGGACGTTCAAACTGCTGTATATCATGGTGAGCTCAAGGCTCCGCCAGTCTGCGCGGGTTGGCAAGCGTGCGAACCTAAGGCGTATGATAGTATGTCGCGGCCCCCCCCACCCTTGGTTTAGGGTTTAGGGTTAGGGAGAACATAAGATATTACTTTATAGTAACTTAGAGAATGTTTAATGCCCTTTTATGATGCATCTAGCACATCATAGTACATTAGAGCAGATTACAGCCACAAGAAGGTTGAGACATTATAGCAACTAGATATTATAGCCTGCTATGATACATTATAGTATATCTCAGTACATTGTAGTAGATTGCGGCCGCGAGAAGATCTGACTGGTTCAGGGTTTTAGGGGTTTCGGGCTTAGGGATCCTGATTACAAGAACGTGAAAACCACCTCGCACCAGCAAAACAACAACACCCGTGCTGCCATCCTCTTGCCCGGGATGCATGTGTTCTCTGATAACATGTTATCCACCCTGAACTCCATAACCCTAAACTCCAAGACCCTAAGCCCTAAATCCCCGAACCCCTCAAGCCCCGATCGAACCTGCTTAGATCCTTGAAAGGACCCTGAAACGAAGAATCTCCGTCTCCGGTCTCCACCTTGTTGATCTATATCCCTGATCAAAAACCGTGTGCGGGATCCTCTGAATATCAGACCACAAACATTTAAACCCCGAGCGAAGGGTACTTTAAATTTTGATCACCCTCCTTGCCTTCGGCGTCGCTGCATTCCCGAATGGAGATGGGCTGGGTGTACCGACCTGCTATAGAGCTCCTAGAGATAGCTTTTTTAAGAGACTTGTCCCGTGAAAGGATCGTAGTTGGGTTCATGTGGGGTTATCGGGTGTCGGAGCGACGGCTTAGGGTTTGGGGATTTAGGCTTTAGGGGTTTAGGGTTTAGGGGGGGGGGGGTTAGGGGGGAGTTTAGGGTTTAGGGGTTCGGGGGCGCAGAAGTAAGGAATGCTTGCAAACGGGTTTCAACTGAAGTGTGATAGAGAACATACCTTCACAAGGCGGTGTCCGCATCATTCTGCTACCCGAGCTTGCATAGAGCTTATAAACTTGAGGGCTTGTTCCCTCGTGTTTCCGTAAATCCTGTGTGACATGGCTCCAAAAGGGTCCTACGTGCTGTTATGGGGGATACTTCCCTAAGTCATAATAGCTATATCTGTACACAGGACCCTTTTAAACCCTAAACCGCTCTAAATTCTTCAAGGAGCCCATGGGTTCGAGAGTGGTTTCAGAGTGTCGTGGGATCTTGGGAACGTCATCGAACCCTACTTGTCGGGTATCATGGGAACTAAAGGTTAAACTTTTTGGTTCAATTAAAGGGGATGAAACAGGGACTATACTACCCCAAAAAGCTTAAAGGTTCCCTACTCTACTACTATGGAATTGTGCGGCAAAAGCTACTTCCACATCAGTCGACGTGGGCTTTCCACGGCGAGGCCTAGAAGCTAAAAGCCTCCTATGCCGGGGCCGTGACAGCTCTAAGCCAGACAGACAGACAGACAGACAGACAGATTAGATGGGTTACGGCTAGACGATGCAAGCTCAAAGTACGAACTTTAACTCGACCTCCCGGCATACTTCGTAGACCTATGGTGAAACTCTTCCCCACCGCTCCTCCAGCCTGACCGTTTCTCCCACCTACGCTGCCACCTTTTCCCCGACTGCTTCCCTTGACACTCCCGCGACAAATCACCGAGTTTCGAGGTGTTGCGCTTCCGCCTGCGGTCCTTGACCGCTTCTGCTTCTGTCCTTTTCCATGAACTTTGCCCGGGATTCCGAACGAACTTCGAGACGCAAGCCCCCCAATGCTCCAATTGCTGAATGTGAAGCGAGCACGCACCGAACTCGAGCGGTAAGATGTACCCTAAGGGACCATGTACCCAAATAGTATATACATTGGCCTCAATGTACCTATATAGGGACTACTTTAAGGCCAATGTATATACTATTTGGGTACATGGACCCTTAGGGATACTGACCTGCTGCTCCTTCGCTCGCCTGTAACTCGTTATTTCTGCTGGGAGTTTTCGTACTTCCCCGATCAGCCACAGCAAATACAAGGTTAAACCTTCCGATTCCTACTAAACTACAAGAACCCAAAAAGTTTATAAAGGTTGGGTATTGGGGAACACGAATCCGACATGAGCCGGAGCCTGTGCCCACCACGATGCAACAGCATCGATGTCCGATGTTGCGCGGTCATCCGAGCAGGCGCTCGAAGTTCCCGGGCAGGGCGGTTTGGGGTTTAGGGTTTAGAGTTTAGGGTTTAGGGTTTAGGGGTTAGGGTTTAGGGTTTAGGGTTTAGGATACCGGCAGGCCCGTTAGGGGGTCAATCTCTCTCAGTCCAGCCACACCGATCTTCGACGACAAGTTCTCCAGGAACCCCAATTCTTCAACCCTAGATTTCCTTGACTGCGAAGTCTCTAACTTCCTCAACCCGAATTCTTAAACAAACTCTGAAACTCCTAAGCCCCTACATTCCAACAGCCAAACTCCTAAACCCTGACTTCCAAACCTCCTAAGCTGCTAAATCTGGATCATGTTAAAAGAACCCCTACTAGAAACCCTTGGGAACCCCTTTAGTTAAGGAACCGCTTCATATGAATCTTTCTTTTAGAGCCCTTTCAGGAATTGAAACCCTTACTTAGAGGCCCAGGGGACTTAGTAAGCAGGTTCTAAGTAGCCTAAAAGGAGTTGCCCCACTTATAACCCTACCTATAACCTACTTACTAAGCCCCCTGGGCCTCCAAGTAAGAAACCCCTTTAAGGAACCCCGCCCATCCACCCAATGGGACGCCAGGGCTCCTAAACTCCTAGGTTGCCAT